GTAATAATAATAATCTGCATTTGATATAGCGCCTTATCACCTCTTTGAGAAGTCTCAAAGCGCTTTGCAGGATATACTGTTAAGTGGATTGACTGTATTTTGTGGCTAAATTATTATTTCCAGTAGACAGTTTGTGCACAGCAATATCCCACAAACAGTCATGGAGTGAGCGACTAATTTTTTATTTAGAGGATTGTTGGCTAGGACAGCGGGAGAAACACCCTTCTCTTTTCGAATGGTTTTACGGGATCTGTAACATCCGCATCGTCAAAGAGAACCTTTTGAGAAGTCAAAGACTGTACTATGAATTATAACAGAAGGGTTACATTGAAAGAAAAAAAGATAGCCACCTGCATAGGTTTGGTGGAGAACCATAATGATTGTCCTGAACTAGTTCTGCCACTGACCTGATGCCTCCTCTATCATTGCCACTGACTGCTCTCAGTGCATTGGTTCTTGTCAATGTGGTCAAATGCCCTGTAGCAAAGGGAAGAGAGGGAAAAAATCTTGAGAACTAAGTCACTCCATCACTATTCAACATCAGGGCCACCTGGGGCAGTGTCCCACAAGCCTTGGGGATATTCCAGTGAGCAAAACAATTCCAGCTTCCAATCAGATGAGATTGATTTATTTTCATTAGAGATTAATGTTGTGTTTATCCCCAAGATGTAAATTGATACATTATCGTGGAACCTACAATGCACTCATCTTCTATATCACAGGCAACCCTTCTGGCATCTACCTGTTAATCCTATGAGCTTTTCAAAGAATAGCCATGAGCTAAAACATGATAATAGAAAATCTACAGAGATGACCCTGTTCAAGTATTCAATTATCCCATGCATTCCTCTGCAGGATTCAATGCTCCGTGACTAATTTAGAAACATTGGCTGTTTAAAGCATTCACCCAGGTCTTTACAGCCCCCCTCCCCCCACAATCTCTGGACAGATTAAGCACAAGCAGCACCAAGAGCATTGAATAGCACTCTCATTAATGTTCCTCAGTAAGATGTGTATCAGAAGTAAAAAATTAAAAGTTCCAAGTCCCATTCTTTCCTGCAAACTGCTCAAAGGTCTTCTACCAAACAGTTGTTAAACTGACAGCTGGGAGACTGTGGAAGTCGCTGCTGGAAGCTGTGGTTGCAGCAAAAAGATTTGATGAATTTAAGAGGATAGTTGACAAATATATGAGGGGAAAGGGAATGGAGGCGTATAAGTGAGAGGATTAGGAAAAGTGGGGGGTGGGGGCAAGTGTGGAGTATAAACACTGGCACAGAATTGTTGGCCCTACCTACCGTCGCCTCCCAGCTGCGCTCTTTCCTCTCCAACCATTCACTATTCGAACCCCTTCAATCGGGTTTCCGTGCTGCCCATAGCACAGAAACTGCCCTGGTCAAGGTCACCAATGACATCCTGACCATCTGTGACCAGGGCTCCCTCTGCCTCCTCGTCCTCCTCGACCTATCGGCAGCATTCAATACGGTTGACCACGCTATCCTCCTCCACCGCTTGTCCTCCCACCTAAACCTTCAAGGCACTGTCCTTGAGTGGTTTAGGTCGTACCTCTCCCACCGTCTTCACTTTGTCTCCTCAAATGGTTTTTCCTCCGGCCCCCGCACTGTCTCGTGCGGTGTCCCTCAAGACTCTGTCCTCGGTCCCCTCCTCTTCACCCTCTATATGCATCCGCAGACATGGGGTTAACTTCCACATGTATGCGGATGACACCCAACTCTACCTTTCCTCCTCTACCCTCAACTCCACGACCACCGATGTCCTGACAGCTGCCTGTCCGACATCGAGTCCTGGACGAGAGATAACTTTCTCCAGCTCAACGTACGCAAAACTGAGGCCCTCCTGATTGGCTCACGTCAGCGCCTCCGCACCTCAGGCGCTGACAGCATCAGCATCCAAGGCTGCACTCTCCACCTCTCAAAGTCAGTCAGGAACCTCGGCGTTTTGTTCGACCCTGAGCTGTCCTTTCTCCCCCATATCCGCGCCACAACTGGCACCGCCTTCCATCACCTCCGGAATGTCGCCAGACTACGGCACTACCTCACCCCTCACGCTGCTGAAACCCTGGTCCACGCCTTTATCACCTCAAGGCTGGACTATGGGAACTCTCTCCTCGCCGGCCTTCCCGCACCTCCCTCCACAAGCTGCAGGTCATTCAGAACTCTGCAGCTCGTGTACTGTCCCGCACCAGGCTTCGGGACCACATCACTCCCACCCTCGCTCGCCTCCACTGGCTCCCCATCCCCCAGAGGATCGAATTCAAGATCCTCATCCTCACCTACAAGGCCATTCACGGCCTCGCTCCCTCCTACCTCTCCGACCTACTATCCCCCTACCTACCCGCCCGTACTCTCCGTTCCTCTGGCTCCGGTCTGCTCCACATCCCCCGCCCCAACCGCCCTACTATCGGTGGCCGGGCCTTCAGCCTCTCAGCCCCTAGGCTCTGGAACTCTATCCCCCAGTCCCTTCGCCGCCTCCTCCCTTTCCTCCTTCAAGGCCGGTCTCAAGACCTTTCTCTTTGACCGTGTCTTCAGCTCCCCTCTCGACTCTCTACCCCCTCCTCGCTCCCTCCCTTCCCTCCCCTCACCCTGACCATTTTCCCCCGAACGCTCGGGTCCTGACCCAACTGTACAGCGCCTTGGGACGTCCTCCCGACGTGAAAGGCGCTCAATAAATGGAATCTTGTTGTTGTTGTTGTTTCTGTGCTATGCAACTAGGAACCGTGATTGATTTGTTGCAGGTCGGAGTGCTGTTTGGAAGGGAAGAGAGAGGGGGCGCAGTAGGTTCCTGGCGATCTTAGAGGTTCTTTCCCAGTTTGAATAGCACCAGGAACCTTAAAGTGATGCTACCACCATTGGTTTGTGATGTTTTGCAACATTAGTGAAGCATTTTTACATGAAAAACATGAACAAAATATATTTTTCTCCCCTGACCTGAACGTATTTTCTTCCCTTTCGAGAAACTGTTTGACTCCTTTTTCCCTTTTACCCAAGTACAGATCCATGGGTACCAGGCATCCCCAGGCCCCTTGCCCAAGAAGCTATTCTAATAATAATCCTTGCATTTGATAGACCACCTTATCATGTTGTTGAGATGTCTCAATATACTGTAAAGTGGATTAACTGTGTATTTTATGGATGAAATTATTATTCATCTGTGAACCTTAATGATGAGTATTTCGCAGGCTGTTCTACTTTGTGCATCACAGTGGAATCCACTCCTGTCCCAGCCCTATGTCCATACTTATACACAAACACACAAGCTTTCAGGATGGGGTCTCTGAACAACAATTATTTGTAGGAGCCCTGGCTAATTTTATTCCCCTTGGGGCACCAAAGCTAATTGATAGCTCCCCAGCTGCTGTCTGAGTTAAGATCAGCTAACTCAGCACAGACTGGGGTTAGAATTTCTGACCTCCTGGTCTACAGGGCTCCGTGCTACATCAACAACAACAACTTGCATTTATATAACGACACTCATGCAGGGTAGCGTCCCCAGAGCCCTTGACAGTGGCGAAGCATGATGCCGAGCTGACAGGAGGGGGCGGTGACTGTAGGCATGGTCGAATAGGTCTTCAGGCGCGACCTGAAGATAGAGAAGGGGCAAGGGGAAGGGATAGAGAAAGAGTGTTCCAGAGTTTTGGGGCGAACTGGTTGAAAGCGCGGCTGCCAAGAGGGCATGAGGGACATACTGGAGGCCTGAGCCAGTCGAGCGGAGGCAGTGGGTTGGGGGTTGAGCAGATTGGAGAGGTAGGGAGGTGCCAGGACATGAAGGGATTTGAAAACGAGTGTGAGGATCTTGAAATCGATCCGTTCGGCGATATGGAGCCAGTGGAGCCTGGCTAGAACTGGTGTGACGGGGGTATGGAGTTTAGTATGGGTGGGTATGGAGGCGGTGGATTTTTAGATCAGCTGGATCCTGGGCATGATGGAGCTGGGGAGACCGGAAAAGAGGGCATTTGAGAAGTCCAGTCAGGAGGTGACAAAGCATGGACGACATCAGGCAGTGCCTTACCTGCCAGGCCACTGGGGGAGCTTGCGAAAATAATTTTCAAAGCTTTGGGCTTTTATTAAAATGCCAGAGTGTTAAAAAGCCTTTAAAATTTATTTTCCTTTTGAAATGGATATTGCAATTTTAAACATCTGCATCAATTGTGACTCCAACCTTTTCTGTGCAGTGGTGCTGGGTGACAGCCCTGGGAACGTTTTCTAATAGTTTGGGAAATTTATGTTGAGATTCACTTTTTAACAACTGCAGTGACACAATAGTCTGTCAGTTCAGAGTGCTTTGTAAATTATAGTCTCCACTTTAAGTCTTCCTCTTGTGTGCGTTATCAGCCACTGCCTCGGTTATTTTCTGTACGTTTGCCACAAAGGGAGCTCATGTGTTGATCATAAATCGTAGTTATTTCAACATTTTTTGGCTTTGCTTTGGTCTTCTAAAGTGTTCAGCATAATGTTCTAGTTATGCTGAGCCAATCCTCTGGATATTTTTGAGCTGATATTACCTTCTAGTTGAGCATTCCTTACAGTTTGCGACTATTTAAGAGATGAGTGGAATTTCTTGTCTACTGGAGGCGGTTGGTTTTTTGATTCTCAGAAGCCTGTGTCTCACTTGTTCCTGTTCTATTTCTCTTCTTCTGCCTGAAACAGGAACATATGTTGTGACTTGCCACGGATCTGTAGCAGTTTATTATAATCTTTCAATCTCTGTCATCCAGTCTGTTTTAGCATTTCATTGTGCCTAATTTCTGCTTGTAATCTGATTAGCATCATGAGCTGCTTTAAACTGCAGCCTATTGCCTCGCCTATTCCCCTCAGCCCATCGCGAGCTTGACAGCTCCAGCGCTGTGCTGTGCCGTCAGAAAAAAAATCTCTACACCTTACTGTGTAGACAGGCCTAGCTTTGTGTCTGGTATATAATTAGCTGCTACTTGTGGTCACTTGAAACCTTGATTCCTGCAACCATGTTCAGAAATCCGTGGCTTGCTGGTTATGCTCGAAGAGTAACGTACTGCGGTCAAGGTAAGTGCCAAAAAATGTGCCGTGGAACAGCACATCGTCGAAGTGCCCTTGTGTGCATTCTCTGTCTGGTTCCAAGGGCAATAGCGAACAATAGACTTGTAGATCAGCAAAGATCTTTTAATACGTACTGTCCATCTACATTTAAATTGCAGTGTGTCTGAATCTGTGTGAATGCTTAATATTAATAGATGCCAGTCCGTTTTCCTTTCTTGCTAAAGGATTGCTCTCTCTACGGCAGCCTATGTAGAAATAGGGGGAGGGGAGGGCTATTAGCACATCTTTGTTTACAGTGCATGAATGAGAACTGAATATTGCTACAGCTGCTTAAGTTCCGCAGAAATACTCTTAAGGGAAGAGAAGTCTATTTGTATAAATCCACACAGTTTGCATGGAAAAATAAAATCTGCGGAAATGGTAGAGAATTACATTGCACTTTTCTAGACAAGTTGCGTGAAGTTGATTTATATATACAGATTCGAGGCTGGTACAGTATGTGTTTCGTATACACCGCTGCACCGATCCTGAAAAAATATGGAATGAGTTCATTTTCTTCTGGCAGTGCTTTTCCCAAAGAAAATAAGGCCTTTAGATCAGAAGTACTGTAGGCTAGGATAGTGTGTAACAGCTCTGTGTTTGTTAGGCATTTTGCATTCATTGAACTGTGTTCCGGTATTCTGCTGCATTTGTCCAGCTTGTGTTTACGAGCCCTGAATACCATATTGGGACCTCGTCCCGGAGTGAAAGGCGCTATACAAATATCATTTTGTTGTTATTTTGTTGTATTATTCAAGCTTATACAGTTCACGCCAAACCTATTATGTTTTGGTAAAGATGCAGAGTTAAGGATCAGAAGTAATGCAGTGAACTAAGCTGACTTACCCAATCCTTGCATGTTAATTCTCAGTACAATGTTTTAAACCTATAAAGAGGGGTTTTGGACTACTATTCTGCCTGCGATACACAAATTATCTATTGCCTTATGCAGGTTATGTCCCTGTGTAGACATTTGGCTATCCTACCCAAATGGTGCTGTAGAATTAAAGAGTTAATTTAACTAATCTAGCTATTTGACTTTATTTTCTGGGCACTCTGTCTCTCTGGGGAAAGGGGAGGGGGAGAGAGGAGAAACTTGTTTCTTTTCAAATTTGATGGTCCAGCTGAACCTCACGATGAACAGAATACCTTCTTGAACATAACTGGTTCATACACCTTAACTCGTGAGCTTACTAATGAGCAAACTGCTCCATAAATTTGCATTTTCGAAAGTTGGGAGCATAATTTGTGAATGCAGCATTGTTTTCTGGCCTTTCTGCAAAGTACATTCTGCTCTGTACAGTGGCCCCTTTGTTGCATAGGTGTTGTGTTTCCTTTTTTGTGGCCTGACACCTGGGAAAAGTATTGCAATGTTTTGATTTGGTAATCTGGCCAAACCCCATTGGTTACTCTCTAGTCACCATAATATGCAGGTGTAGTTTTATTAGCAAAAGGCTTTGTCTTACTTGATTCATGTCAGCCTGGCTTAGTTGGTATCTCTTTTGTCTCTGAGTCGGAATTTGTGGGTTCGAACCCTACGTTGGGACGTTGAGCTCACAGTCCAAACCTGGGGTTAGTGCTGCATTGTCGGAGATGCTGTCCTTTGATTGAAACATTAAACTGCGGTCCTGTCTGTAGAGGTTCAATTGGACATTGCACTATTCGAAAAGAGTTTCTCCCAGTGTCCCGGCCACCAAACCCCCAGATAAAATTGGTCATTCACTTCATTGCTATTTGAGGGATATTATTGTGTGTAAATTGACTGCCATGCTCAAAGATAATAATAATAATAATAATAATCCTTGCATTTGATATAGCGCTTTTCACGTCAGGAGGACGTCCCAAAGCGCTTCACAGAACACACTGTAAAGTGAATTGACTGTACATTTGTGGGCGAACGCGGCAGCCAATTGCGCACAGCAATGTCCCACAAACAGTCGTAGATTGAAAATGACCAATTTATTATTGTTTTTTGTTTTGGAGGGATTATTAGGCTCTGTGTGGAGTCAGGAAACTTGCCCAAGGTTTCGCCCTCTGCCGGGAATTGAACTTGGGTCTCTCGCTTGCAAAGCGAGTGCTCTAACCACTGAGCTACAGGACTCAACATCTCATTTGATGAATGGCATCTCCAGTAATACAGCACTCCATTGAAGAACCAGCCCACACAATGAGCTTGAAGATAAAATAAATAGACACTAAATTCTACCATAAATCCTGTGAAACATTTTGAGATGTCTCAACACGGTAATGAGGCCCTATATCAAATCCAAGGATGATAATTTTTATGTGCATTTATTAGGCCATTGGATCTGACCCACCTGCTCCCTTCGTAACCTGTATATGTTATGTTTCTGAAGCGAAATACAAAAATATTGCTTATATGTATCGTGGATGTTTCTCAAATAGGGCATTCAGCCCCAAGTAGCCGAAAGGTTGGACCACCCTCGTATAACTAGGCCTCAGTGTACTAACATATCTGCTTTTGTACTTACAACATAAGTGTTGAAAGTTGTGTTGCTTCTTTCCCAGGAGTGCATCTGCATTTTTTACTATAACCGTAAACATACAGATATGCACGCAACACACACAATCACAAATTGTATTTATATAGGACCTTTCAACAGCGCCAACATCAAAACTATCCAGCTCTACTATCCACAAAATCCAGCTGATCTAAAACTCTTGTCACTCTCCGTCACAGCAGTTTGAGTCAGGCTCCACTGGTTCCCTATCACAGAACGGATCGATTTCAAGATCCACTCACTCGTCTTCAAATCCCTTCATGTCCTGGCACCTCCCTACATATCCGACCTGCTTACGTACCTGCTGCGCCTGAAGACCTTCCTCTTCGACCGTGCCTACAGTTACTTCCCCCCCCCCCCACCAGCTCAGCATCATGCTCAGTCACTGTCGAGCGCTCCGAGGGGCTACCCTGTGTGAATGGCGCTGTATAAATGCACGTTGTTGTTGAATAGTTTCTCCTTGGCCCCTCTGTTCCAGGTGTAATATATCTCTGTCAATTGTTCTCCTGCTGAAAGCTGAGGTAGGGGATTCTTTTGCACACGGTTTTGCTGAAACTGTGCTCTGCCTAGTTCAAGTAGTTTCAATATTTGACATTTTTATTGCGTGTTTGCTCACAAAGTTGAGATTGAGATACATTTAGTGGAGTTGGAAGAAGGCTTAGGTCTGAAAGTCTGTAAGTTACTAGCTTACTTGAACATGCTCAATTACAAATTACAAGTTATCTGAAAATATTTGGATATCTAATGTAGTGTTTATAGCGCGTTTGGAGGGCATTTGGAGCAGATTCAGCGGAAAAAGTGCGGCTGCGATTTTCTATTGGCCCAGATTATAACATCTGGATCAGATTATAACATCAATCGCTGGATCAAATAAAATAGCTTTGTCATCTGTGAAGTGCCTAACCCCTTGCTCTGTGGCTGCCCTTGACTTTATAAGCCAAGTTTGAGCAGGCACTGCATAGACATATGTGACAGACATAGATTCTTTGGCTCAGTTGGTAGCATTCTCATTTCAGTCACAAGGTCGTGGATTTGGACTTGGTATCATCCTCTACGTTACATTTCGGAGCAGTGTTGGCTGCTTTATTGGAACTGTTGCCTCTGCAATGAGATGTTAAACTGCAATCTAGACTGTTCCAAAGAGTCTTCTAGCGGATGAGACTTTAAACCAAGGTCCAGTCTACAGTTAATTTATGCGCTGTTGGATCCATAAGCAGCTGTAAAGTGAAAGGCCGATTTATCTGGAGAACTGTTCACCAAAACACAGGCCGCAATGCAATAAGGATGTCAAGCAGGGGCCTACTTCTGGCTTGTCATGTTGTTACCACACCTCACATCCTTTATAAAGTTTTAAAGTTACATTATGGGCACTTGCAGCATGTAGCTCATTGTGGTCCTGACCAACCCAGAAGTCGATCATTTATAGCGTGGGAATCTGGCTTAACCTGTGACTATGTTGACCTACGCTGTCTGGTGTAAATTCATGTATCTCCTTAAATGGACGTATTGGGCACCCATATCTACATAAATCCCACCAGGATAAAATGTTAAACTGAGGTCCTGTCTGGCTGTTCAGGTGCAGGTGGATGTTAAAGATCTGTGACCCTATTTGAAAAGAGAAAGGAGTTGCTTCTTGTGTTCTGGTGAACAGTTCTCCAGATAAATTGGTCTTTCACAAGCTACTTGTGGTTCTGACTGTGCACAAATTAACTGCCATGTTTGCCTACCAATACACAGTCACTACATTTATCTGTGAAGCTCTCAAGTTTTTTTTTGACACGATAGCGTGCTATATCTTTTGGGGATTTTCAAAGATTTGTCATCGTATACCTGAAGTAATTATCATGAGCGGCAGTTCACGTTTTGCGAAAATGTAAAATCACACGCCACAAAGGTGTTTTGTCCTGGAGTTGTACTGTTCTAAAGTTAGCTCTAATTTCTACAGAGTTTGGGTTCCATATCAAGTCGAGACTTTTGTGACTTAACTTGGCGATTTAAAAATCTATACTGGCAAAGAAACACTTTGCACAGAGCATCTATGATCACATTGACAAGGTCAGTGTAATTTCGGTAAAGCTGGAAGAAGGAGACGTGTGAAATATTTGGACAGCTGTACTGCAGGCAGCCTTTTAAGCTAAGATTTCAATAAATGGTAATCGGGCTGTGCAATTCCATTAACTCTGTCTATTAACTGTGGGAAAAAAAAACAGCCAGCAGTGCAAAGTTATACTTTCTTTCAAGCCTGTGTCTGGAGAAACTATTCTGAGTTCTTACCCTTAGCAGGCTTCTTGCATTTATATAAAGAAATGGTGGCCAAACACAGGCCGAAAGTTTCTTGATTGAATATTTCTTGATTTACGCCATAAATACTAAATCAAAAAAAAATTGGATTGACCACCACTGACATAGAACCTCTCACATACGAGTGTCTTAACGTGCTTGATAAATGGAATGGTGGACACTGAGCAGGGAAATTAGAGATTTAAAGATGTTGAGCAAATACATGATCCATGGTTGTGTTCTTGGGAGGTTTCTGACTGTGGGGAGAACGTTAACCAGGTGAAGTAACTTTGGAAGAGAGTTTGAATGCTTGGTGTCTAAAAGCTCAGGTGGTGGAACAAGACATGGACCTGTGCCAGAATAACTTGAAGAAACTGACTGGAGGTAGTGTGGGTAGTGTGTGGTGAAATTGTGGCGAGAGTTGAGGACAAGGATATTAAACTCAGGATATTAAACTCAGGGTTCCTAGGAGACGAAGGGTCTTGGCAAGGAAGGTGTTACTGGGTGCACAGAGGCTTGTGCTGGAGGATGTTGATACTGGTAGCAGACTTGAGATGATAAATTAAAAGCATTGTTTGTGTGATGATTTTGCCCCCCTTCCCCTCAATATATTGTCTTCATTATTTGTCTACAAAACACACAGTCACTACACTAATATAAATCTTGTGAAGGCCTTTGAGAAATTTGTTTCAAGGACTACTGTATATCAAGCACAAAGCTTATTATATGTACACTAAAGATAAGCCTAGCAAAAATGGTTGCCTACAGGGAACTGAAGGTAAGGCTACTGCTCCTTTCAATAAATGGTCATTTACACTCTGAATTCCTCCTACAAATTGGAATGGCTTTTGTGTGCTATCAGAACCTTATTGAATTTTATGTTTCAAATCTACAATTCTTTATTCTCACGTATTCTACAGTTCATTTTCTAAGGACAATTGTGCTTCAAGTCTTCTATAGTCTGTTTATTTGTCTAGTTACCATTTGAAACTGTTGGCCATGGTTTTTGACTGGGTATTTTTGTAGGAATGCTAAGTGTTTTAGTGTGCACTGTAAAAACTGAGGGTAATGACCACAGACTTAAAATGCATATTTTTGTTTCAGAACTGGGGAAGGAATATTCAATCGGAATTGGAAGAGGAAAATTATTCCAAAAGAGAGCTCTAAGGTACAGTATTATATTTTTTGTTAAAAATCTGCTTCTTGTAGTTTCTCATCATACTAGCATTAAAACTCCTGGCTCTGTCCTGAAATACTTTTTCAATGTATAACGTATTTGCCAGATACCTGAATCCACTGGAAATCCAGAAAAGCTCCACACAATGTTTGACATAATCTGTAACTTACCTACAAGTAATTATCTATTGCACCAGGGAATTGGTTATGTTAACTGGTGAAGTATTTGATGCGGGTGCAGACAAGCCAATGGGAGCAAGGATTTTCCCACTCATTCCCTGTTATCTCTGTGAACCAAAGCCTAACAGGTAGGACAGTCCCACCTGGATAAGCAATAGCAGGCTTGCCAAATAGTGCTCTCAGGGTAAGCCATGCAATTTTAGCTGGTCAAACTCCAGCAGTGCCCCAAGCCATTGGAATTAGGGTGCATTCCCCCTGGGAGAAACTGTACATTCTATTGCAGACACGGGAAGTTTTCATGTATAGTTAGCATACATGTGCATAATTCTGTCTGGTTTAGATGCTAGTGTTCCACATGTGTCAGACATAGACATCCCAGCTGGCCAGAAAAAAATGTGTGGTTCATTATGCTCATGGAATTTCTCAGTAATAAGGAATCCCATTAATATTCCTGTGAAACTGTGGGAAACGCAGCTCTGGAAACAGATCCATCTGAGAATTAAACCCCAATGATACTATGGAAATTCCAGGACTGTTCAGCCTGATGCTCTCCTGGTGGTATTAGCATATTTAACTTCATCCTGTCATCTTAACGCAAAATATTGCTTTTAATCACACGGTCACTTAGGATTTCTGATCAGCTGGTACTTGGAACGTTGCGCTTTTAAAGCACTGCGGACAACTAACTTGCTAATTAAGCCCTGGATGTAATAATTTTTGAAAATTTTGGATGATCTTGAATTTTAAGTGATGATAGTCAAGCTAAGACTGTAAGGTGTCGGCCTTCGGGGCTCACCTTTTGCACACCTGAGAGAAGTACTTTGTCTAGATGTGAGTCAGCATTTTAGGAGACATTCTCTTGGAGTTGGGAGAATTGACATTTACTCTGGACTGTCCCAACTGTTCCTACTGAAGAGTTTCTGTTATTGGACTTTTTTGAAGAAGAAAAAATAGAGGCCATATTTTAAAGAAAGCCTTGAGGTGTTTAGACATTCATTCGAGCACGTGGCCAGGATTATTTAATCAACGGGGAAGCAGTTTTTTGAAAGGTCAAGCCATCACTATTCTGGAAAATGTAGAACCATTAGATTGGCATCTATGGAGATGACAAATATTGGAGTCTATTTACAAGTAAGTCTAGCATATTTTGAATAAAGAAAAAGACAAGCCTAGGTGTACATATGAAAGGTTAGTGTGTTGATCCAGGTTATTTGAATTTGGCGGTAGCAATTGGATGATATAACTTTCTATCTTTGGAAAATATTGCCCTTTACAAAAGCCCGTTGACTGAAGTGAAAGTTCAAGGAGACCAAGGAGATTTTGTAAAATCAGTAATTGATTGCCTAGGTATTAGGAACACAGGATGGGTCTTAGTGGCTTCATTTGTGAATCCGTGACCAGCAGACTACCAGAGGGATTGGTTGAGGAGATCTGACTGCGATGGTTATAAATCTTATAAGTGTTGGCTACGTAACCTCTGTAAAATTCTCTAAATTGCAAAAGAATCGCATGTCACATCCGCTCATCAGGATTTATACCAAATTGTGTGGGAAATTGTGGAGTGTTTGGAAAGAAGGGATTAAACTTCAGCTCTTTAACTGAGCGGGTGAATGGCAGATGGTATGATTTAGTGCTGAGAAATGGGATGCCTGTTGATGCTGAAATAGCAAATGTTACGCAATGGTTTGAGGTGGATTGCGGCGAAAGCAGAAATGTCACCCAATCTGACATCTTGACAAGTCTTGTTGGCTGAGAGAGCAAATAACGTTAAAATGTAGAATTCTGTGAATAGGTTCAAGATGTGGTGTTGTCTTGTACTGGTTCCTAAATATGCAGTGGAAATAATTTAAAGCTGTACCAAAGGTTTAGATCAATGAGCCAATAAGAACAATCAACTTGAAGAAAGTACAGATGGGGCCTCACTTTAATGTTTCATTTGATGGCTGCCCCTCCCCTGTGCCTGAATAACAGGGACCAAGAGTTTTCAAATGAGTTAATCTGGTACCTTGTGCTTCAAGCACAAAAGCTCGTCTGCAATAGTCCATGACTGTCACAAGTGACTTCTGCTGCAGTGATATTGGCAGCTAACAGCCTCAGGTCCAAACACTGTGACAAAGTCAGAAGAATACATAGTTCACCCTTGCAGCGGGTTGGTAAATTATTTAATGGTTTGACTGCAAGTTTAGTTGAAGCTCTACCCTAGAAGGTTGAACAGCCTATTGGGATAAAAGGTCTGTGTACAGAGTACACAAAATCTTCAGCTCCTTATAACTAAAGCGGTGAATTGTGCCAGAAAAAAAGAATGTACACTCCCCCCTGATATTTTTTCCCTTCGCTGTAAATTATCTTTCATTATTTATCCAATTAATTCCCTTTTAAATGATGTTCTGGACTCCACTTCCACCGAAATTTATTGTAATGCAATCCATATTCTATCCTATGGGGGATCTGTCTGGATGGGGGAGCTGGTTGTGTCTGGTTCGGTCTCTCTGAGTGATAGATGGGGTGTGGGTGGGCTGAGTCTGTCAGCGGTCTGTTCAGATGTGTCTGGGTGAGGGATGGGGTCTGGTTGTGTCTGGGTGGGGGGTAGGGTCTGGGTGGGGGATAGGGTCTGGGTGGACGTGGATGTGTCTGGGTGGGGGTTGGGGTTGCGTGAGGGATGGGGTCTGGGTGTGTCACTCTTCAGTAATTCTATTCTATACCAATGGTTCTTGTGTGCTGTGGTCAGTGACGCTTGCCACCAGCCAAACCTGATCTGAAATGGAATAACATTTTTTCCGTGGCCCAAATGTGATCTTATCTTAGATCCTATCTCACATTATGGAAGTCATTTTGGGCTGTCATCTACTTTTATGTTCAACTTTTGACAAAACATATGCTTACAAGCTTGTAATTGTTTCCAGCTGTCCATACAGCTGGTTCCTACCACCAAGAATGTTGGGTTATGCATGATATCTCTGACACTTTGAAATGCATCATGCTTGCATCGCTATCTGTAAAACTAATTGCAAGCAATTAAATGTGGAAAAACTCAATTTGTAGCTTTTCTCAACACAGTCAGGGCTACATTTACACACCGATATTTCAACTTGCATCCAGGATCTATATCGTCCACCTGATTTGTTGTATGCGTTTTAGTTGAATGCTATAATTGTGTTAACCGTATAATCCTTTAAAGGATTGTAAACTGCTTTTCTGGTTCGTTAAGAGTGAAGGCTTTGTTTTTTGACTCATTCATTTCATATTAATCCCTTGGTGGGATATTATGTTGCATTGTTCAGTGAAAGTCTCTTAAGTTGTGTAGCTTTCCACTAACAGCTACAAGGTCTTGAGATGGGCCTTGAAGGAGGTGTGGGTGTGAGGCGGAGGGATTCTGTGAGGGAGTTCCAGAGAGTGGGGCAGAAAAGTTGAAGGGCCGACCACTGATGGTAGGGTGGGCAGAGGATGTGGAGCAGGCCAGTGCCCACTGTGTGGAAGGAATGGCCAGATTGGAATGGTTTTAAAAGGTGGTAGAGGTAGAGAACGACAAGACTGTGAAGGGCATTAAAAGTGAAGATGAGTCTTAAACTCGATCCTCTGGGGGATGGAGAGCCAGTGAAGCTGGGTGAGGAGGGTCACAGAGCTTGGTGCTGGAGAGGACACGAGCTGTAGAGTTCTGAATAATCTGCAACCTTTGGAGGGAAGAAGGCCAGCGAGCAGAGAATTAACATAGTCAAGCCTGGACATGATGAAAGCATGGTTGAGGGTATTGGTGGCCTGAGGGGAGAAGTAATGGTAGAGGCGGGTGATGCTACGGAGGTGGGGGAAGGCTGAATGGATCATGGCATGGATGTGTGGTTTAAAGGACAGTTGAGGGTTGAACAAGACCTCAAGGTTTTGTACTGGCTTGGTGAGGTTCCTCACCAAACCCGAATGTATGCAGAAGGCTGAACAGTCTATTGAGATAAAAGGCTTCTACACAGAGTACAAAATGTTGAGCGTCTTACAACTAAAGTGATTTATTTTGCCAGCAAAAAGAATGTACAATCATGGACACTTATAGCTATAAAGGCACATTTGTCTTAAAAATTGATGGATTCAGATCTTCAGAGCAGTAAAGCCTAGTGTTTGGAAGGTTTTCTAACGGTTGATAGTATGAATACCATCAGTATTTGTCTTTTCATTTGTGAACTGCTGTTACAGTTGGAATTCTGAGGTTGTTAGAAATAGTGTAGAAAATAGATGAATTATCCAAATGCCCTTATTTTAGTCTGGTTTCTCAACGTGGACCACAACACCAGTGGGGAGTGGCGAGGAGTCTGGAGACAATTTCCTGCCCACAATACTCCTAGGAGCAGGAAGCAGTGCTTTCCATGGCAAACTATTTAGCTGGGTAAACTCCAGCAGCACCTCCAACTCCCACTCAAAGGTCCCCAAGCCTTTGCTCTTGCCAACTTGTGCCTAATTCTCTGGAATTACATAAGCAGGGTGCGTCCCTCTGGGGAGAGAGCATTCATTCCATTCCTGGCACACAAATTAAAATGGATAGGTGGCATGTATGGAATTCTGTCTGGCTTGGACAATCTTAAATATGGTGATGGGTTTCCAGTCACAACTGGCTGGCCACACCCTTTTACACTTGTCGACCTTGGATTTGTAGCCTTTTGTCACTGGTGTAGCAGTAGTTTTATAAGAAATGATCAATCAATCCATACATTTCGTACAGCGCATTTTCACATCAGTAGGACTCTCAAAGCGCTGCACAATAAAGTTTCATGACTGTGAATTTTGTGGGAAAAAGTCGCAATGTATGTGGTGATAGTAATGGGTGATATGTTCTAGTTTCCAGAAGGAGTTCTCTTTTGAAGACAAAGAAGAATTTGTCAAGAGCACAAAAGACATAGACGCCAATCTACTTGCTGTACTTCCTAAAGGTTAGTAATATGCTGGAACAGTGATAGAATTTCTTTAGCTAGTTAAATTAGATAATTATTTGGTGGAGGACAAGTTTGCAGAGCTATGGGGAGAGTGCGGGGAAGTGGGATTGAATTGGATGGCACTTTTCAAAGATCCGGCACAGGCATGAAAGGCCGAATGGCCTCCTTCTGTGCTGTATGATTCTATGATTACAAAAACACCAAGATAGTGGGAGGTATTCATAGCATCAACACTCGATGGAAGGGATTAATTGTGCTTTGAGAACTTAAGCTGAAGTGTTAATGTAAAGGTGGCAAGAGCAGGAATCTTCACCGCTGGGCCCTAAATGAAATCAGTTGCCAAATTTAACCATTATTAAATTACCCCAGATCTCAATGCTGGCATATATCTCATGGATTGATACAGTTGAAATGTTCAGGTCGGGTTCATAAATATTATTTTCTTTCTCTTCCATTATTTTCCCCACCTCCAGAGGTTAACATGGCACCAACCTTGAGAGGTAAACGTGGTGCACACAGTTCAAAGCTGCACTGTTTTGTCGCATTGCATTTGACATTTAATATGTTTCCAATTCTTTCTTATGGGTGTAAATTCTGAAGAGCTGATCCTTCATTTTCTTCAAAGTTACTATACTATCAAGTGAATTGACTGTATATATTGTGGGCGAAACGTGGCAGCCAATTGCACATAGCAGTGTCCTACAAACAGTTATGGATAGAGTGACCACATTTTTTGGGGGGAGGGATTATTACCCCGGGAAAAGCGATCCGCCAATCGACTAACAACTGGGTTCCTACTTACTGCTAGGTAAACAGAGACTCGTGGAGTAAGGAAACTTGCCCTATGTTTCAACTTGCCAGAATCGAACCCAGGTCCTCTTGCGAGACGAGTGCTCTAACCACTAAGCTACAGGACTCCATGCGTTTATAGATTCAAGCCGATTATAACATGAATTGAGAGTTCAGAACTAAGTAACAGTATGATGGTATCGAGTCTCGACCAAGATTTGAGATTGGAAAGGGATTCTGCTTCTCTCCCAAATTATGAATGTAATAAATAATAATCGTTGCATTTCATACAGTGCCTTTCACATTAGGAAGATGCCTCAAAGCGCTTCACAAGATTTACTGCAAAATTTAGCCACTGTAGGTGAACTGTACTTAGTAGATGAACAAAATGTACACTATGTTTAAAATAAAGTTATGGTAGTGATGATGATGATAATAATGATCCTTTCCATTGGAGATGTTCTTCAGGCCAAACCTGTTGAAGGTGGTGCTCAGCCCAGTGAAAACATGAGTGATTCACAAAGATAATGATCGATAGATAGTCAAATTACCATTTGATGTTATCTTGGGTTTCTGGTACCAGTTGAGTTGCGTGTATAAAACTGTAATATAATAGTGTCCTAGTCAGTGCTATCTTAGTGTCCTGTACCTTACTTACAGCCATGCAAAAAATGTGAGATGATTAATGCAAAGGAACCATGATGCAGCCCAAGGGAATTGGGGTAGAATCTGTGGCATGAAAGCAATCCTTGGCAACTGCTCGACAAATTATTATTAGTGCATCATAGATTACCATGTTAGTGTCTGTGTTCATTTAGGGGACGTACCAGAGTAGGTCACAGCAGAGTTTTGCAATGAATTGGTAATGCATGACCTCGATCATCGGCGGATCTTAGACAGCACATTTTTGGCCATTTTTCTCCTCTGATTCCTATCGGTTCTGATGCACAGATCCCCCCTTGGCATTTTCTTTGCACTTGAAAATGACATCTGTGTCTGGTTCACAGGCTTCTACATTCCTGCGCTGTCCTGTTGCTATAATGCAGTCACCATTTTCTATCCTCTCCGCTGAGTTATGACCCAGTAATGTGTTCTTCACCCACACTTCGCTAAGTTCCTCCCCCCATACGTGTATTCAAACGATATGTGGGCACGATCGCATAGTGTTTACAGAAAGAGGGCAAAACTTCTAGCGGTTTTGGGTAACCAGGGATAGTGAAGGGAGTTTAAAAGGTTTTGATTTTAATCGTTCTTTTTCTCTTTTCACCTACTTTCCTTGTGTGCTGTTCCCAATTTTCTTCCACCACAAGGTACTGCACAGATGGCACTGCATTGCCTCCTTTGTTAGGGTATGGAATAACAAGCATCGGTACCTTGCCCCCGAGTGGCTATTTTTGGTCCGTTTTAAAAGTACCTGGTGAATTCTCAAAATGTCAGTTCTTGGGAGTATTATTTTAAATAACTGGGTTATCGGGTACAGAAATATTTTGGGGGAGGTGGAGAATGGAGGGTTAATGACCTGTTTTTAGCCTGGAATCAAATTCCTCTTTTTTTCTCTCTGTTTTACTTCTTGACTCTAAAGTGGGTGGAGTGCAGTGAATTTCTGATAGCTATTATTGCAGATCCCCATGAGGCTGTAACTGGGTTCACTTTGTATGAATTGCTTCCAGATATTTTAGAAATCCAAGCAATAAGTGCTTGCCACTTAAACTGATTTTAAAAATCCTTTTTGGTGTGGGGGTGTTTTCAAAAGAGAAACTGCCTTCAGGATTTCATCTTTGCGTTCAAGGCTATTTATCTGTTGGTACAATTAAGTCTGGATTTGAGACCAAATCATGTGTTAAAGTTTTACAGATGTAGATGAGGTCATTCACTACATAATGACACTCTGTGACCAGGAACTGTAGTGGAGACATTGCCTTAATGACTGCAGTAAGTAACAGGAGCATGCCTTAGGAAAACTAGGTTAACCCCTAATGAGTATTGTGTTTCTTTGGCAACTTATTTCCGTTTTTGCCAACTTTCACTCCTTTCCTAACTTCCTTGAAGGAAAATGGTTCCATGGAAACTAACCATCTCCTGGGCCTTGCCCAAGCCGTGCTTTTTCATGCGAGTCTAGACAGTGCGTGCCAGAGAGCTGTCCAACCATGGAAGTCTCAGCTGACCTTACTCGTGGAGTTTCCAACAGGGGTTTACTGGATAGCGATCAGGAATGGGAAACGCTGGGATGATTTTTTTAATGGAAATATTTTATATTTTTTTGAGTCCAGGTGTAGACATCCTGTCGTCGGGTTTCACAAGTTTTGCATCTCTCAGGGCAGGATTTCTTCTTATTCAGCTCCTGTTAACCCTGCAAGCCAAAGCCCTAACAATAGACGGTGCTAGCTGGACAAACAGCAGGAAAGCTTGCCAGGCAGTGCTCTCATTAGCAAGTGAATACAGTTTTAGCTGGTTAGAATCCAGCAGTACACCAACACACATTCTGGGGTCCCCAAGCCTTGGCTCCTGCCAGCCTACACCTAATACTCTCTGGAATAAGGTAAGCAGGATGCATCCCTCCAGAGGGAGAGAGTGCATTCCATTTCAATACACAGAGATTTCCATGTGTAGGCAAGATGATTGAAGCCTCAGTTTGGTTTGGATACTCTCAAGCACGAGATGGGTTTCCGCATGTGTCAGACACCCGACTAACCCAAAAAGGTTTTCCATCTTCGTTGAAAACACACCAGATTAGCAAACTTCATCAGTGCTGTCATTCAACCAATGGACATAATGAGGCAGTGTTTATTTTAGTCTTTAATCTAAACCTAATGCCACAAATATTATAGTAATGCAATTGCCAACTTATTTTTAAATGCATTGTGGGCTCCCATTGCTTTTAGGAACATTTATTTCATCCCCGCTATATTGTGACATCTACAAGCCACAGCATTAGAATAAAGCAAAATGGCTAAAATGAGTAAAGTTCTGGAAGTAAATGTAATTCCATTTAAGTGGAAGTATTTTTTCAGCTAATCTCGAATTTAGAACTGGCACAACTTATTTGAACTCCACTTATTTCGGTTGGAAAGTACATGCTCCCAGAGTGTTCCGTGCTTAGATGTTCCGTGCTTATCATCCTGTTAAAACATTTTTAAATAAAATTTTACCCACAAATGTATGCAGTCAATTAACTTTGCAGTATATTCTGTGAAGCGCTTTGAGATGTCTCGAAGATGTGATAAGGCGCTATATCAAATTCAAGAATTATTATTATTTTTATAAAATACAGTGGAGCCTTGTTCTCACGTGTGGTTTGGTTGCTTTCTGTAAAATCTTAAATGCCAGGCGCAATAAAGTGTTTCATTGTAATTGTGCACAGCTAGACTGGCTTGCTCCCTCCACAACTCTAAAACAAATATAGCCAACTTTCAGTTCACCACCAATATAATTTCCTGTTTGCTGTGCAAAGCAGGAAGTGACTGGTAGTAACCTAGCGACCCAGAAGTCGGTCATTTATTTTAGCTTGGAAATAGCTGACTTCTGGGTTATTCGATTAAAGTCACTTCCTGCTTTGCACAGTTGCAGCAAACCTGGGAACTGGGAAATGAGGTGCATGCGTGGAGACTAGGGTCATTGTCTCACAAGCGAGAAGACTTGGGTTCAATTCCCGGCAAGTTGAAACCTTGGGCAAGTTTCCTTACTCTACAAGCCTCTGTTTACCCTGCTGTAGGTAGGAACCCGGTTGCTAGTCGATTGGCGGACCGCTTTCCGGGGGTAATAATCCCTTCAAAAAAAATTGGTCTACGACTGCTTGTTGGATACTACTGTGCACAATTGGCTGCCACATTTGCCCAGAAAATACAGTTAATCCACTTTACAGTATATTCTGTGAAGCGCTTTGAACTATCTCAATGACGTGATAAGACGCTATATCAAATGCAAGGATTATTATTATTACAGGACAATTGAGTTAAATCGAATTTGTGCTTTAAGAAGTGCATTATAACAGTAATATCTCATATAGCCTGTTTAAATTAATACATAGTAAATTTAATTCAATTATCCAAAAGATGGTTCCATTCATCATTCTGTCTGCTTTCTGGAACTTCATCCCAGAGTCCGTCCAACTTGCCTCCTCTCTTTCCATTTTCAAAGTCCACACACACAAACACCCTCTTCAATTCTCACTCCATTAGCTCTGGTTCCCAGAGAGTTGTGTAAAGTGAGTTGGGACATGAAATTATATAAATGAAGACTGTATTGTAAATGACATTGCACTAAAGCTTGCATATGGGATTTCAAATTGTATAACAAAATAGTTCAAAGTTTGCATCTCAACAAAATTACATTTATAGAGCGCCTTTCACGTCGGAGGACGTCCCAAAGCGCTGAACAGTCAGGTGTCGGGGTCCGAGTATGGGGGAGGGATGGTGTAGGGCTGAGGAAAGGCAGAGAGGTGGGAGGGCGACCAAAGGCATGATCGAAGAGAAGGGTCTAGAGACCGGCCTTGAAGGAGACAAGGGAAGAAGTGAGGTGAAGGGACCGTGGGATGGAGTTCCAGAGTGTGTGGGCAGAGAGGCTGAAAGCCCGGCCACCGATGGTAGGGCGGTTTGGGCAGGAAACATGGAGCAGGCCGGAGCCCGCTGAATGGATGGAGCGGGCAGGTTGGTAGAGAATCTCCTACATTCAAAAAGCAACAGATTGTATCTGTTTTTTGAGAAATGTTTGACAGTGAGACACCATTTGTGCAGTTTTGAATGTAGAGATTGAATGCTTTTACGGGTTAAGTTTAAGGAACATAATGTGGTCTAATGGACCTTTTTATCAGAAACAGTTGCTGGAATAGTCTCCTCAAGCGTTTCCCAACAGCTGGTTTTGTTTATATCCTGTTGTTAATGTTCTTATGATGCTGTACACTGTGTTTTGGGACAATTATTTTGGCTGAATTAGTTTCACTTCGCCTTTCGGTTAAAGGGTTGCGGTTTCAAGTCTCAAGTTGGACTGACAGTCCCAGATGCACTGCAGCACCTCCGTTTTTAGATGACCTGATGCCCTTGGGAGACAGACGTTAAACCAAGGTCTGTCTAATCAGGTGGTTGTTAGAAAGAATTTGTGATTCTGTTTCAAAACAGAAAAGAACAGGGAATTTCTTCCGCTTTCCTGGCCAACAATCCTCCAGATAAATTGCTCATTCACTTCATGGCTGCTTGTGGGACATTTTGCTGTGCAAGTTGGTTGCATTGTCTGCTTACAGATAGACAGCCCCTACATCTGAAACGCTTTGAGGAGTTTCAACTGTATTACGTGTTACAACGACAACAACTTGCATTTATATAGCGCCCTTCAGACGGGTAATGTCCCGGAGTGCTTCACAGTGCCGGAATCTGACAATGACCCAAGGGGAGGGGCGAGGTGACTAAGTATGATCAAAAGGGAAGGTTTTTAGGCATGAATTGAAGGTGGGGAGGGAGGGGACAAGGTGAAGGGATTGAGAGAGTGAGTTCCAGAGTTTTGGGGCATAGTAGCTGAAACTACGACCACTGATGGTGGAGCGGAGGACATGAGGGACAAGTAGGAGGCTAGAGCCAGCTGAGCGGAGGCAGTGGGTGGTGAGTTGGGGGTAAGCAGGTTGGAGAGGTAGGGAGGTGTGAGGGCATGAAGTCATTTGAAAATGAGTGAGAGGATCTTGAAGTTGATCTGTTCGGTGTTTGGGAGCCAGTGGAGCCTGACTAGGACTGGTGTGATGGGGGAATGGAGTTTCATATGGGTGAGTATCTGGGCTGCAGAGTTTTGAATTCATTGGGTTTTGTGGAGCTGGGGAGACCAGCGAGGAGGCCATTGGAATAGTCCAGCTGGGAAGTGACGAAGGCGTGGACAAGGGCTTCAGTTGTGAGGTATGGACGGAGACGGGCAACATGGCAGAGGTGGAAAAAAGTAGTCCTGATCAGGGAATGAATGTGTGGGAGAAAGGAAAGCTGGGGTTCGAACCTGACCCCTAGGTTGCACACAGGTTTAGAGAGTCTGAGGGAGAGACCAGGGAGGTTGAAGAGTTCAGACCTGCAGGAGAGAGGACGTTGACGAGAACCAAAGAGCATGGCTTCCATCTTGCCGACATATGAGATATTTCAATGTTCCAGTCACTATATCAAATGCAAGGATTATTATTACTAACATGAGTTAGTGCAGCTTTCAGGAGAATGGCCCGTTCTCTTCAATGTATTTAAATATTAGGTGTCACTGCCCTGCAGGCAGATTGACTTTCCTCTGAACTGAACCCAATTGCTGAGAGCACAATGTTTTTCTTAACAAAAACTAAATGTACTGTGATTTCACAGATTAAGCACAGGCTGCAACAACTCTGTTTAAACCTCTCATCGTTTTGCTCACCAAGTCGCTGCAGATGTTGGGGGCCAAGCATAGATCCTTGAGGGATCTACATATTAGGGATAGGAGTAAAATACAGTCCATTTATCACAACCTGCTGATCACATCCACTGAGCAAGTTGTATGTTCAGTTCAGTTACATCTCCTTGGCAGACAAGTTTCTCAATGAGGCTGGGTTGCCATAACCCTAGTGTTGGCTATATAAATGTGGGGGCCGCTACCATAATTTTATGTTTGAAATTGAAAGAATCTCTAGCTTTTGCAGATATACTGTCCTTGTTTGGTTGAATGAGTTTGTTACCGTAGTTTTGTACCCATCTCCTTCATCTAATCGAATCCGGCTATCTCTTTTTAGGAAATGAGTCACGTGCCACAACCTTAGGTAAAACTACATCTGACAACCACAATTGATTTGTTTTGATCAGCCGGGTGTCTGACACATGCAGAAACCCATCACCATGGTTGAGAGTATCCAAACCAGACTGAGTTCCACACAGTTATGTCACCTACACTTGTATCAGCCTACCCATTGAGGCTTTGGCTTCCAGGGTTAACTGGAGCTGAGTGAGAAGAATATCTGCCCTCCTGCCAACAAACCTGGCTGGCTGGCTGGCTTGACATCAACAGTATCCTGCAGTGGTACAGCTCAAATTAGCTCAAGAACCGGACAGCAGTCAAATCAACTTTATAGTATATTCTGTGAAGCGCTTTGAGACATCTCAAAGACTTGAGGCACTATTTCAAATACAAGGATTATCATTAGTATTATTAAGAAAGATTCACTTGATTTCAACATTTCCTTGCCAAGCACATCACCTCTCCAAGGAGACTCCACTTACTTCTTTTCCCCTCCGTTCTCCCTCCAAGGAGGAGCAAAGATAGGACCCTGATGCACACCATGTTTCTATGCGAGGCCAAGTAGAGAAAGCGTTGAGAATACAAAGTGGAGGTGATCGGTCAAGTGGAACTCAGTGCATCTCGGTGGATGTGAATGAGAGTAAAGGTGGTCAAGGAGGATAAGAGTTGATGACAATGTTGAAGGCAGCAGAGAGATCGGGTTGAGGAGGCATAGGGACCCCTGGTCACAGAGTGAGTCTACATTGTTCGACAAGGGCTGCCTTGATGCTGTTGAGCAGGACAGAGGCTGGTTAAGATCAAATTGTCAAAGAACTAGGGGATAGATTCCCATCCTTGGCCACAGAATATGATGACTTTGAGAGATCTAAAGGTATGAGTCACAGAAGGAGATCAGAAGGAAGGGGATGGCTGAGTGGAATAAAAAGGTGCATATAGCGTTTCAGTCGAGGCCTGTGCAATGAAAATACTAATGTTCTTTAAAAAAAACATTGTTTTTTAAATGAGGTACGTCATTAGGTATGTCATTACATTTTGCCCACAAATATATAGTCAATTCACTTTACAGTCTATTCTGTGAAGCGCTTTGAGATGTCTAGAAGACGTCAAATGCAAGGATTATTATTACTATTATATTACTTGCTTGTACCTCTTGAGTTGCAGAGTTTGCATTCGGACATATAAATATGTCTCTTTAAATACATCTCTTTCTTAGTTTCAGAACTTCGAAAACTTTTTGAAGCTGGTCAGAAAGCCACTGTCGAAATGAACAGGTATTGAGGGAATTTATACACGATCATTTTGGATACAAAAATGAGAAGGGAAAAATTTGATGATCCATGAAGCTATAGTCTTCTGTTAGCGTCATTGTAAATTATTCATTCTGCTTCCCTTGATTTTTTTATTGCGTGTGTTGTGTGGTGTTTGGATTCTTAAAAAGTTATAGTTCGTGTTGGGCTTTGCTGTATTCAGTGCAACACCGTTTTGCACTCATTGTCCTGTCGCGCTTTGTCCCGTGCAGGAAAGAGCGAATTGCCAGACGTTTGGAAGGAATTGAGAATGACACACAACCAGTGCTCTTACAAAACTGTCCTGGTTTAGTCACTCATCGCTTGCTGGAGGAAGATACTCCTAGGTACACACGAGCTTCTGATGCTTGTAGCCCATGCTTGGGTAAGAGTTTTTTTTTCAAAAGTTGTCCATCATTTTGTGCTTCAGTGATGTTGTGTGTTATAAACGCGTTTCATAGAATGTTAGCAATACAAGAGGCCGTTCACTCCATTGTGCTGGACTCCTTTAAGAAATATTTTCTGCTGGAATGGGATGAGGTGTAGGGTGGATACAAATGAACCAAAAGGCCTTCTTCGTCCAAATCATTTGTGTGATCTTGTGGTGTTGGTCCCACCACTGAGTTCTACTCTATTACCAATTACCCTATTCTTTTGCCGCATACTTACAATTTATATTGCAATAGACTATTTACCCGGTTCCACTTTAAATACTATAACTTCAGATGACCATACACCCCCAATTTCCAGGGATAGTCATTGTTGTTGTTGTAGTCCCTTGATGATCTCTGAGACACTACCTTGTGTGAGGGGCCCTATATAAGTGCAAGTTATTATTGTTGGATGAGGTATTGTGTCCCTTTGCCCTGTCTGGAGTTCAGCAACAAACTGAGTAAGAACAATAACATTCTAAAACAGATACACTCATCAGAGAAACACACCCATTAATCCAACAAGCTTCTCCAGTGCTGCCAGCATCAGCAATTACAGTGAGTTTAATCATTTTTTATACGTGTCCCCGGATTTGGTTTACAAAATATGGAAGGGTGGAAAGCGGGGGTCAAGCACAATCAAAGAGGAGGGTCTTGAGATGGGTCTTGAAGGAGGCAACGGAAGGGGTGAGGCGGAGGGACCGCGGCATGGAGTTCCAGAGGGTGGGGGCTGAGTGGCAGAAGCCCCTCCCCCGCCAATGGTGGGGCAGGCGAAGCTGGAGCCGCTGAGCGGAGGGAGCGGGGAGGATGGTAGGGGTGAGCAAAGCCATGGAGGGCTTTGAAGGTAAGGACCAGGATCTTGAACTGTGTCCTCTGTGTGATGGGAAGCCAGTGGAGTCAGCCGAGGGTGTGGGTGATAGGGTCACGGAGCCTGGTGCAGGAGAGGAAACGGGCTGCAGAGTTCTGGATGATCTGCAGCCTATAGAGGATGGAGTTGGGGAGGCCGACAAGCAAGGCGTTTGCAAAGTCAAGCCTCGATGTAATGAAAGTGTGTATGAGGGTTTCGGCGGCCTGTGGTGTGAGACAGTGGCTGAGCCAGGCGATGTTGCAGAGGTGGGGGAAGGCAGAGCCGGTCATGGCATGGATGGTAGAAAGGATAGTTGAGGGGCAAACAAGACGCCAAAGTTCCGGACTGGCTTAGTAAGGTGGAGTGTGCAACCATGGATGGTAATGCTGTCAACGCCTGAGGTGTGACAGCATCCAGCCGGGTCCACAGTATTCCAGGGCACTGCTGATGACAGCATCGCCAGCCTGGCTCGTCGGCAGGACTTGGAAGGGCAGACCAGTCACTGGGCCAGGGAGTCATCCCACTCAGCTCCTGTTGACCCTGCAAGCCAAAGCCCGAATGGTTAGAGTGGTCCTAGCTGGACAAGCAGTGGGAAAGCTTGCCAGACAGCAATATCAATGGCAAGCTATGCATTTTTAACTGGTTAGACTCCAGCAGTGACCCCCAACGCACACTCTGGGGTCCCCAAACCTTGGCTCTTGCCAATCTGCGCCTAATACTTTCTGGAATAGGTAAGCAGGATGTGTTCTTCTAGGGGGAGAGAATGGGCATTCCATTCCAACAATCTATCTCTGGGATTTCCATGTATAAGTAGGATGCATGAAATTCTCAGCTTGGTTTGGATACACAGAGTGATGGGTATCCACGTGTGACAGACATCCGGCTGAGCCCCCCCCCNAAATTCTACTGCGCTGGCGGGAAAGTCGAAAGAGGTGGTGCTTACGTACAAGGAGGGCAAAACGAGAGGGATTTGCTCATGGTATTGTAGTGCACCACCTGGTGGCCTAACCAAGAACAATATTAGCAGAGACTTGGCAGCTGGGCACCTGTCTGCATTTTTAGCTGGAATCGTGAGTAATGCACAGGACTTGGAACGTTTTCTTCAATGCATCAATCAAATGTGCTAGTCACAGGGTCTGGTATTTTGAGCATAGGCTTCTGCCATGTATTGTTCTTTGCCAGTCAGGTCTTTGGATAACAAAACAGGAGGAACCGTCTTTGCACAGAGGGTGGTGAGAATGTGGAACTCACTGTCAAAAGCCGCTGTTGAACCAGGAAACATCAATGCTTTTAAGAGCAAATTTGATGCATATGTGAACTAGAGGGGTGAGGCAAATAGAAGAGGTGGAGGCTTATGCTGCACAGTCTATGTAATCCTTGGTAATTCTGTGCAACAAAGTGTCTGTTGATCTGACAACAACAACAACAACTTCCATTTATATAGAGCCCTTCATGCTGATAGTGTCTGAGTTGACGTTATTGAGACCCACTAGAGCTGGGAGTTTAAACCACTCAGCAAAGCTGAAGTGTCCAGATAATAATAATAATACTCATTGCATTTGATATATAGCATCTTATCACATCGTCGAGATTTATATTACTTCACAGGATATAATGTAAAGTGGATTGACTGCGCATTTTGTGTGTGAACGATATGTGTACTTAGATTAAACTTGCTCTTAATAGAGTTCTTAGCTCGACAAGCCTGTATTTAAATACTTTGTCAGGAAAGCACAAAAAACGTGAGACTAATCGATCCAGGCCTATGCTAGTTCACCTTTTAGTGAACAGTAGCCTGGAGCTAAGGTAAACATCCTAACTCTACCGATGTTCACTAAGACGCAAAAAATTCTCGCTGGTCATTTATAATAATAATAATACTTACATTTCATATAGCGCCTTCTCACGTCATTGCGATGTCTCAAAGCTCTTCACAGAATATACTGTAAAGTGGATTGTCTTTGTACTTTGTGGGCAAAACGCGGCAGCCAACTGGCACACAGCAGCGTCCCACAAACAGTCGTGGACTGAGAGACCAAATTTTTTTATGGATGTGGGACGTGACATGGGGAGAACACTGAAGAGGAGACAAATGGATGAAATTATATCAATAAATTAACCTTTATAAACACTGTGTCTTTGTCTAGCTAGAAGATCGGATAATGAAGGATTAGACCATCAGTCAACTGAAGACCTGTCAGAAAGGCAGTCGAGGCCCAGATGCCGTGAAGAGCCTGACCATATGCACAGCGAGTCCAAGTATATGGTTGGCATGGACACCGAAGCACTAGAAGCCAAAGCTGAAAGAATAGCCAGATACAAGGCTGAGAGAAGACGACAGCTGGCCGAAAAGTATGGCATTGCCCTGGACTCTGAACCTGACAGCAATACGCAGAGAAACCCGCGATCGCGGAAGGAGGTTGAGTTGGATGAAAAGGTGCCGTCGCAGCCAGATCACAGCGATGACTCGAGTCCAGTGCAGAGTTCTAGGGTTGAAATGGTCTGGGAACCAAAGACGCTTTCGCCTGGTGCTCCGAATGAAAGTTTCTTCTCCGACAGAGTTGATTTCTCTGAGAGAGAAACCCTCCTCAACAAAGAAAACCACAAAAGAGCGCATAAAGCGATTGCCAAAGGAAGAGACTGGGAGCTGACGTGCGATCGCGACTTTAACGAGTCTACCGTGACCGACGCTCCAGGCTCGCCACCGTCCCCTCGGAGGTTTTCGCTTTCCTCCCCAAAGCGGTCCATTGAGTCATGTGATTCAGTTAGTGAGCAATGCCAGAGTTTGCAGAGTAAAAGAGGGTAAGGATTTATTTAAATAATTCACGTATCTCGTTTTGTCCGGGCGTCTACTCCATTGCATAGGCACGGAATATTCGAGTAACTATTGCGGGCAGATTCTATTTTAAGAAAGACTGCCAATAAAATGAGAGGCTACGTAGAAAGAAGAAAAAAAATTGCATTCTTACAGTGCCTCATCACACTGCAACACTTTGAAGTTCTTCCAAGTAATTACTGTTAAGTGCAGTGCCTTTCTTATTGCAGGCAAACTAATATCAGGACAAGAGGGTAAAACGCAGTTAGTCAAGGGTCCAATTTCCTGTGATTCAATGTGATACTGAACATTCAATTTTTTTTAAAAACTAGATGTGTAGTAATAATAATAATAATTCTTGCATTTGATATAGAGCTTTATCACATCGTTGGAACATCTCAAAGCGTTTCACAGAATATACTGTCAAGTGAATTGACTACTTTATGGGTGAAACGTGGTAGCCAATTGCACACAGCAGTGTCCCACAAACAGTCGTGGATTGAGTGACCAAATTATTATAATGCATTTCAGTACTGTAGGATGGTTCTGTGGTATACTTTGTGCAGAATTGGGTGATTGATTACTGAATTCTTTTAATTTGATTTCACTGAGAACTAAATAGTAATAGTCATTGGGGAAACCGGTGCAAATGCTGTGACTGACTAGTTGTAAAAAGCCCTGTGTACGTAGAATGTTAAAATCTGCCCTATCTCTGTGCTGCTCGTATCTGAAGCAGGTTCCCATTTGGGATCAAATTGTTTTTTATTTCGGTCGCTCTCCGAAGGAGGTAGAACAGTAAATGCAGTGACGTTGGGAGATCTAAAAGCAACAATTATTTTCGATTTTTTTTTTGCCTCAGCTTGGAACATTTACTGAAGTGGTTTCAAATACCTCATTTGTGAATGCTCAATTTTCATAGCTGTTACACAGAATGTTGCAGCATGGAAATTGGCCATTCCACCAAGCTTATCATTGCCAGTGTTTATACCCCTTTCGAGTCCCCTCTCCCATACTCCTCTATTCCATTCCTCCCCCATGTATCCATCAGGTTTCCTTTTTAAAGACATGGATGGTATTTGCTGCAACCACTACTTCCCACAATGAGTTCCACAATCTCACCACCCTCCGTGTAAAGAAGTTCCTCCTAAGATCCCACTTACATGTGCTCCTGCCTGTCTTATATTGATGCACCCTTGTTTTGGATCACCAAACAACTTAACCCCTTTTCTGCTAGCAGGTAATGTCTGTTTCTCCCTGATACATTTTGAGCTCTTACACTATGATGCTGAAACAGTTTGTTTCTACAAGTAATAAGGTTACTCTGCTGTAAGGAGCAGCTTTATTACTGTAATAACCACAAGCTATAAACTACTGAAAGGGTTCACGCCTAGTCACCCAGTCAACCTTCCCTTTTCCCCCCCCCTTGCCTGTTCTTCCCTTTTCCTGTTCTTTTTTATTTATGTTCAATTTAACTTTTACCACACTGATTTAATCTCTTCTGCTTATTGTAACTTTCTATTCTTGATCGCACCCTTTGCTCTGCTGTTTTCCGCCGTCTTGCAGCTCACACCCTCCACTTCTGAGGCAAGAGTGATATTTGATTCAATTGGCAGTTTGAGTGAAACTGGCCAGTTTCGAAAGCCAGATGTTCTGCTCAGTTGGCCAAGAAGATATTAAATGTTGGCTTGGCTGCATGGTAGCCCCGACCAGGTCAATCTTTGTTGAAACATGTGAAATGGAAAGGGCTGGCTGATCACTGTCTTCATTTGTCAGCAGATTGATTCTAGCCAAATCATTCTGGGCAAGGTAATGGTTAACCCATGCGGCATCTCAGTAGACACATTGAATTTATAAGCATTGTTAAAAGCCTAAAGAGTAAATTCTTGCCAGTTATCCCTATGTTCATCCAGTTGATTCACATCTCTTGTAATACAGTTTTCGTTCTTTAGATATATAATGTAGATTAAAATTTAATGCATAGTAGACTTGGGGACATTAAGCGTATGGACAATGTTCTTATTTATAATGTATGATGGTACCTTTACCCTTGGTGTAAGAACGCAATCATTTAAGTTTTACTTTTAATTTTTGATTTTGTCTCTTCACTCTTCCCCCCCCACACACACATACACACACACAAACACCACTTATGTCTGCTTCATCTCAGATGGGGATTTAAAAAAAGGTCTGGTGGCCGCACAACATAAGGTTAACGGCACACAAATGTAAACCACCATTACAACAACCATTCATATTCATTTAGTGCCTTTCACATCAGGAGGTTGTTTCACACATCTTGTTGGGGCAGGGGCACCTTTACTAATGAGATATTTCATTAGGAGTATTCTTACCTATGAACCAATTATAATATGTGCCTTGAAAAGAGCCTTGTCGAGTTGTATAAGATGTTAAATTGGATAGAGAAAGTAAGTATGGAACAATACTTTCAAATCTATTTAGACAGCAGGACAAGAGGGTTGAGTGCTGTGAAGGGTAATCTTAGGACAGTCACCAAGAATGATTTGGATGGTTGAGAACAGAATTTACTTTTAGGGAGTTAACATTTCCTTTCCTGTAATACCTGTTCTTGTTACGTAATTGGAAGTGTAAACAGTGTTTATTCTGCGTGTGGTCTGACTGTTTTTAGGAGCATTTGTTGATTGTGAGGACTTAACTTTTGTGGTGGACTGGAGAGTAGAGACAGAAATTCCAGACTTGACTAACATTCTTATGCCCACTGTTGTTCTAAGGTCTCCAAGGAAAATAGGTGCCCACAATCCATTGTAATAGTAATCCTCGCTTTTGATATAGCACCTTATTACATTGTCGAAACATCTTAAACTGCTTCACAGGATTTATGGTAGAGTGTAGTGACTGTATTTTTTGCACCTCCCGACGTGAAAGATGCTGTACAAATGCAATTTTTGTTTGTTTGTTTATTAGCATCTTCAACTCAGTAGAGCATGTTAGGTAGTCAGAAAAGAGCTGTATCAGGGTTTAGTGGTGTCCTGGTACAATAGTTGGATTACTTTGTTCATTTAGGAGCTAATGGGTTAGATCAGTTCTTGCAGTGTTTGCAATTTAGTATTGGATTACTAAAGTGCCCTATTTTTGGGTGTGATGGTTTGAGGACTGTTGACCTACCATTACTTTTATTGATCACAGAGGTATCCCAATTCAAATCAGTTATTTTTTGCCTCCAATGAGGTCGCTTTTGATACAGCACAGATGATACAATCCCATTCTAAACTTTGCCTAGACAAATGTAACTTGAAATTGCAGCTAAATCTAATTGTTATAAATGATGTAGAAACCAACCATCACATTGATCTATAAACTAGCCTGTGGTACTCGTGAATTATCAACAGTACCTTTGTTTGGCAGTTTTTCTATTTATATAGAAAAAAATTAGATAATACAGTGCCTTATTGTGTTGTGTCCCAAAGTGCGTCACAGGATTTTTCTGTGAAGAGTTACGACTGTGTATTTTGTAAAAAAAAACTTGGCAACTAAATTGCCAAACTCCTACAAATGAGCCATGAAGTAAATGACCAATTTGATCTGGGGGATTGTTGGCCAGGATACTGAGGAAACTCCCTTCTCTTTTTGATTTGTGCCATAGGATCTTTAACGTTCACCTCAACAGTCAGGGGGATCTTAGTTTTACATCTCATCCAAAGGGCACACATCTGAAAATGTATGCTCCCCTGACACTGCATTTGACTATAAGCCTAGACTGAGTTTAAAGTCCCAACGTGGGGTTTGAACTCACAAACTTCTGCCTCAGAGGTCAGAGTGCTGCCAACTGAGCAGGGCTGACACCTCATGTACTTTGAAATTAGGCACATCTTGCCTTTCCAGTCACATTTTGTTTCTAAAGTGCAAGTCAAAAGTTTCTAAAATGCTAAAACGCGATGATAATAATAATAATCCTTGGATTTGATATCGCACTATCATGTCTTTGAGACGTCTCAAAGCACTTCACAGAATATACTGTAAAGTGAATTGGCTGTGTATTTGGTGGGCGAAACGCAGCAGCCAATTGCGCACAGCAGCGTCCCACAAGCAGTTGTGCATTTTTTTAAGTGTTTATTACCCCCGGAAAAGCGATCCGTCAATCAACTAACAACTGGGGTCCTAATTATTGCTAGGTAAACAGAGGCGTGTGGAGTAAGGAAACTTGCCCAACTTTTCGCCCTGCCTGGGAATCGAACCCAGGTCCTCTTGCTTGCAAGGCGAGTGCTCTCACCACTGAGCTACAGGTCTCCACAATAGGCAAAAGCACAGAAAAGGGTGCAACATTGGTCACTACGGATTATTGTATCCAAAGCTTGGGAATAGATGCTTATCATATATGTCAAATCTATAGCAAATTGACTGGCACTGTCTTTCCGCTATATTTCCATATAGCAATTCAATGAAAGTAAGGAATGAGTGGTTGCTGGAGAGAGATTCCAATGGCGAAACACCTTCTCTCATCAACTGGCCTTCCAGGTACCGTGGAACATAGCTTTTTGTGTCATTTTTGCAAATTATTCCTAACGGCACATTTTAACCATTGATGTGTGCGCTTTTTTTTACACATTGCTCATCACATCATTGTGACTTGGCAGATTGGACTCAGTTTCTCACTGATAGTTTTGACGTCTTTCATGGTAGAAAGATCCATCTCAAAAGAGCCTGACATACTAAATAAACTCATTGTACATTTTCACGTATTGCCATAATTTGCTTAGTTTTGGGTGTGCACGACTAATCTTAACTTTGAACTCAAGACCAGAATAAATGTGGTTCCGTGATCACATTTGAACCTTTCATCAAAATCCCTCCATTTGTGTTTTTTTTGCTTAATACCACACGACCACATGGTGCTGTTTGGTTGCCCAGCTAAAGCTAACATTCTGTTTTAATGTTGTTTATAGCAACTCTTTGATTATATAATTTGACATTCATTCACTGCCAGATTAAAATGTGAATGTCTTAATTGAAAGATTAAACGTTTCCAATAATGCATTTTAGGGTTACAAATTGGAATTGGTCTTATCTGTTTGGTGAAGTGCTTTGAAAGGTGAAAAAAAAGCAGGGAAATGGGATTAAAAGATCTGCCACGATCCAATAAACCAGTGAAACAGACTTGAAGGGCTAACTGGCTTCTTCCCTTCATCTAATCAAGAAAAGCCCTGAAAGACTCTCATTGTTACCTTCTTCAATGCTCTTCTCCAGCCTTGTTGTGTGGTGTATTAAAAGGGATAATTTACTGTATTCACAAATTAATTTGTAAATAATGAATCCTGTAAGTACCTGGTTATGCATCAGGCCCGAACCTCAGGAAGTCCCCTTGGGCGTTGTTATTCTGCCATGTACCAGGAGTCCCAGATGGACACAATCCAACTTCTATCGAGAGGTTAGTTTTTTATATTTTGGTTTCGATAAGGTCAGAGCTCTCTACTTCAGGTAAATCTGCTGTTGTCTTAAATTGGCACCTGATCTTGAGGTCTACATTGAATGTTGTAGATCCTTCCTAGTCATCGATGCCAACAACAACAACATCTTGCATTTATATAGATGGGGAAAGAAGGGACAAGGCAGAGGGATAGAGGAAGAGTGTTCCAGAGTTTTGGGGCGCAGTGACTGAAAGTTCTGCCGCCAATGGTGGAACGGAGGGCATGAGGGACATGCAGAAGGCCAAGCCGGTCGAGCATGGGTTGTGGTTGGGGGTTGAGCAGGTTGGAGAGGTAGGGAGGTTCCGGGACATCAAAGGATTTGAAAACAAGTGTGAGGATCTTGAAACCGATCCGTTCGTAGATAGGGAGCCAGTGGAACCTGGCTAGAACTGGTGTGATGGAGGTACAGAGTTTAGTCCGAGTGAGTATGCGGGCGGCAGAGTTTTGGATCACCTGGATCCTGTGCATGATGGAGCTGGGGAGACTGGTAAAGAGGCCGTTTCAAAACTCACAACCTGTTCTTGTGAAGAGCTTTTCAAACTCAACAGTGTAGATCTTCACAGACCAGAAAATTCCCTAGACAGCAATGGCCTCCCTTAATGCTTCCACAGAGAGATGTTAAATTCTTCTTGCTCAAACAACCACAAGCCTAAATACACTGTCTGTCTGGCAAGCTTCCTGCAGCTTGCCCAGCCCAGGCCGTCTTGCCAATCAGGGCTATAGTTTACATGATAGTTTACGTTAACAGGAGCTGAGCGGGAAGAATCCTTACTTCCAGTAACTGTCTGCCCCTCCTTATCCTGCCAATGAGCCAGACTGACTGGTATGTCAACAGCAGTGCCCTGGAGTACTGCAGACCCGCCTCGTTTAGGAACCAGACTATCCAGATCACTGCAGAGGAAGGGAGGCCATTCCTGTCTAGGGAATTTTCTGGTCTGTGAAGATCTACACTGTTGAGTTTGAAAAGCTCTTCACAAGAACAGGTTGTGAGTTTTGAAACGGCCTCTTTACCAGTCTCCCCAGCTCCATCATGCACAGGATCCAGGTGATCCAAAACTCTGCCGCCCGCATACTCACTCGGACTAAACTCTGTACCTCCATCACACCAGTTCTAGCCAGGCTCCACTGGCTCCCTATCTCCGAACCTGGCAAATTACCATGTGGACTGCTCAGCTCCAAAGAGACCCTGCTTACCTCTCCTTGCCTCCTGGGAAACCCGACTTATCTCTCTCTCCCCCACCCCCTCCAGGAGATCCCACTTACCTCCCCAAGGAAGATAAGGACAAATTGGTCATTTGACAACTCACATGTGCAGAGAGGGTTGGGGAAGGGAAAGATGATTGAAAATATGGCTATTCAGGTATGTTTTGAGACGTGCCTTGCCAAGAGGGGAAGGAGGGAGCAAGTCAGGGGGGGCTCTGAGATGGAATTCCAGAGAGTGGGAGCAGGGATAAGGTGTTTCACTGTATATTGCAGCCACTAATTTGCACACAGTGATATGCTACGAACAGTCATGAAGTGAATGACCAATTTTATCTGGGGGATTGCTGTCCAGGACACCTTTTCGAGCAGTACCATGGGATCTTTAACCTGAACAGCCAGGTAGAACCTTGATTGAACATCTCATTCGAAGGACATACATCGGATTCAAATATATGAAGATTAACCAAGTGTACACTCCTCCAAACAGGCACATGGAATATTGTACCTTGCTCAAATTATGTGCTTTGCAAGAAGAGATGAAATTGTGCAAACCAAAAATTGTGCAAAACGGCCCTAGCTGGACGAATAAACTGTTTAAGTACGAACTAATCTCAACAGCAACATAAAACGTACCACAAAGTTTTTTTTAAAAAAAAGTCCACATTGTTCCATCTGTGAAATTCAGGGTCATTAAGTAACAATGAGAAGAACTGTTTGCAGTGTGAACTAAAATGAGATTTGAACAGAATGGATGCCACCCATGATGCTAATCGTTTCTACAGAACTAACATCATGCCAAACAGCAAATAATGTGCACTTTGAGACTAGCATCCTGCTGTCTGGCCTGTTGCAGACATCTGCGTCTCTATTTGTGATGCTGAAATACTCCCCGGCTGATTCTAAAATGTGTGAAATTATACATTTTTTGAAGAAATGTACAATTGAATATAGCTTGGGGGTCGGCCAGAGAAATCTTTCCTCTGTAAGTGTTTTTCTTGTGTTCTAAACATTTCCTGTCCTTTATCTGTCTTTTATTCTTCATCTCTTTGCCCCTTTTCTTTCTATTTTCCTTTTCTTCATTTATTTCTACTCTGGTCAACAAAATTTGGCTGTTCTCCATGTCATTTTCTTTTCTATCAGCATTAAGTGTTAAAAGACCAGCGTGTCCTGGGGGAGAGGCACTCAATCCCCACTTTGTCGGCAGTGATCCTCAAAGAATTATACAGCACAGAAGGAGGCCATTCAGCCCATCGTGCCTGTACCGCTTTTTTGAAAAAGCTACCCAATCATCCCACTCCCCAACTCTTTCCCCTTAGTCTTGCAATTTTTTTTCTTTTCAAGTAAATATCCAGTTCCCTTTTTTAAGTTATTATCGAATCTGCTTCCACCACCCTTTAAGGTAGTGCATTCCAGATCATAATACAACAACAACAACATTACATTTGTATAGCGCTTTTCACGTTGGGAGGACGTCCCAAGGCGATGGACAGACAGAATTACGGACCTGAGCTGAAGGTTGGGGTGGGGGAGGGGGTGGCAGTGGGGAAGTAGGAAGATCGAAAGCACGGGTCAAAGAGGAAGGTCTTGATGTGGGTCTTGAAGGTGGTGAGGGAGGGGGCAAGACGGAGGGACTGCGGGATGGAGTTCCAGAGAGTGGGGACCGAGTGGCGGAAGGCCCACCCACCGATAGTGGGGCGAGCAAGGCGGAGGTCGTGAAGCAGGCCGGAGCCCGCTGAGCGGAGAGAGCGAACAGGGTGGTAGGGGTTTAGGAGGTTGGAGAGGTAATAATAATTACGTTAAAAAAAAACTCCTCTCCCTTTTATTCTTTTGTCCATCATCTTAAATCTGTGTTCTCTGGTTACCAAACCACCCGCTATTGAAAACAGTTTCTACTTGTTTATTCTATCAAAACCCCTCAGAATTTTGAACTTTATTAATCTCCACTCAACCTTCTCTGCTCTAAGGAGAACAATCCCAGCTTCTCTAGTCTCGCCACATAACTGAAGTCCCTCATCTCTCATTAAGGCCATTTTCACAAGTTCTTGTTTCAGCTTCTGTCTTGCCCACATTCTTCAGATTGCTGTAAAAACAAACTCATGGAGAAGTTTTTTTTTGCTTTCAGACCCTTTGTCTGCCTCGACCTGTTTTTTTCAGTGTGAGTCAGTGCACAGTTGTTCCACATTACAGATGCTGTTCCACGTTATAGGCTGCCAAATTCTCTTAAGCACTGTGATGGGTTTTTGCACGAGTCAGACACCTGGCTGTCCAAAAATAAAAGCAAGTAGTGACAGCGTAAAACAGGGTGGTCCAACTGGCAGGCCACATCTGGTCAGTGGGCTGATTTCATCTGGCCCCTTCCTTCCATTTCTGTTTGGCCCACTCCCTCCCTCCAGAACCCCTAAATGTTATGTTATGTTTCTGGAATGGAAACACAAAAAATATTGCTTTCATGGCTCTCAGACATTTCTCAAATAGGGCATCCGGCCCTCAGCAGCCAAAAGGTTGGACCAACATAGAACTATAGAAGATTCCAACCTAGAGTTTGTTCAGAGGTTTGTTATTACTTGCTACTCACCTGGCCTCCAAATAGCACAGACCCTTTATGTTGCAGTTCAGTCTAGTGATGCAATTTAGCAACACATACACATTGTGCGTTGAATTTTTGGTTTCAGGATGTTTAACGGCCATTATTTAATTACTTGCTTCCAACTTATGGAGCAGGAGGTAATTATAATAGTTTCGGAAAGTATTAGTGTAGATCAATGAAAACCAAGATTTGGGGATCCCAAAGTGTGTGTTGGACAACAGCTGGAGTCTAACCAGCTAATAATTGGATTAGGTGGGCACAGAGGCTATTTATGAGAAAGGTGAAGCTGTTTGCCTGCCTGTCTGCTTTTAAAACCTATCATTTCTACAGGTTTTATTGCACAGGGGTGTGGTAGCATAAATTTGTGTCCTTGGCCAGAAATCAAACTCTGATCTGTGATCGGGACCAAAGGTGTGTGCCTTCCTGCGGTTAAAGCTGAATTGCCCTTGATATAGAATTGTTAGTTGCACTAGCAATACAGTATCCAGGGGGAGCAGTTGGTTGGTTGTGGCTATGGGTGTGGGTGTTTGTGTGCTTTGCCCAGTGACTATTGCAGAAAGTTTTCTAATCATTTGGCATCGGGGAAGCCTTTCTGTAACAAAATAATTCCTAGAAGCCACTGCAAACAATGATTTTCTAACTGAAATCTCATCACCATTGAGTGATATTAAAGAATGGCTTTACTGAAGCGTAAAAGGACAGCTTTCGTATGGTTCAGAAGTTTCTAACAGATGGAACCAGGAACTACAGCTGCCACAGTGTGCAAGGTGCACTAATCTCTGTAAAGCTAAGGTGAACCTGGCCTGGATATCAGTGACTCAGGCTCTGACATTAGTTTTGTACTTGATGACTCAGTGTTGTATGTTGCCATGCCAATGAGCAGCAGGATGTGGATTACGTGCTTGAAAAGCTTTGAGCAGATGGATAAGGCGGCAGAGGCCTGAAGATCGATCACCTGCCCATATGTAAAGACAGCTGTGGGCAAGACAGGAGTGGAGGGCACTAAGGGGAGGGAAGAGAGAAAGCGAAACAGTGCAGAGCAACTTCAAATGTTTCCTCCTTTACAAATTGACTGAACGGAAGTCAGAATCTTGTGAACCTATTGCTCCAAAGATTTGTTTAGATCAGTATTTATTTATAAAGTGGAGGTGGATTTGAATTGTAAGAAAATGTTAAGTTTGGCTGGGAACTATGGTTTCAACTGATGCAGTTATCTCTGGTCTTTCCAAACCCTGGTCGGTTGGAAGCAATGACTAGTAGAGAAATGCATACAAGCTACAGTTGTACTCCTCAGCGTGAGGTTGTCAGTTTAACACGCTGAGTAAAGAAAACTCCTAAAGGTCAGTTTGCTTTCATGCCCAACAAGTGCACAAACAATGGGTGTGTATTGTTAAATGCTTTAAAGAATGTTGAAAGAATGAAGATTAGTGTGCCAGAGCGCGATATAGAATAAAGTGCAGTAGTAGAAGTGCCTAAGCAATATGGTGTTGCCGTGTAATGTAGTGAGTCCGAAGAGATCCTACATTTGATTTTTGTACCTTCGCAATTCGTCAATGTCTCAAACCACTTCTCAGGAAATACTGTAAACCCGGCAGCCAATTTAAGCACATCACTTCTCAGGAAATACTGTAAACGCAAACAGCCATGAAAAGTATAAGCAATTTTATCCGGAGAATTGTCAGCCAGGACATCAGGAGCAACTCCTGTCTCTTAAAAATGGTTCCCTGAGATCTTGAACGTCCACCTGAACAGGGCCTCAGTTTAACATCTCATCTGAAGGATGGAAAGCAGGAAAAGAAAGTAGCTCTAAAGATTTTAAGGCACATAAAATCAGAAGTACAATTCTTAAACTGGATTTGATAATATTGTTTCAAAATCCTTTTGTAATAAGGTTAACTTCCGTCTCCCGTGGTCATCTGAGGTCAGGTAGTTTTGCAGACAACAGTAACCTGGAATTGATCCTAGCAAGAAAGAATCGCGGCAACTTCAGAACTTTTAATGCAGTGTTGCCATTTTATTAGATTTTACACTGGTGCTTTCTGTCATTGCAAACGTTTGCATGCAAAGTTAACCGTTGTTGACCGAGTTAGTATTACTGGGGCGTGTACTATTAAAGGGAAATGTTATGAGTCCCCATTGACACCCAGGTAAAACTACTATGAGGCTTTTGGTGATCCACCAGCCACCGTGGTCAGATGAGTGACCTGTCCTTGTTGCTGTGATATCCGCATCCTGCCTGTTACGCCAACTAATTGTTTAAAACTTTACTGCCTTTTTTTTGTGAAGTGAACACAGATTTGAGTTTCGAGAAAAGGTTGAGTATTCAGTAGTTGAGCTGCCTGGGTGCCACTTTCTATTATGTCTTTGGGGGAGTGAGTGGGGGTGGGGGGGTGGGGTAGGGGCGGGGGGCAGAGGGAGAGAAAAAAAAATGAGCTGTGAATAAAGTTTTGTGCTTTTTGTTATAAATGAGTGGTTTCCTCCTTTTCTCTCAAGAGTAAAAGTTAGAGAAAGAATGTTGAAAGTGGATACACTTCGGAGAAGCCCTGAAATAGTCAAAGACCTGACCCCTGGACGATCTCATTATATCTCTGGCCAGTCGGAACCTCCAACTGCTGAGAGAGTTGGTAAGTCCAGTGCAGTCCACCAGCCAGTCTTTATCCAGCCATCTGATCCAGCTGCCTGTGCCAAGGCAATAACAAAAGAGCCCAAAAGCAGCCTGGTTAGTAATTGTGTTCCAGGCAGTATGAACCTTTCGACAAAAGCTGAGGAGGCGAGCGAGACCACGTTTGGAGGAAGAGCTGTTTACAGTCCTGATTCGAAGCTGGCTGAATCTGGCAGAGCTAAGAACTTACTGAAGAGCCGTAAGGCAGTCTTGCCATCTCAAGTTCGGAAGCAGGAAAAGAGCCTCGAAGAACATTTCTCAGACAAGCGATCATTGCGTTCCCACCTGGGCAAAGCAGGTGAAGGTGAGGGGGCACTTTTACAAACGCTTCCCGTCTACAAAGCGAGGGTCCCTGTGCAGGAGCACTCCAAACAACTCAAATCTCATTTCCAGTCTGATGTGAGCAGGTACAAACCTGTGAATACTAACCAAAGGAGTGAGACAGTCCTGTTTATTCAGAAAGATCCTGGGGTACATACCCACACTGACCCTGGGAGAGGAAGAGATCAAACCAGTGAAGCATGTGTTGAACAGCACAAACCGAAAGCATCTGAGCGTTTCGAAGCACCAAAGGGGGAAATCCTAAAGAGGGGAGAGTTAGACCAGCGCATCGATGTGGATGAGTTTGATGGAGATCCTGGAGCAGTCGACACGAGAGTGTCTGTTGCTAAACTTCGAAGCGTTTACCTGGAGACGGCCAATGGCAGCAGAAGCCAGGAGCTGTAGGTGGTACTTTGAATGCTGACTTTTTCACTCGACTTTTGGGCAGTTGCACTGACATGTCAGTTTAGACGGAAATCGAAGCTGCAAGACACTTAAGCTTCAGCTCGCAGGCTTTTATAGCGAATAGTCGTCTGAAAAATTAATACTGCCATTTGCTTCTTGCTGGCCTGTGCAAGTTGTGGTGCTGTGTGGTTGCTACATTTGCTGACTACCATGCATGGTATAAAGCATGTGGTGTGATGTCTTTTGAGGAATTATTTCTGTCGGGGTCTTTTATAATTTTCTTCCTTTCTCTCCCTCTATGCTATGCACTTTCTTTCTTTCTTCCGCTAAAAGTGAAGCTAATGTTGACTTGGTGACATCGGGTCTTGATTTGGCTGCACCCGCTGAGAAGGAGAAAGTCCACCGTAGGCCAAAACGTTACATTTCCTTTGGTGAGAATAGGAAGACTTCTGAGAGGTTTAGAACGCAACCTATAACCATAGCAGAACGACAGGAGACCAATAGGTACGCTCTGGTGTGTGCACAAAAANTAACCTTTACTGCCGCGGTGTGCAATAACACATGTTTGAGAGTTCCTGCAACCTTCTGAAGAAATCCCATGGGGTTGGCTCTTGTGGGGTAGAGACTATGAAGCACGCGTTTTATGCACTTGACTTCTTGACCTCATTCCACAACTCTGGCTGTTAATTCTGAGATAGCCGAGAAAATTGGCTGAGGTAAGAGGTGGGGGAAGGTATGTGTGCAAAACTTGGTCTCGGCCCCAGTTGGAGAAAACCTCTGAATGTTTTTTCTAACTTTATACTCCTTTAAATTATTGTGCATCATTAAACTATGGTGAAATGGAAATCCATAATTCTTGCATGCCGGTAAAGAAAATATTTAACAAAGTCCACCGATTCTGAGGTTTTTTGTTCTGCAATACGTAGACCTTGTGGCATTCAAGCAAATTGCCCAAAATTGCATTTGGACTACGTGAAGTTTAACATAATGGCAATAAACTGGAAAACGATTAGAGGGAATGTGCTCTGTAGATGTATTGCATGGAAACTCCACAGCAAAATGGTAACACTGAAGTAGTTAAGTGCTTCAAAAAAAAGTGGAAAACAACCTTAAGGTCTTGGCAGTTTTGCTCTTTAAATAACTTCATCCATAAACCGCAGGCTTGCATTGTGATGTTTTTCATTGCTCTGGAATGCTGTTCCTATGTTGTATCTTTGGGTGATGAGATGGGGGCAATTTTCATGGAACTAATTTTCCAATTTTTGTTTTCTAGGTCAGGGCTGGACTCACAGATAGTGGCTGCTGAAGGCAAGTATTGTCTCCTTGTTCTTATTCACTTTATGTATCTTGGCATTGAAAGCCAGCAACGTTTACCTGGCTTTTGATTGTTAAATAATGGAGAACTTTGAAAGGCTACAAGGTACACAAGGCTGTGTATATATAAAGTATATAGACAGATGTAGACCACCGTTTTTGTGCAAACGTGTTGGAGATTGAAACCACCTATTCATGTTGGAGGGGACTCATTCACCCCAATTGGCAGATAATCAAGGGATATTTAAAACTGTTAGCACTCTTTCAAATAATAACTGCAAGAATACCATTTCCTAAATATGGATTATTGTAAGACAACATAATAATAAGAATCCTTGTATTTGATATAGCACCTCATCACGTCTTCGAGACGTCTCAAAGCGCTTCACAGAATAGACTGTAAAGTGAATTGACTGTTGAAAAGTGAATTGAAAATGCAGTTGAAGAGATGGATCTAAAGGTGGAGTTAGACCACATCACAGAAATGTATTTCCGAAATGGCAATTTTAAGTAAATTGCACCTCACCATTCAATTTCAGAAATGATACACTTAGAGGCTTTGATGCACAGTATAAGCATACATTGAAACCTGTGCTTCTATACAGCACAAAAAAAACTATTTCATGTCAGTAGCCTGGTCTCTCTTCTTTTTCACCTTTAAATGCATCTTACATAGTGATTTTTGTGCAGGACCGTGATTTCATTGCTTGTAGGCATTTAAAATATTATGTCACTAAATGTTTAAGCCGCCACTACTGAAATCAAACATTGTATTTACAATATTAATAATATCTCGGGAATGTTTTCTTGATCTTTGTTCAGTGATCTTGTGAAAAATCTAGCGAATTGGATGCGGACTAAAAATTATTGTATGTCAGTTTTACAAAAAACACGTTAGCACCATTCAAAATCATGCATTGAAATCTGTAATTCAACAAGGGAAAAACTAGAATCTAAAATTCTCTCAACTGTAAAGCTTGTCTGACTAAAGCTACAAACTGTTAGCTAACAATAGTTTCAATTGTGTGCTAACTCCTTTGTTTGAAAGTCCCACTGATTGACTCTCCATTTCCCTTGATGAATGAGTTTAACTGAAAACGTCACCCACATCTCTTTGCAAATGAACTGGGATTTCTTGCCCTGCTCTGCGTGACTGTGCTGCAGTTCAGGCTTCTTATTTTATGCAAACAAAAAGCATTGAAACAAACCCTTTGTTCCCTTCTGCAGGAGATGAAGAGAAGTTGGATGAAAGAGCAAAAATGAGCGTGTCTGCAAAGAGGTCACTTTTCCGTGTACGTAACTTGTTTTTATTTGGCATATAATAACCTACAAATGAGACTTGAGTAACTTCTGTGTTTTGTGTATATTGTATGATGTGATGCAAAGTTGCGTTTTGAAGTTCTGAGAGTTTTCCCCGCTTGTGATTTTTATTTTGTAGAAGAGATTGTGATGACCTTTCTTGTTTTTTTCCCTCCCAAATATCTGGTTAGATTTACTGCTGAAAAGACTTTCTGAAAAGTTACTCCCCCTCACACCCCCCACCCACTCTCTAACCCCTATGATTGTGATTTAACTCTGCACCTACTTTTGCCGTCACTAGGAGATGGAAAAGGCAACCCTGGCCACCAAACCCCGTTCGAAGAATTCAGCCGTGGAGAGACGATTACGGCGGATGCAGGATCGGTTCCATACCCAACCCATCACGACCGAAGAAGTAGTTATTGCGTCCAGGTACGTGTGAAAAACGGCTGGCTGTCACCTCAAAGTCAGTGCAACCATCTTGTGTAGTCTGTCCCAGTGGACAAACCTGCGTTTCCTAAAGCTGATGTACATTAGTGCGCTGGAGGAAGCAGTAGGTGTGGTTTCAGGGCTTCCTGCTGGGAAAGTATTGAAGGAGGGAGTTTTGACGGGAAATATTTATAGCCTCAGATGCTGCAGGCAGCCTTAATTACAGCTGATCTCGCTCGCAGTAAACAAAGCAGCTTAGCTTGGCTCTTTTGCCTGAGGGTTTCTGTGTTTTCTCAGTTTCAAACAAATCAGTATTTTGTCTCAACTCCTGAGTCCTTGATCTGAATGGGTTAATATTTAAATCCCTTTTAATATTCAAAATATTTTACCCTAACACAAGATCTCTGATAGTTTGGATGAGAAAGGCCCTTCGTTCCTGAAAAACAGCCGTACCATCTCTCTGTTATAGTGTACAACTGTTGGCTAAAATTAAGCCAGTTTCCTCTTATTTAGCCACCCTTCCTGATAACTTGTTCCAGCTCCTGATAAAGAAATACTTTCCGAAATTTATCCTAAAGTTGTTCACAACCCTGAACCTGTGACATTTAATTTTAAAGCCAGTGGTTAGAGCCTGCAACCAGTCATTGCAATGAGTAATGTTAATGCATCATTTTCTCCCATTCGTATACTACCCATTGAACTGTAGGCTTTCCATGACATTTTGCCAGTGCTGCTATGTGCCCACGTAGCTGGGCGTTCCCCTTGAGTGTTGTCCAACTAATCTCCCTGGGAGGGAAACTTTGCACCTTAGACTCAGGTGTTTAGAAAGGGCAGAACCCGCCCTCCGTCTAAGACAAACTAGTAGGAATCAAAAATATCTGTCTGAATAATCCCTTGTTATACCATGTGGCTTCTCCTTACAGTGGAATATGAGTTTGTTTGGTTGCCCACTGGATTAATTGCATGCCACAGTGCAGAGTAACTGACATCTGCCCACGTCAGGGTGATGCATGGAAAAGCAAGCTTGCTGAAGACCAGAGAAAAATTGCCTTAAAACTATATGAAGGATAAAGTCCATTACAGGACGTTTAAATCTATCTATTTTCACTTAACTGCATGTAAGCTCCCAGAATACTCTTGAGGGCTACAGAAACCCAGAGGTGCACTTGGTTACTTTAAACTCAAACCTAAAATGAAAGAAGAAAATTGGAATTGAAAGGATTAGTTGAGGTACAGATCAGCCATGATCTAATTAAATGGCAGAACAGCCTCGAAGGGCTGAACGGCCTCCTTCTGTTCCTATGTTCCTATGTAAATTACTTACTGAAGAAAATCGGAATATTGAACCTTGTGTGTTTTATTGAAAACTGTAAACAAAGACCAAATCATGGTAACGGTTTGCTTTGCTTTAGGTTCATGTAGAGTTATTAAAATAATGTTCAATGATCCAACATAGACTGAATGGAAAATATGAGTGGAATCTTTATTCACCAAATACCGTCTTTAAACCAATCCCACTGGATCAGAACTTCATGACTTGACATTCAGTCCATCACATGCCTTTCCCTTCCTGCTTCCCCCATGACAGTCAACTTTGTTTATTGCCCTTTTTGTGAGTTGCAAGTGTTGTTGAGTGTGGTCTGGTAAAATACAAGGTGACTGTTTATATAGCAGGGTCATGTCAACCTGCTAACACAGCCTTTGAGGTGTTGTTATCTTTCATGTACAGCGCACAACACATTTCAGTAATGTGCACTGGACGCTGGTTAGTGAGTTAATGCACCCTGGGTAAAACTTGTTCCTCCCCATCCACCTCCCCCAGTGAGATTTGTTTAAAGGCAATTATCGTGGTGTCTGGGGAATATCTTTCAAAGACTGAGGATTATTAGACCCAAACCGAGTACTTTTTCTAAGTTATTCTATGTCTTTCTGAACAATTTCTGGCTTGTTCTTGTAAACGTGCTTTTCTGCTTGATTCTCTTCTTTTCTCCTCTACATGCCTTGCTGGCTTTCATTCCTCCAGTGAACCCACCCCTGTCTCTCCTACGGTGACTGTCCACACAGTCATGGCGAGAACCAGTAGCCCCACTGTAGTAAACTCCAATTTGCCGCCAATCAGGTATTTTTGCATTCTGCATGCCCTGTTTAGTGTACACCTCTTGTTAATTAAATGCTGCAATTCACCTGGCTCCAACGCTTAGGGTTCTGTTCAAAACTTAAACCTTTATCTTTCAATCTTGCTTCCTTAGTAAGAAGTAACTTTATTTTGCAAATATTGAGCATTTTGATACCGAATGTCTTATGTACAAAGTCTGTTAGAACATGTTGCCTTGTGTTCTCTTATGTGAGGCAAAAATAATAATAATAATCCTTGCATTTTTGCATTTGATATAGCATCTTTCCTGTCCAGAGAGATGTCAAAGCGCTTCACTGGATTTTCTGTAAAATCCAGTGACTTTGTGTTTGCAGGCAGCTGAGCCAGGCTGATGATAAGTGGAAGTGATCAATACATTTTTAACATAACTGTGTGGGTGGTTAATGCATCCATCAAATCTTCAGTTATTTGCCAGAGTGACTTGAAGTAATTTGTCCAGTTGTGGTTTATAATGCAGCTGCTGAGGTTCGAGTTAAGGAAACAAGTTTGAATGTAAATGTGTAGTTAATGTTTTGGTACGACATGCAAATACAATGCTAGTTTACATTTATATATAGTAACTTTCAAGTCAGGAGGATGTCCCAAGATGCTCAACAATCCCTGCTTGCACCTGAGCTGGGGTTTGGGACTGAGAGGGATGAGGAGGGCAAAGATAATCGAAGGCACGGTCAAAGAGTTAGGACTTGAGACGGACCTTGGGTAAGTCAGAGGGACTGCAGGATGGAGTTCCAGAGAGTTGGGACAGGCTGAAAGCCCAGATGCCAATAGTGGGGCAGGTAGGGCGGGGGACATGAAAGCAGGCGGTGCCCACTGAGCGAGGGGAGTGGCAGGGTCGCTAGGATTCATTCCATAAATCCCTATGTCTGTCCTAGGTCCTGGAGGCTGACCTCCTGTGGTGTAATTTCTGTGATTCTTTACCGCTTTTATCTTAGATTGATTTGGCTTGAATTTACAAATTCAGAATGTGCAGTGACATTTCACTAATCCAGAAACCATTCAGACGGGTTGGTCCTAGTTTTGTTTTATTTCTGTTTAATGGCATTGAAATGAAACCAATAACAGTCTCTGACCAAAACTTCAGATTAATCAGAATCTAGATATGGAGTTACTGATTGAATTTTTCGAGAGTATTAAAGTTGTAGGTTGGAGCAGGATGGGGTAACAGAATGTAAATCTTTCAACATGCGTTTAAATCAACCAATGTTAAATCCTCAGAAAAAGTAGAAATTAGACATTTAGAGTTTGATTTGACAAAGCAAGTTGCACAATGCTCACTTTTTTCCACCAGCAGAATAAAGTGATGCACATTATATAATAATAATAATCCTTGCATTTGATATAGTGCCTTATCACATCTTTAAGACTTCTCAAAGCACGTCACAGAATATACTGTAAAGTGAATTGACTGTATATTTTGTGGGTGAAACGCGGCAGGCAGTTGCGCACAGCAGTGTCCCACAAACAGTCGTGGATTGAATAATCAAATTGTTATTTTAACTTTGAAGTCGTATGATATATTCCTGTATGATTAGTCTTAATGATAGCCACGTGAACTTGACACCGATATCCATATTTTACAAAAATTCTAATTCATTCATTGTTCAATAAAATATATAAAGTACAAGTGAAATATAATTTTACGAGCAATATAAAAACCAAGACACATTTCAATATTGTTTTATCTTGACAGGTGACAAATGAGTCACCCGATTAGACATTAAACCCAGGTCTGACCTGCCTGCTTTGCAGACGTGATAACTGGAGCACTGGTGTCTTGTCCAACAATCCAAATACATTGTTCATTCACTTCAACAGCAATTTGCATTTATATAGCGTTCTTCACGCAGGGTAGCATCTCAGATTGCTCAACTACTTTTACTACTTCACGGTTGTTTGTATGATATTAATGAACACAATTTGGCTGCTGAGTTTGCCTATTGAAATATAGAGTCATTACACTCTAGATTAAATCCTGTGAGGGGTTTGAGACATTTCGACAATGTAATAAAACTCTACATGAAAAGCAAGGATTAGTTATAATCGCTCTGGGATGCTCCTGCGTGAGGGGCATTATATAAATTCAAGTTGCTGTATAATATTATTATTAAAGGGATGTAAAAATGTGAGTAGGCCAGAACTAATTTGAAGGGGCCATAAAATCAATATTTTAACTTAAGATGTGGGGAAAATATAACTTTTTAAGATGGATAGAAAATATTGAATAGACTTTGAAAAAATATTGGTTACTCTTGGAAGCAAAATTCTATGACTTTTAATACTGAAAAACCTAAAGAGCACCATCTACTGGAATAGGAAATAATTTATTATAAAATAATACAAAGTAGGTTTCAAATATTGAATGCAATTTCAATTGCATTATTACAACTGAGTCTATTAAGTAACATATATGATATCAAGGTTTGCAATTATCCTTTGTGATTATAATTAATCTTCTAGAATCTTGCCCATTAGTTGTGAGCTTTTTAATTAACTATATAATAACGAGCCAGTAGAGTGCTGGGCACCCAATCTGAGGAGCGTGGGGAGGGAAAAGATAACTGAAAGCGCAAAGAGGTAAAACGTGAACATTAAGTCTAAACATATATGCCTACAAATATAGTGTCACTATATTTTACAGTAAATCCTGTGAAGGATTTTAACAATATGAATGGAGATTTTTGATTAGCTGGGTGTCTGAAACACATGTGGAAATCCATCAACATGTAGAGTTTTACATATGTATTCAAGCTACGTGTGGAATTCTCCCAGTGATTGGAATGGGATGTGCACTCTCTCTCTGGAGGGATGTATCCTGCTTGCCTAATGTGACAGCATTAGATGCAGGTTGGCGAGAACCAAGGCTTGGGGACACCAGAGTATGCGTTGGGGTACCGCCTGGCAAGCTTCCTGCTGCTTGACCATCAAGGACCACCCTATCCATATGGATTTTGGCTTGGAGAGTAACAGGGGTTGAGTGGGAAGAAACCTGCCTCCAGTGGTGGGAAATCAGTCACTAGCATTTCAAAGTGATTCACAGGATTTACTGTGACTCTGTGTGACTCTGTATCTGTAGACGAACGTTGATTAGACTTAATTTTCAAGACGTATCTCTTTGACCAAACTTTTGGTCATCTTTCTCCTCGCCACTCCCTTCAGCTCCCACCACCAGCTCGGGTACCAAGCCAGCAATGTCCAGCACTTTGAGACGTCCTCCCGACATGACAGGCACTATGTAAATGTGTATCGTATTGTATGGAGATGTGTAAATTGTATAGGATAGACAGTTTGTTGTAATAGACAGGTAGAGGGGGAAGCTAACACACCAGTATAAGCACGATGGAGTGAGTGGCCTCGTTCTGTGCTGTAAAAGTTCTATCTATGTTTCCTATTTAACGATTGCTGATGGTTTAGTGTTTAAGCCATCTGCTTCTCTTGTCAGTTTGTTTTGAGTCAATTTATGGTCTGATGAGCTGCAATGTTTTGATTCATTTACATCTGGATATCTCCATACTCTGATTTTGCAAACAATGTACTTATTTAGGAAGGAATAAAGTATCATTTTGAGTTAATGATAGTTTTTATGTTGTTTATGCTGCTGGGAGACAAGCAATATCTCTCCCAGCAGCAAGAGCAGCGTGGAACAGTAAGGCTGATCTTATACTTTGGTTACACGACCAATGCTTTCATAAACGCCAAAATATGTTCTGTTCACAGGCTTGCAGAGCAGTGTGAGGCAGTGAACCCAGTGCATTCCCAGAGGGGATTACTGAGATCAGCCACACCATAATAAAGTAAAAAATAATGATCCTTACATTTGATATAGTACTTTCCCCATCTGGAGGATGTCTAAAAGCACCTCGCAGGATATACTGTAAAGTGCAGTGACTGGCTATGTGTAGGCCTGACAGGCTGCATCCTCCTCTTGTTCTGATGTGCACCCGGTGTGTTATATTGCTTCATGGAGATTTCACCTCCTCCAGGTGGGGAGGGAGCAGTGAGGCTCCAGCGTGATTCACTCTGGTCCAACCCAGTCTTTACTCTGTTCATTTGGTGACAGATGTTGGTGGTGGTGAGGCACATTATTAGCACAGCTGATTGGCTTACAAAGTGCGTCTCTCTGGAGTGGTGGAATGCGAGCTCGCTCCTGCTAGTGTCACGTTCCTGATCTCTCTTGAAACAAGTGGCTATCTGGTCCCAAGGCCGTGCTCGCATCTTCTAATAATAGATTTAGAAGAAGAATTGGCAATGCTTCAAAACCGTACCCTACTGCAGCAACAACTTAAATTCATAGAGGGCCTTTCGTTTGGGTGATGTCTCGGGATGTTTCACTGGGTCAGGGTTCCACACCAGGCAATGGAAAGGGAAGTGGCCATAGGCACACTCAGAGGTAGGATTTGAGGTGGGACTTCAAGACAGAAAGAGAGGGAGCGAGACAGAATGGGGGAGGGAAGGAGTGTCAGAGGTACCCATTTCTCTGCAGGGAAATGGAAGAATGTTATTAAGAGTGTTATAATTTCACCCAAAACAATCTAACTTACAAAGTTGATGAACATTACCCAAAAGCCATCTTCAATAAAACATGTATTTCAAATCCAGTTGTCATTGGCAATTCTGCTGTACGAATTGGTATTAAATGCACCAAATCAGTTAATAAACTTTCCTCAAAAATGCAGTTTTAAGTTATAGTAATAGCCAATTAAGTTGGTGTATATATAATTAAAGTTGAATTAATTTGGGAAACCCTTTGAGCCAGAATTTTGTTTTAGTAAATACCCAAACAATTACACACAACGTTAACCGGCAGCTTTCACTTTTGAATGTATTCCAAGTTTGTCTTATTATAATTTATAATAATTATACTTATATTTGGTATAGCGCCTTATTATGTCACTGAAACATACCAAAGTGCTTCACAGGATTTTGCCATCAGTGTAGTGACTATGTACTTGTAGGTGAAGTGCTTCTGTATGAATTAGACGGGAAGGGGCGGGTGGGCGGGGGGTGAATTGGATTCAAAACGTGTTACTTAAAATGTGTTGGACACATCACTCAATGTAATTTTCACTTTGATGTTTCAGAAATTAATTGTAGTATCCTAACTATTGCAAGGATAAGCAAACACTTACTTATTAAGTGGCAAACATTTCCACTGATTGAATTTTATGGTGACTACATGTTGCCATGTAAACAAGTAAAAATCAAGATAGCATTTTTTTTCAAAACATTTTTAATAAGTGTAACATGTGTCCACACAAAGGATAGTGGAAATCTGGAACTTTCCCCCCTACCTCCCAAAAGAAAGGCTGTGGATGGTAAATCCACTCAAATATTCAAGACAGAGGTGAACAGATTTTTGTTAGGTAACGGTATCGGGATATGGGGCAAAGGCGGGTAATTGGAATTAAGGTACAGATCAGCCATGATCTAATAGAATGGCGAAACAGGCTCACGGGACTAAATGGCCCACTCCTGTTCCAAGCTGTTGGTTTGTTTTCTCTTCATCTATCACGTGTGTCTTTTTTTCTTTAAAAAAAAGCCAAGAAGATGGGGAAAACTGAAGCTCCCAGCCCTCTCTCTGCCAGAACCACTGTTGTGCCATTAAGTAGGACTCGGGTGGCTTTTCGTCAGTTATTTCCCTCCACTTAGCACCTGCTGATAGCACAGCTTAAGCCCACATGCTGTCACTCAATAGCTTGGCATGTTCTGCCCGTAACATGCTGTCCTGCTTGGCAGCCACTGCGTTCTGTAATGGAGTTATTGGAACATGAAAATTCCTTGTGGACCAGGCTCAACATTTTGAATTAATTAAGAAAAAGCTCCCAAGCTGTGTATTTTAATTCTAATTAAACAGTGATTCTATCATTGAAGCTTGAAAATATAAATGTATACTTTTTCAGATCACTTTGATTAAGACGCTAATCTTTTAACACTGATTTCCTTTGGGTAATTGAAAGGGTAAATGTGCACAAATGCCCTGTGCAAATGATATGGAAATGGCCATTGCACAGCTGAGGACCAGACGATTAGTGGGTAAAAGGGTATAAGTTTAACTCACAAAATATACACTTTGCAATATAATCTGCGATTTGCTTTGAGACTTCTCAACAACTTGATAAGGCTCTATACTAAATACAAGGAGTATATTCATTATAACTTTACTTTTGCTTATTATAAAGAAGGGAGTTTCTCCCAGTGTCGTGACCAACAATCCTTCAGTTAAAAATGCCCATTAATTCCAGCCTTGTTTGTAGGACACAAATTGCTGCCGCGATGGCATACAGTCATTAAAGTAAATCATGTGAAGCACTTTGAGATGTCTTCCTGACACAATATCAAATGCATCTATTAATATGAAGGTGTGTATGTTTAAATTGAAGATCATCAAATGTGTAACTTTTTAGAAAGCTTGAGAATTCATGTTTTACTGTAAACCTGATAATAGAACCACTTTATCCTTGTGGATGTTATGAAAGAGGACTTGGAAAAGTATTTGTCTCAAAAGCTGCTATGTTTGATGGATGAATGCAAAGACTCTAATATTAGAAAGACATTTTGGGGACAGACTGCATGCAAGTGTATTGCCAAACTGTGACCTAAATATTCAACCAATGCATTTTCCCAGACTACAAGCATCTGCCCAGTACGCTATGGGAGAACAGAAGGCGAGTGATGCCAAAGAATTGACAGAACAGGGTCAGCCTGAAGAACCAGACATCTCAACGCTGAGTCTGGCTGAAAAGATGGCCTTGTTCAATCGACTGGCGCAACCTGTCACCAAAGTAATAACTGCAAGGAATAGAAGTAGCACCAGGCAGAGACGGTCAAATGCACGATATCAGACCCAACCGATTACACTGGGAGAGGTTGAGCAGGTGCGTGTTTAATATGTATCCCTCTCCGCGATTGTTCACAAACTCAAACCCACCACCTGCTCCCTCGATCCCACCCCCACCTCTCTCCTCATCTCCCAGCTCCACCTTCTGGCCCCTCTCCTGTCCAATGTCATCAACCTCTCCTTGTCAACCGGTTCAGCTCCCACCCCCTAAAAACAGGTGTCATCACCCCCATCCTGAAAAGACCCTCCCTGTTGTTGTATCGTCTGGCATAAGGTGCAACGATTTGTATCTGGAGTCACCAATACAATTCACAACGAGGAGGGTCACCCTGACCTGCGGGGATGCTGATAACTGGTCGAACAGAGTCCTTCCTGTATGAAGCACTTTGTGTGACAGTCAGGAGTTGCTTTTTGTGATTCCTGGTATATTTTGTGACATTTTGGACCACGTTATTTGTAAATTGCCACTATAAAACCACAACTACGGTGTGTGGAGAATCACATCAAGTGGTATGAAGGAACAATGTACGTGGTATGGTTGGATGAATATCCTGAAGGTTCACTTGATTACAATTACCCGTCAGGAGACATTTCAGAGCTTTTGTCCATTTGAGGTTACCTTTTATCTTACACAAGGCAATCACCTCCTGCAGGGATATTGACTGGACTGAGTGTGTTCTGTGATGGGGGCGAATTTAAATTGTACATGTTCATTGAAGCTGAGGGCTGAACACCTTTTCTATGGTTCTTAAATCCATGTTTATAGCAGTAGATTTCCCTCATGATAGTGGGAGCAGGGAGTCCAAACCCTCTTCTGGCCATGACCCGTCCCAAACCTTTCAAAATTCAGAATCGATTGCGCTGGAATGACTGCAGGCTGCCATTGCTCAAGACGCAATGGTTTTCCTGCCATCTCCTCGCAATTCCAAAAATGCCCAGCAAATCTTGTGAAATGTGAATTTTCCGTAGTTTCTCAAGCTCAGATCTCCAGTGTATAGGATGGCAACTTTGTGTACAACTTTCATTCTGGTTGAGTTTTTATTAAATAAATATATATTCCTGGAATAATTTGGGGCAGCAGGGGGGAAGTGATCAATTAATACTAATAATCCTTGCATACAGTCCTTTACAGTATATTCTGTGATGGGCTTTGAGATGTCTCGGAAGGCGTGAATAACAAACAAACAAAAATTACATTTGTATAGCACCTTTCATGTTGGGAGGAAGTCCCAAGGGCTGGACAGTCAGAGTCTCGGACTCGAGCTGGGGGGTGGGATTGGGGAGGTAGGAGGGCAGGGGGCGAAGCAGGGTTATCGAAAGCACGGTCGAAGTGGAGGGTCTAGAAATTGGTCTTAAGGGAGGCAAGGCCCTATATCAAATACAAGGATTATTATTATTTGATTTATCACATTGTCGAGGTGTCTCAAAATGCTTCACAGCATACACTGTGACTGTGTATTTTGCGGACAAACACAGCTGTTTATTTGTGCACAGCAATATCTCACAAAACAATGGAGTGAGTGACCAATTTTATTTTGGGGATTGTTGGCCAGGGATAAAATCACCTCGGTTTATCTAGAACTCTATTTGGGAATTAACAGGAGCATCATCAACCCTGATGGGCAGTAGAAGCAACATATCCACACATTGTATAGCTGTATCTTTCCTCACCAGTCCAAGGAAGGTGAGCTTCAAATGCAGAGCCACAGGGCAATTAACATTAAATTTGTGTGGTATTGTAATTCGTGCAATATATATCTTTTTCCCTATCTGTAACATCAAATCCCATTTACAAGCCAATTTTGTTTTTTTAAGATTCTGAAGGAAATAGATAATATAGATCATGATAAGCTGTTTTATCTTCTACTGAACAGTAGAACCAGAGGACGCAGCCTGTGATTGAAGGGGGGTAAATTCAGAACAAATCTGCGGAAACATTACACTAATGAGCGAGTAGTAAACTATGGAACAGGCTCCCTAGGGAGACAGTGAAGCAGAAAGTGTTGTTTGTTTCAAGAACAAATTAAATAGATTTCTGTTAGAAAATAATATCTCGGGATACACTATTTGGTTTGGGGCACGACATGTCAAGCGACTGCCAGGATGGTGGAACTGGATGGACCTCGGTCTTCTTTTGTCTAGCAGTTCTTATGTTCTTATGTTGTTATTCCAGGTGCAGTACGGAAATGATATGATAAAGCCGCTGTCTCAATCCGTGGTCAAGTCGCTAACCAGTCAAGATGCTACGGTTTCTACAGGCTATGCTGGCGACCTGCACCTCACTACTTCTTTAGTTGATGAGGGTAGTTTACATATCAGCCACGTGCCAGCAGAAAAGTCAGGCCTAGCTTTCCACAGTTCACTTGCTGGTGCCGATCTTCCAAGTAAGAGTGTGCTTAGCCAAGACCTGGTGCATTCATCGCAAGAAAAGTCATCTGCATACAGAGAAGCAATAAAAGAAGGTGCTGAGAGGGACAGTAATGATGATGAGGTAAAAGGGTTTGTGAGACACAGCAACAGCACCATTCATAGTTGTAGCCTTATAGGAGCTGAACCCCAGCAACTCATGAGCATAGGTGAGAAGAATGTGGATAAAGGACCTGGAGTTGGAGACGTGCTCAGTCCAGAAACCTTTCCAATGGCCTCTGAAGTGAGCTGCTTCAGGTCCCAAAACGTGTACGAGAAGGTTGAAATGAAAGGAATCGAAGAAAGAAGCTTTGATGAAACAGTGGACATGGAGCATGTTGTGAAAAACAAAACCACTCTCACTGGTAAGCTGCTGGACTCTATTCAATTTTCTCTATTAGAAATTCTATCATAAGAGCTTGGTGTGTTGAGTTGTAGAGCAATTCATGTCCAATTAGAGGGTTCTGAGTTCACGTTCCAAGGACATCCGTTCTGAACTTGATTCCATTATGCAAGTGCTTTTTGTGGTTTAGAATAATTGATGGCGACCTGAGTGCATTTTCATTTGGGATGGGAGGGGATGGCGAGGAACAGAACTGTCCTGACCTACTTGAATTGCAGTTTGTTGGCTGGTCACGAAAACTATTTTTGCCATCTATTTGAAAAACCCACATTCTCCTGACCTCCAGGTTTGTGTAAGGATCCGGATAATCTACGTGGACAGGAGTAAACCTTAGACCATTTGGGAGTGCTTCCAAATTAACCCCAAACTAGTATTGTTATGTTATGATAACCCTCGCATTTGATATAGCGTCTTTCATGTCAGGAGGACACCTCAGGATTCACTGTAAAGTAGTGAATGTGTATTTTGTAGGCAAACACAGCAGTCACCGCACCAAAATTTCACACAAACAGCCATGAAATGAAAACGAAGCCTGGGAGACGATTCAGATCAGGAACTTTGTGCGTAGGTTAAACTTGGAAATTCTTTTTAAGACCACCCACTTTTTTAACAGACAGGAAATGATGCTTGAAAGTGTTGGTCATTGACGAGATGTTGTGTAAGAATGTTAAGTGCTCCAGGACAATACCCTGCCGGGGGGGGCATTATATAAATGCAAGTTGTTGCGGTTGTTGTAAGCACCTCTAAGTGAAACGCAGAATATCTTGCAAAATTAAGTGCTTCAAAAACATGAATTTGATAGCTTTGTGGCCGTTTCTTCACTGCCTAATCAAAGTCATAGGACCACAATCTATTTGCTAAGGAAAAAATCTACCTCATTAACAATGCTTATTGTCACCGCTCTGTTTCCTCCACCCCACTTCTCCTTCTCCTCTCCCTTCCCAATAATAAATTATAATAATCCTTGCATTTGATGTCGTGACTTATCACGTCTTTGAGACGTTGCAAAGCACTTCACAGAATATACTGTAAAGTGAATTGATTGACTGTACATTTTGAATGAAACATAATAGAGTTGTTATTTAAATGCAAGTTGCAATTGTTAATGCTTTGTGCCTTGAACATTGAGTGCTCCCACAATCAGACCGTGGAGACCAAAGTTCTCCATCTGTGACGATTGACTCGCTGTGGTTAGCTAGCTCACTGAGCTGTGTGGAAAATGAGACCAAGTGGCTGTAAGACAGCTGCTGTCAAAGTGGTGCAGCCTCCTTCCCTCCCTCCCCCCTCCCTCCCCTAAAATGGATAAATGCCAACACAGAACAAATTAGCTTGTTTAGACGTCAGTTTAGTTTGTAATGGATTTGGCAGAGATCACTTTTTTTTTCTTTTAATCAGTGAACCACTATGAGCATAAACATTTACTCTGAAAAACTCTCAGCTAAGCAGCTGCTGTCTCTATACCTAGAGCGGGAGTGAGAAGCAGTGAAATATTCACTTAGAAGAACGAGCGAGTCTTTGGTTTTACTGGTTTTAGAATTTAAGAACACAACAAAGATGAGTGTTTCAAAACTGAGGTAAATTTTGGAATCTGATCAGTCTCTGTCAACCTGGCAACGTGCTGCTACAAGAATATGGGGAACATGTTGGCACAGTTTTTATGATGATGAGAGCTAACGCTGTCCTGCTGTTATTGCGTTAGAACGAGTGGAGCGGACTGCTGAACTGAAGGAAGCAACTGCATCACAGACCAACATTGTGACACCTTCCAGACATTCATCGGATAAGCAGTCGACTACCCAACCAGAAAATAAGGTGTCTTGTGATAAGTCAAAACTGGATGAAAAACCTGAACATAACAAAGAAGTCAGCGATTTGACTACTGCTTCGAAAGCAATGTCTATTAAAGAAAGGTAAATATGCAATAAGGCTTTTAACCTTTTAAATGGGTAATGTAGGTTACGAATTGCATTATGTTGCTGCCGTGGCACAAGTTGCAAAACACTGCTAATCGCTTTTGCAATCTGCACAATATCGCTGAGCATTTGTGAAATTGGAACTACTGTATACATTGATGAAATATCTGTTGCATTAGATTTATTTCTCTTGTTAAAAACTAAATCTTTGGCTTATTTTAGAAAATGCGTTCAAGAATCATATTGGGTAGCAAGTTCTGCTTTAACCTAATTCGGTTCGACTCCAGGAAGAAATATCTGCTTTGCACTTAAGTTTCATTTTAGAAATATCTCCTTTAAAAAATTCATTATTGAAGAATCATTAGACAACCTTATTCTCTTCCCCCACCCCCCGCCCCCCCATTCATGCTTATAATAAGATCTCTTTTTATTTCAAAGGTGATTTTAAGAGATTCAAAACACTCTTACCAACAGCAATAAAGTTCACAATTTATGACTGTTTCACTATTGGCTATTACCTGCAGTGATCATGAGTTCTGTTAATTTGCATTTTGAAAGAACATTGTGAATCTGTATTGGCTTTCCATGTAGTTAATAGAGCATTGGAAATGTTAGCAAATCTGTTTTGCAGATGTTGACAGTGGAATTCAGCACTGAAAAGGCTCAACTACTGTAGTAAATGTTTGTTTAAGATTTGAACTTTTTTTTCTAATTGCCTCAAGTTCATGGAAGCAGACACCGTTTCAGTGCAAGTTATTTCTAAAATTCTGGCCATTTTCCAGTATTTACAATTATTTGCTGAATCTGTTCACTATATTTGGTAATTGATTTCTTCTGTCCATAATAGTCCTATGTTTATCTGTCCACACGCAGTCTTTTCATCCCAGTTGCTGAGTATAGTGCAACTCCATTATAACGTGCTTCATTAGAGCACTGGTGCATTCAACAACAACAACAACAAGATTCCATTTATTGAGCGCCTTTCACGTCGGGAGGACGTCCCAAGGCGCTGTACAGTTGGGTCAGGACCCGAGCAAGGGGGAAATGGTCAGGGTGAGGGGAGGGAAGGGAGGGAGCGAGGAGGGGGTAGAGAGTCGAGAGGGGAGCTGAAGGCACGGTCAAAGAGAAAGGTCTTGATGGGGTTTGTCCCCCATTTGCTCTCGCAATTACCATAGTTGTCTGGCGTGCGCATGGGACCCAGGAAGGGAATATTTGTTTGGACACACAGTCACTCGACTTCACAGTAAATTCTATGGAGTGCTTTGAGATGTCCTTCTGATATGATATGAAAGGCTCTATACCAAATACAAGTATTATTAATTAACCGGAAGTGGCCATTTTGGCTTTCTGCCTGCTAACAAATGTCCAACCTACCGGCGACATCATTTCCTGTATTGCGCAGCAAATAAGGAGTGTTGTTGGCAACTACCTGATGGCCCAGAATTTGACCTTTTTTAAGCATGGGAGCCAACTGTATGCATGTGCAGTGAAATAAACTATCACGGCCTCATTATAAAGTGGGTTGGGATTTTATGGGTCCCCAATTACCTTCTAATGAGGCTCCAGTGTTGTTCTCACACTTCTCAAGTCCAACTGAAATTAATGGTCACTGGAAATGTGTATTGAGGTTTTCAGAAATAAATATCTAGCTCCAACACCCGCTTTACATAACCAATGCATTTAACGTTTTAACTGCACTGTAATGAGAGAATGTGGCTAGATTTATTAGGCAGTAGGAAAGTGGGTCAAGTCAGAGAACAGGGTGACTCGAAAGCTCTGAGAACCATTAGCCTGGCTTCCTGTTTTGCACAGACCTTGACCCAGTCGTAAATAAATCCCAGATTTTTACTTTCGGAAAAGAGTTGAAAGTCGGCCACTAGCATTGCTGATCGATAGTGCCACCAGGGTTAATTTGTGGAAGTATAGTTTTACGTTTCAAATAAATGGTTGACATTTTAGCAGTTGTCAACCATATGTATGCATGTGTGGGGCTTTGGGACATCCTCCCAACCTGAAAGATGCTATATGAATGTCAATTTGTATTATATTGTACTGTGAAGGTCTAAAAGAAGTTGACTAAGTTTTTATTAACCAGGTTAGAAGTCAACTAGGTTTTCACGGTTTATGTAGATGATATATATTTTTTGTAAAAATATCTCTTGAGTTTTAGGGGGTGCTGCAGTCATTAGATTTTTCTTTAGTTTAGAAAAGAGCAAATATCAATCTGGCCACTCAGGCATCCAAGTTAATGGAGAGGAGCTCAAAAACATTAAACTTGTTTTTCAATTAACAAAGGTGATGTGATTCAAATATTTGCAACTTGTGTATGAATAATGTTGCCATAAGCAGATGGTGGGTGGGGGAGGCTAACCCATAGTGTTTGCAGTGTGTTATAATCGAAGTGTGATAGAAAGCAGTGAAATTGGAAAATAATAGTGTAGAATAGTCGTTTCTCCATAGAATAGTGGAGATGATGAATCAGATCAGGCACACAACAAATGCAACTGACACTGCTGAATTAGCAGTCAAGATTGGGCATTGGAATGGCTTAGTTTTTGAGCCCTCGTATTCTTTGACATGGCCTACTTTTGTGCTGCCTAATGAACCTTAATATATTAAACACCGTTCTTATTATAGTGCAGTCTAGAGATCAGGCTCAGCAGCAACAGTAGTGGGGCCAGCTTTAAGCCTAGCCATTGTGTGGGGGGTGGGAGGGGTACACATTCACATCCACACTCCGTCTTTCAGAATCAACAAGAAATTGCAATACATCTTAGCAAAGACATAAACTCTGGGTCTCATAAATATCACAATCTTTCCCCCTTTGTTTCATTTTCCCCCCAATGTGATATCTGTCTGCTATTGTCAAGTGCTTTGGGACATCCTCCCGAAATGAAAGGTATTATATAATTGTAAATTGTATTGTTTTGATCATTTAGGACCTACATGTTAAGTCACTAGTGTGCCTTACATATGTAACTCTTTACAGGATGGCTTTATTAAAGAGAAGTGGCGAAGAGGACTGGAGAAACCGTTTTAATAAAAAGCAGGACAGTGCCAAACTGACCTTGACCAGCCACTGCAGTCTGTTTCAGGAAACTGAACAAACTTACATTAAAAAGGTAAAGCATTCTCCCCTCAACAGCACGTTATATGAATGGCCGTCCAATAACGCAAACAGCTTTATGTTATTTTCACTGTGTCCTTGTTCCAGTTTGCATTCTCGAGGTCTGGTCTGCCCCAGGCTGTGAGACGAGAGGTCATGGGATCAGGATTGTGAAAGACAAGTTTAGGACTTGCTGGTGCTAATCAATGGCTACAATGGGTTATTAGCAGAAAGTGGCTGAGGCCAGGACCCCGGGAAAGGTTTGATGCTATGATGGGAAGAAGGCAGGGTGGGTATTCTGGAAGGATGAGAACGGATGGGCCAATGGGATTTCTTCATCCTACCTCACTTGGGATCTTTTGTACCTCCCAGTGGAGTACCATGGATCTCAAAGCTGCCTAAGGAGCAGAGCTTCTTTTAATTTCATCTGTGCTTTGCAAATGAAGTGAAATGACAGGAAACCACTTCTCACCTGGATATTACCTGGGAGAGAAGTGACTTGCAGCACCGTGTGCTTGGTGTGAAATCATCAAGTAGTCTAATTTAGCAAATGTTTTCACAGGTACAAGCGTGCACTGAGCAAAGATATCCAACCTGACTTAACAGCTTCGAATGTGCATATTTCTTTGTTTAAAGACCCTTTTTTTTAAAAAAATGCAGCGTACGTACACAAGACTTTCTGATCCAGGAACTCAGTTGTTCAGTGACTGTCCAAGGGGAGATTTGATTCCTCCATGTCTCTGTGACCCATATTTTGAAGAGCAGTAAATGCAGTGTCCATCAGTACATTTCTGCATTGAGTTGGTCTGTAAATGGGACACGGTAAACAAGAAATCTGGATTCCTACCTGGTACTGAAGTGGACTTTCCTTCAGTCCAAATAGGGGGCTGTGAAAGTAGAAGGGCATTGATGATCTTTATGCATTAGATGATAAATTGGTTAATAATAATAATAATAATCCTTGCATTTGATATAGCGCTTTTCACGTCGGGAGGACATCCCAAAGCGCTTCACAGAACACACTGTGAAGTGAATTGACTGTATATTTGTGGGCGAACGCGGCAGCCAATTGCTCACAACAATGTCCCACAAACAGTCGTAGATTGAAATTAACCAATTTATTATTGTTTTTGGTTTTGGAGGGATTATTATTAGGCTCTGTGTGGAGTAAGGAAACTTGCCCAAGGTTTCGCCCTCTGCCTGGAATTGAACTCAGGTCTCTCGCTTGCAAAGCGAGTGTTCTAACCACTGAGCTACAGGACTCCACGGTTAGATGGTGAACTCCCATCCTGGAATCCCTTTGCCTTGCCCTTTGCTCTCACCTCCTTCAAAGTCTGTCTCAAGACCTTCCTGTTTGACCATGCCTTCGATCATCTTTCGTACCCCCATTCCCTTTGGCCCCCACCCCTCCCAAATCCAACCCCCATCTCAGGCGCAATTACTCAAATGTCCAGCGCTTTGAGACATCCTCTTTACGTGAATGATGCTATGTAAATGCAATGGAAATGTTGTCGAATTGAGGCATATGATAAGTTTTAAACCCATTGATTGTCTTGGGTTGTCATTTTGGTCCTTTCCCACCTGCATTAAATATTTTGCTAAATTATTGTTTTACCCACACAAGATGTACAGAAATGTATAAAAGTATAAACAAATGGTGGACTGCTATGGCTTTCTTGTAAGCTTCACAAATTTCACAGAGTGAGTTACACAGTACTCGTTTTTTAAAAAGTAACTAAGGTTTTCACGATTTGATCAGGTTCGTGGGAGATCTGTCTGCTGGGGGCACTATCTGCTGGGGGGTGAAGGGGGTGGGGGTCACTGACCATCGGCTGGAGGAGACACAGTCTACTTGGACCCTTTCCCAGGCAACGTGCGTTGATTCATTTACCGCTGGATTAAAACTGCTGCCCACCGTCTCTTAAGCATAAAGGTGATTCGGACACAATAAAGATAGTCACAAAAAGAGTGAATGGAAAGCTTATTACGGGGAAAAAAAATTGCTCAGATTTGAATGTGGAATGCCCTGCCAAGTGAGGTGGTAGAGACAGAGTCCTTTGTGGACTTCAAGAGGGAAGTATGAAGGATAGGGTCTTAAAGAGGTATGGGGTTAAGGCAGGGCAATGGGATTGAAAGAATACCTTGCTATGAGAGCCAGTGCAGATTCAATGGTGCCTCCTTCTGTGCTATAAATTTCTATGGTACTATCATTCCATAATTGGAGGCTGGGGTTTTGAATGCAGCACTGACATAAACTTGTGTGATGTGGTCCACTGAGTGTGATTTATGGATGTGGGCAAATCAGTTTCACTTTGTTACCGTGTTCTGAATTAATAAGACTGTCAGGTCAGAATGTTACTCTGTTGGAAATCATTGTGAAACAAAACAAATGGAAGTCACATTGACCAGTCAAAAATCCATTTTATATTGTCTCCTTCAGCAAACGTATTTATCAAATAATCTTTTGGAACATTTTGACTTTAATTCACAAAAGAGCAATTTCTTCTCACACTATCGTTGACTCCTTTTCTTTTGCTGGGCACGATTGTGCGAGCCTTAACAGTGAAGTTAGCTGGACAGCTGGTTACCGGTTCTTCCTCCCCATCTCCCCTCCAGCCCTCTCCTCCCCCCCAAATACCTCAACTTAGATTTACTAAGACACCCAGTCTCTTTCCCCAGCTGAGATCAGTTCATTCTGGTCTGTATGGCCTCGTGTTTCACCAGACAGTGTCTCTGGGGTTGCCCTCAACAGGACACTTCTTATGAGCTTTAAGTTAATGATATGTCTCCTAGAAAGATAATAACTTAAGCTGCAGGTGTCAGTGGCTACCTGATTACTCTGTTTCTGTGAGCGTGTTTCTGTGGCCGTATTATTTGCAGCTCGGTTTGGAATACCTTGTGTACAATTTAAATAAGCTGCTCAAATATTTTTGCCATGTTTCCTATTTGTCTCAACTTGTAGGAAGAAGGAGAGTTTACTGATGACATCTCTATGTCTAATCAGCTCTGGGTAAGACGAACAAACAATGCGTGTTAGGGATTTTCTAAGGGGCTTGTCTTGTTTGCCTTTCCCTACCTGGCTGTGTTGCAGAAAGATGCTGCCTTCCTTCTTAGCTTGTAGTATTTCTAAATGGCTGCATTCCTATTATGATTCTGGATTTCTGAGCTTTGTTATGGCTTTAAATCTGCTTGGGAACACTGGCACAAGGGTTTGCTTTTAGGAAGCATGGGATAAAAAATGTTTTAAAAAAAGATAAGACTAAAGGCAGCTATCCAGCTAAGCTAACTAACCACAGTGAGCATTCTCATTGTCACTAGATAAAATATGTAAACTTATGTACCTATAGCATAATCCTAACAGATGAGGGAAGACAAAGCTGTGGCTAGTTTGTTTGGAGGTGTTTGTGTGTAATATTTGCTCTCTGTTGTTAACCAACATCAGAAGGTGATAACATACCTTTGGCCATTACAGGTCAAGATGTTCCTTTCCCCCCCACCCCAAGTATTGCCATGTGTTGAGCACAAGGCACCGCGACTGAACAATTTTTGCACTTTATTTACTGCAGCAGCACACAGAATTATGTGGAACCATACAACATGCAAACCGAACATTCAGCCCAACTAGTCCTTGGTGTTTCTACTCAATGTGAGCCTCCACCCCTCCTAGTCCCCTCTTCCATTCTCCGTTCCATTCTCCTCTGTCCCTCGGTTCCATTCTCCTTCACCCCTCCAGTCCATTCTCCCTCAGATTGATGATTAGTTGATGATGCAAAATAATCCGGCAATCTTGGTTTCAGATTGTAGTCGTCAATTGTAGTCTTTATGCAGACTATAATCTGCAGAATTGTTTGTTAATGGGAATAAATTGCATCCAATGTATTACACCCATTAGAGTAATGGCTTCTGGAGAATATCTCATAAATTCTGTCTCCAGACTGTCTAGTATCAGGATATCAGCTTTGTGTGAGGGAGACTATGTTCACTTTATAAAACAAGATCATTTTTGCTGTGTGGGTTGCTGGCACTGTATCTGGGGAGGTAACTTTTACAATGGCTGGCCTGGCAGTGTGTGCCTTTAAACTAGCTCTTTATTTGCTTCGGTCTGAATAAAAGATTTTGTACACTTACAACCAAAGGTCATGAATTGGGGTACATGACCCTAATCTGAGAATCTGATTTCAGCATGGTCTCCTGAATTGGACCAGTAAATGGGAACAATATCCCTTGGAAATAATTTCCGTATAAAGTCAACAGTAGTTGTTAGGTGAGGTATGATGAAGGGTTGTGGACCCGAAACCTTGACCTAGGATATGTTTGTCTTTGCCTCGGTACAGTTGTAGTCCTGTAGCTAATTGAATTTGTATTTTTTTTAATAAAATTGAGGTTCCCAGAAATTCTAGCTAATAATACAGCTAATTGATTGCCTCCTGCATTGCAGCCTGTCCATCCACGCTTCATTAATCACTTTAAGGCACTATTTATATGCTGTGTTACTGAGGTCATTTATCATCTTTATCATCTTAACCAGTTCATCCTTTAATCCGCCGAGAATGTTGTGATGACGGAACAGGCAGCATCTCCAATCCCAGTTCGCTGCTCAGACCAGGCTTTCTCTTCAGTCAGTGGGGGAAAGGGAGGGAGACAAAAAAAAAGTAACTTCAGTTTTCAGGAATTCCAAAATGCTTTTCTTCACGAAATAATGTTTTAATATATATACAGGAGGCCAGCAATCCCCTCAGCACATACTCTTGCAAACATGTGCCTCGTACTCTCCGGGATTAGATAAACGGGGTGCATCCCTCAAGGAAGGCGTGCATATTACATTCCAGAGAAGAAAAATTTCTATGCATAGGTAGCACGTATATGTGTCAAAACACCCGACTGACCGACAAAAAGTGTAGAATAAGGACCAGTTTGCATTATGTTCAGATACCATTCCTAAAAGATGGGTTGCTAAAATAGTTCTAAAATTCAAATTGGTTACATAACACACTATCGAAAATCTTTCTTAAAACCTTGCTGAAATATAAAAATATTTGTATTCAGTAAAAATCCATGTTTTATAAACTAATATAATAATAATAATCCTCGCATTCGATATAGTACCTTATCACATTATTGAGATGCCTTAAAGAGCTTCACAGAATATACTGTAAAGTAAATTGACTGTAATTAATGGGCCTGAATGACTAGTTTTTATGAAAAAGAAAGTAAACTTCCCCTTCGTAAAGTTGAATGATGATGTTGTTCCTAATCTCAGCAAGTAGCTTCATGATAAATGATCTGTTTTGCTGCACTTGAGTTCTTTTCCAGCTTTGAGCCAGTTTTACTTCCAGCTGCATAAACATGTTTCACCTGCATGCTTCACATTCTGCCACTCCTCGTTCTGCTGTCTCTGCTTTTTGTTACCTGCTATCAGATTGCTGTTTGCACAACTCTCTGTCTCTGCCGTAAATGTATGTGTTTTCCCAATCTGTTACATTCAGGTCATTCTTTTTTTCAGTGAAATGTGAAGTCCTTGCCTAGTGGGAAGGAACTATATATTAAAAGAAAATCCAGCGCTGGAGAGTTCATTCAGCTGCAGAATAAAATTCATGGAGCCTCTGTTAAGAAACAGACCATTAGTGTTTCCATAGTCTGTAGTCTGGATTGTCATTTTGATTTCATAGTGACTACAGCAATCTGCAGACTACAGCATGAGAGCTATAGAGCTTGAATTTGCAGAAGTCTGTGGTCTAACACAACAGGTTTCTTGAATGTGACTGGAATTGAAACCTCACTGTGTCTCTCCGACCTGGGGTTTCTCCAAATCTGAAAATAGGTAGTTTCAGACCAGATTGGTGTATCCAAGAGTTGGTATAACATGCCTTTGTTTTCTTTAATTAAAGAACCTGGTTCCACATTGTTGCATATTAGAATTCCATTGCTCTCTTAATGTAATAATGTGCAATTAAAAATGCTATTAACAGAAAGGCTGTGAGTCCCCTAAATAACTTTGCTACATTCACTATTAAGAGAGTAGACTGGGGGATGATTTAAACACTCTGTTGAGTATGATCCATGTTTGGTGGTTTCTTGAGTCACAACTTTGACCTGGGTTAGTTGGGAATTATGCTCTGTATTTACAGATATGCTTTATCAACACCCAGTAAATAAAGTATTACATTTGTCTTATGCTTAAAACTCCATCACTGTCGCAGATCTCGGCAGAGGGGACACAGCGCTACACTCACTTTGCAATTTACAGTTTTCAATATTTGTCTTCATAAGGACAGGGAGAGAGGAAAAGAGGAGAGTCAAAGGCTGAGGAATTCCTCATATGAACTGAACTTTCTTTGGCATAGTAGCCATTATAAACAGGCACAAACGTTTTATTTTTCTCTGAAATTGTGGTTGCCTTAATTTTATCAACTGACTTTCCAATTATTCGACTCTTTGCTGTCCCTTTAATTGTTCCATTATGACTGAGATTCCGTGGGTTTTACAGGATGTCATGTTTTTCTTGAATCTTGCAATGTGGCTTGATGTCCATGTTTTAATTACGTTTAGGCACGTACATCTTTTTGCAGAATTATATGTAAAGATTGCGCTGTCTTAGCATGCAGTGGAGTAAACAAGTCTCAACTAGTGCAAAGTGAAGTCATTTTCATTGAGCCTTTAACCTTGTAAGAGGTGTGTGTGTTTGTGTGTGTGAGAGCGCGCACATTGGAACCCAAAAGTTGCTGTTATGTATTTCAATATCTTCCCCCACACAGTAGGATTGATTGATTTAAATCCAGACTATTGGTGATTTCAAAAAGACATTTCCATTTAATAAATTCCCAGACTTAGGGTTAGAGTTTAATTTAAGAGATAGGTTGAGTGGGGATAATTGGCATTTTAAGGTGACATTTTAATGTAAAAGCAGTTCTTTACACAATTAAAATACAGTTTACATTTAATAGCACCTTTCACATCAGGATGTCTCAAAGCTACACAGCTGTCTGAGCACCCAGTCGTCAGTTTGATTGTAAGTTTGCTTTGTGACTATAAATCATGAGTTTCAATCGTGCAACAGCGCTCATTAACTTCCCCTCACAAGACTGAACCTTGTACAATTACGTTGGCTAACCACTGACCTTTTAGTTCTGCACAAATTACAGAAATGCTCCTTTGTTATTAACCTTCTCCGAATATTCATACTTATAGTGTATTATACTTTCACTAAAATTGAAATCAAGACCATAATTTGAAGGAAGAGTGGCCGAAACTATATTGATTATCTTATTCACCGATGCGCTGTGACTGTTAGTAATCCTGACGTGGCCAGCCTGCTGGCAAATAGCCCATTTCTTATGATGTCTTTGCCGTAATATTCCCAAGTCTGAGACAGATTGACTATTTGTCTGTAATGCACTTTTTTCCCATGTGGAAATAGCCTCATCACTCAGGGCTGATCTGTGCCCATGGCCAACCTTTGTGTGTCATTCCTTCCTTTAGTGTCCTGTAGCTCAGTGGTTAGAGCACTCAACAACAACAACAACAACAAAATTACATTTGTAAAGCACCTTTCACGTCGGGAGAATGTCCCAAGGCGCTGACACTGGTCTCACAAGCGAGAGACCTGGGTTTGACTCCCGGCAGGGTGAAACCATGGACAAGTTTCTTTACTCCACATGCGTGATAATAATCCCTCAAGAAAAAAAACAATAATAAATTGGTCACTTCAGTCCATGACTGTTTGTGGGACACTGCTGTGCACAATTGGCTGCCCCATTTCGCCCACAAGTATACAGTCAATTCAGTTAACAGTATATTCTGCAAAGCGCTTTGAGGTGTCTAGAAGACATGAAAAGTGCTATATCAAATGCAAGGATTATTATTATTAATTCAAGGTTTTGTTTTCCCCATGAACCTCTTTTCCATGTTATGCAGTGTTTCTCATCTAAGCTTCCTGACTAACACTTTCTCCTTGTTCTGGGACCCGCTCACATCTGTAGGAACCCGTTTATTCTTCCACTTACTCTCCTGCTCTTTCTGCCGCCCATACATGTCACCACTTTGTGCACCAGGTGAGCAATGGGTTTCCACCCTTTGCATGAGCTAAGGGCGGATCCTGCCGCAGAATGCTTCAGGTTGCTGTCTCCTGTATGGCCACTATCTGCACGGTTTCATAGGTTTGCATTTTTGTTTTAAAATAAATATATTTTCTCTTTTCTTTTTGCCTTTTTGAACTGAGGTCAAACAAATTGTGCGATATGATTTTTTTTAATGTGTTTTTTTTTCTCTAGGTTTCAATGTATTTTTTGTCTAGTTTGCCCACACAGAGTACGGTCCTGCAATCTTGCGGTTCTGAATGTTGCTGGTTTAAAAAATTTTGCGGTTAATAGCCACAACGCAGTGTGAAATGAGGCGTGTTATTTGTGGGGGAGGGGGCGGATTATTATCACATCGTGGGACATGCCATTTCTCAAAGTGACTCAGTGGATGATTGTCAGGTGAATTTCCACCCTCCCCTGCTTCGTAACAATGGTTGTAGTAAAGCTACTTGCTGGAGCTAATCTGTTGGCTGACAGCACCTTTAAACCCGCTGCCACACAGGATTCTGCCATTAGAGTATCTGTTAAATATCCACTGAACTGTTAGCGTTGATTAACACTGGTATTCCCTGAAGTGGCACCAATTCTGTGAGACAACGGATGGGTTTAATGGAGCCACTGGCCATCTGACTGGCAGCAGCAAGCGGTTTTGGGAACAGCTATTCTAAAGGAATGATCACTTGGCGATGGGGTGGGGGAGATGAAGGGTCTGTTATCGACTATAACATTTTCAGGACCAGCATGCTCCTATAATGTGATAATCATCACATCGCATTTTTCACCCAAAATCGTGAATTGGTTAACAAAAATAAAACCTGTCAAGGGTGATGCTTTGATTTCCCTTCACCAAATAATTTTCACAAAAATTGCAACCAAAGGAAAGGAGATATTCTTAACGTTATGCCAAAGGTGGAGTAATTCTTGCTTTTCATTGCATGCTGTGCATTAGTTGTGCTCTGGTGAGAGAATCTGTGCGTTGTCCCCATGATGTGCATTGAGATAAGTAGGAATGGTTATGCCAGCCTTCTGAAACCTGTGTCTGCATCAGTCACTGCAGACAGCATGAGTGAACGCTTGTCCTGTTCGTTGACCTAATGCCTTTGCTGGTGCAACAGTGGGTTTGTTTTGTAAGCGATGTTTAACAAGAATCAGCATCGTATTGTCGTGCACAACATATAGAACTACAACCTCAAAACATATGCTGTCAAACATTTTCAGTGCAATCACCTTTATAGACCCCACCCCCCAAAATGCAACTTATTTTTTAAAAAAAGTTTTAAGGTAGTGAGTGGCTTTTTCAAAACCTCGAGTCTAAATTGTGTGTTTGTACCAGAACTGAGCTGGTTGCTGATCTTGCTTTCTTGCCATTCTGCAACCTACTTTTCTGTCCTTTTTATGTTCCACCCCTCTTTTCATCTCCCTTTTTGAAGGTCGCTTCTGCTAATGCCAGGGAAACAAGTCCTCAGCTCTATGATGAACGTCATCCCTGGAGATGGAAGGTGAAAGTTTGAAGAGAGAAAAAACATTGCACTTCTGTTACAGAAATATTCACTGCATTAGGAAGACTTGATTGCTAAGTGCTTTGCAAACAATCTGATGCATAAGATTGCGACTAACACTGAGCGCTGCAGTGGGATTCCTGTTGTAAGAATACGAGTGTTCACTCTCTTTACGAGAGGATTCTTTTTATCAATGAAATATGCTTTGGTTCTGTGCATTCTGTGGAGTTTAGTACAGCGAAATGCAAAGTATGTGTATTTTGGGAGGAAGAACAAAAAAGAGAAATGCAATCGAACTCCATTATAAAGCATTGGTTGGGGTCCATAAAGTTCCAACCTGTCATAGATCGAGAGCAGCCACTGCTTTCAATGTTACTGACCACTTGACTGGTGACAGAAAGCTGGCTGGCTTTAACCCGCTTCAAATCCTCTCGTCACATTGAATCATTCCGAAACTTGTCAACGAGATTTCAAGCGCAATGTGACCTGCAACAATTGATTTGGATGACACAGTTTTAGATTCTTAGGTAAGAAAATGTCAGGGCCCACAGCCCCAATTGCATTAGAAGTGGACCCACATTATAGCAATGTACATTTTAATAGGATTCTACTGTATATCTTGTACAGTAACGTTCGTAAGTGAGTGTAGGAGCAGAGACCTCCAGGTGATTAAATGTTCAAAGGTGAGAGTTCAAATGAAGAAAGCCATTTAAAAAAATGGAATTCTGTGTCTTAAAGGCAGTAATGTTAAAGCATTAAGTAAGGCAGGGGGTTGGTTGCAGTTGGCTTGTTGTCATCTAGATTTGGTTACCTCCTTATAAAAAAGGATATAATTAGAAGAGCATTAGATAAGTACTTGAAGAAAAATAATACTAAAAGTTAAGAGGAATGAGCAGCGTTCTAAGATTTCAGCAGATAGCTCTGGTGTGGGAGTACATACCGCCCCAGAGATGATGAAACAAATAAATCATCCCTATATAAATCTGTGCATTAGTTTTACAAAGTGCAATCTCCATGGCCTTTTCCCCCATTATTTCTTTATACACCTGTATTGATGCCAGGTGTTTAGTCTCGCTTGTGCAAAGCTGGTTGTTTACATAATATGTTACAGCAGAGGCAGTGTTTTGATATGAGCGTTTGGCAGATGCAAAAGGGTGTCAAAGGCTTTACACAAAAGGCATTTGTAAATCAGAAGAACTTTCTGAACTTTCACAATAGTTCCGGCTTGATCTATTCATCATTCAAGTGCAATAACCCCACCTGCCCCGGCCATTTGATCGTGGGACATGTGGAGCACATCGTCCCCTCCTTAAATAGGCGTCTTAATTCCGTCACTCTTAATCTGGAGCGAGTCAAGATCAGTGTAAGCAGAGGAAGTTCTTCTGAGAAGGTATTAAAGTCAGCACTGCGTAAGATGTTTTTAACGTATTCTGTGTGGAATGACATCCAGAGCATTTGGTTTAAAGCACAAGTCAACTGGTACTGGCTGTTGGTGCACTTTTGTGCACTGTTTAGTTCCAGACGCTTTGTCCCTGGTCTGCCTGCATGACACACTGTACTGGCTATAGTGTGTTAGAGCCCACTGAGTTCATGATCTCTCCAGTTGGGCTGATGTCAATGATTTAGAAAGGAGCAATGAGGAAGAATTGGAAGGCTCTCATGCTTGTAGCAATTGATTACAGAGCAGCAAAGTCCTGGGAGAAGGTCAGGCCGTTCCCCCTGCAAAGTGAGCAATAATTGAGGCAGGAGGAAAAATGAGAACAATTATAGAGGATCAAAAGTTCGAGGTGAAATATTTTATCGATTAAGTAAACTTTTAGAAATGCAAAGAAACAGAGCATCTTATTTTCAGAATTCTCTCATTGAGTTCAACGTGATAACTTTGATGTTATTATAGCGCAGGAACCTACTGCATCCCCCCCCAAAGGGTTTGGTTGAGCGTGATATTGGGTGCTGGCTAAAAAATTTCACTGCGTGGCTATTCTGGTTAAAAAATGCGGTGTTTGCAGCCTGGCTATGCAGTCAGTGACTCCTGCTGGTAACTGGATCTGCGACACGCTCACCTGTGGGAGATCTGCTCCGACCTGACCTCCGATCTACATCTGGAGCGCGTTCTTGCCAGTCTACACACATCTAGTTACTGACAGAAATCACCACTTGCAGATCCCAGAAGTGAATACTGTACTTTTTAACCCGATTGAAACATAGGTGCATCAGTTTGCTTGTTTGCCAGTTGTATTAACGCATGCTGTGTTGTGATATCATAATTGCAACCGAACTGACTTGTACAGCTGTCTCTTTCCCTTCCCTCAAACTACTGCAGCATAAAGAGCATCTTACGGAAGTTCATTTACCTCAGAACTGTGGGAGTCTACATCTGAACATAACTTTACCCCATACCTTTTATAAAACCCAGATTTAGGATAAAACTAACCACTGATTGGTTTCTCATTGACACTAACATCATTTCAAACACTGGTGTCCAGTACTGTGAGTCTTGCTCCTTCACTTTAAACAGGCACAGTACCAGATTTCTTTAATACTGAATGAATCCTGCTTGTGAGAGATATTGTGTTTGATGGAGTCATTTCTATTCATCCATTTAGTAAAGCAGGTGCTGGGGTTACAGTGGTCTCTGGCTGAACACTATTTAATGCCATTGGATATGCAAAAACAATGACAATTCATGTAAATGTATACTCCAAGCTGCCTACTTGCACAAGGCGTTTTCTAAACCAATTGAACCAACGTGTCTAGTTAGTTACCTGGAATAATTCTGTGCAAACTGTAAAAACCTCATGAATAAGTACATCTCAGTGCGTGTTCCACAATGTTCTAGTTCACAATGTGTTTGGTGGGTGGGAGGTGAATTGTAACATTTGCATAAATGGTCGAGCCCGAGCTTTGTAAGGGGAAGACCAAGATCCACACCATATGTATTTGACCCTATTAACATGTGTGTATTTAAACCAGAGGATGGCGGACAATGACGCACGCATGACAATAGAAGAGAGGAAACAACTGATTACTAAACGGGAAGAGGCCTGGAAGATTAAGGGCAGAGGAGCTGCCAATGACTCCACTCAGTTTTCTGTAATTGGAAGGATGGTAAAGAAAGGTCAGTATCTGTCTTTTTTTAATCTACTATATCATGACAGTAATCCTTGCTTTTTATGTAATCTCTTTTAGCAAGTCACTGGGACATCTCGAAGCTCTTCATGCATTGTAAAGTGAATTGACTGTATTTTTTTTATTGGTGGAATGCGGCAGCCAATTGCGCAAAGTAGTGTACCACAAACAGTCGTGGATTGAGTGACCAAATTAATTTTTTGAGGGATTCTTATCCCCGGAAAGCGGTCCCCCAATCGATTAACAACCAGGTTCCTGCTTACTGCTAGGTAAACCAAAGTGTGTGGAGTAAGGAAACTGGCCTAAGGTTTTGTTATATAGTAATGCAAACGTTAAAGTCTGCTGGAAACCTGGGAGCTGCCTCAATGTTTCCCGGGAACTATGTGCTTAAAATCTGGGGCTACATTGGGGTTTTTAAGAAGGACACCTTTTTTTCTCATCTAATTTTACGATTCTAGAGTGGAATTTTCATCTTTTCAGATTAAAATAAACCTTGCAAGTTTCCTACATTAAATGTGTGCTGCGTAGTGTCACACATCAGCAAAAATGAAAGTAGTTTCAAAGCTTGTACACAAAAATCAGCTACAAAAATAATGTACTGTTTAAAAGTATTATCGACGACCTCCGTCTTATCACATCAAGACACCTCACAGGATATACCGTAAAGTGCTCTGACTGGGTATTTTGTGGGCAAATTAATATACATAATGCTTATTCTCTTTTGCCAAACCACTTAACATAACATAACATGTAGGAGCAGGAGTAGGCCATTCGGCCCTTCGAGCCTGCCCCGCCATTCGATCATGGCTGATCTTCTGATCTAATTCCAGCTAATAACCTAACCCTGGCTTATCCCCATATCCCTTAATATCTTTTGCAATAAGTAAGGTTGTACTTCAGCCATGTTAATGTCTTTTCTGACTGGATTTGGTTAATTTGTTCCTCAATTTCTGGAATTTCTCTAGCTAACTCGAAACCTGAATATAAGAAGTGTCTTTCCCGGATGGATAGGGTCAGCACTGTGGTTTGTAAACTGTAGGTGAAGGTGATGTTTCCATAGAGTCTGACAAACCAAAAGCTTTTTTCACTTCCGCCAACAGGTTTGACTTCACCCACGTTCATGAGTCCAGCCACTTCACCTATTGTGCAAAAGCTGAAGAACAGTGCTCCAGTGATTTCTAAACCACAAGAAGGTATGGATAAAGATGTGGAAAATTTGGGAGGAAGCGTTATGTATCTGAGAAGCGTACAGCAATCTCTCGACTTCACTTTTCGCATTGAGTGAACACATCAAAATAATAAATCACTGCATTTGATGTAGCGCCTTTCATGTCAGGTGGACGCCTCAAAACGCTTCACAGGATTTACTGTAAAGTGTAGTGATTGTTTATTTTGTAGGCATTCTTGGCAATCAGTTGGCGCACAAGAATGCCCCACAAACAGCCATGAGATCATTTTATCTGAATGACCAATTTTGTCTGAGTGGTTGTTGGCCAGGACACCAGGGGAAAATCCCTCTTTGTTTTAAAATGTGCCATGGGATCTTTAATGTCCGCCTGAACTGGCACACAGGACCTCGTTTTAAAATCTCAGCTGAAGGACGGTTTAGAAATATATGTATTAAATAAATTTGCGTCATTACAGCACACGTGCTTGATACTGTATTGAAAACAACACTCATCTTTTCCTCAGTCCTTTCTCAAACACACTTGCATGACCTCAGTATCTCCTTCAATTTGTGCGGAGGAGAGTTATGCAAAGCTTTCCTTTTGGGAATCCGCTCAATGTCCTATTTTATGTCTTGTCTAGAAATTGAGGTCAGGCCTGACTTGCATTTGGAAACCGACGAGAAACTCGATAAACTGGAATCCTTCTTAGGCAAGCTGCACAACAGGAGTAAGTGCAAGTTCATCTTATCTACAACAGATTAACCAGACAGTCAGGAAATAATGAAAAGAACAGACTGTACATTTGTCAAGCACAGTTTTATTCCAAAGTTTATGAATGGTATTTAAGAAAATTAACAAAGTTTTGAGTGGTATATATGAGATGGGGATCTAAAAGAGAATTTAGTAGGAACTTCTTTGCTCAGTATGAATGTGGAAATAACTGCCCAAACAGTGGTAAAATCAGATGGAGATCCATTAAAGCCAATTTTATTGTACACATGAGGAGAAGGGAATAGGGTGAGGGAGAGAGTAAGGAGTGGGTGGATATTCATATGGAGTGTGGAAGCTGAATGGCCTGTTTCCACGCTGTACAATCGATGTAAGTTTATGAAACTGCGGTAGAAACGAAAGCAGTTCTGCAGTCAAGGTCATTCTCATATTCACAGAGCATTAACATCAGTGATCATGCACCATTTGCAACTAAATGTATCCTGACCACACATCTCAAACCAGATATACAGACCCTCCTTTTTTGAGAAAACAATATTAGTAATAATATAATACATAATAATCTTTACATTTGATATAGCTCTTCACCAGGTTGTCAAGACCCCTCAAAACTCTTTATAGGATTTTACTGTGAAACCTACTCACTGTACTTGTAGGCAAACGCAGAAGCCAATATACATACAGCAATGTCCCACAACTCGCCATGAAGTAAATAACCAACATCTGGTTTTGTCTGGAGGATTTTTGGCCAGGACACCAGGGAAAACTCCCTTCCAGGGAGTGCCATGGGATCTTTAATGTCTCCCTGAACAGTCAGACAGGACATTGGTTTAACATTTCATCCAAAGGACAGCACTGCAGTGGAGTGGAGTGTCACTTTAGACTGTGAATTCAAAGTCCCAACGTGGGGTTTGAACCCACAACCTTCTTACATCACAACTAGCGCCAGACTGAATTTATTATCGATCCTACAGATGTTATGCAGGTTATCCAAACAATGGGGCCCACAATTTCCCACGTTGTTAGGCTCAATTTTGGAAAATTGCCATAAATTCTGTCACCATTTGGAAGCTGCTTTTCCACACTTCATTTTGGTTTCTGTGGAAAAATAGATTCAAATTAAGGCGGAATTTAAGCCTGCGTCGAAGTTTAGGATTGTCTTATGTCCTTTGCGTTTCCCAGCTTTGGTCTAAATCACTGTGGAAAGTCTGTGTTTTCTTCAGTATCTATTTCTGGAGATGACTATTGTGGTTGGTTTCAAGTTTGCCCTTTTTGCCAACGACCTGTTGACTGAGTGTTTGGTGTTTGTTCCCCAGCACCAGGACAGCGGGAGACAGTGATAGCTGTCACCGCACAGTGCGTCAAGGAGGTGATGAGACCCGATGATGAAGAAACGTTCATGAAATTCTACAGAAATGCAAGTGACTTTGTGGTCCAGCCCGGCGCTGTGGAGATCGAGGAAGAGGATTTTGATGCTATATTTGATCCCGACATACCAAAGTACGACTACATTAGCGTTGCCTTTGGATTTTGTTTTTGTGATTCCATTTCTGAAATTGCTCAGAGGTGGAGCGTGGAGCAGAGTTCTGGAGGTGGAGAATTTTGTGATTGTGATGTATTCATTTCAAGGGAGGGGGGAAGGGGCCAAATAAGGAAACCCAACAGAGGCCGAAGCGACTACAGAACCCGAAGAGGGGAAAAATAGAACTTGCATTTTTGTCACACTTTGTCATGACAACATGTCTGAAAGAGCTTTGCAAATGTACGTGTGTTTGCTGTCCAATGTAGTCACTGATTTTTGGAAGCAAATGCAGCAGCTGACAGTCGTAAGGCCAATGACCGATTATAATAGCACAATGCTTATCTGTACAATCTGCTTATCTACATTGAAGTGGACACAGGACTTATGACACTGACAAAAATAATCTAATTGTTTGATTTGGACATGGGGTTGCTATAGGTGAAATTTAACTGCACTGTGCAAGGCTAGTAACCTTGTCCACCTATCTGCAACTTCACACCTGCGGGCAATTGGACTTGTTTTTTCCTCTGACGACGAAATAAACATAAGTGTTTTTTTTTCTCCAGTCTAGGGTTAATCAGAGAAAGAGACAGACATAAGAGTTTAAGGGGAGCAAGGGAGCTCAGGGAGGGGGGGAAGAGGAGAAGGCAAATGTCGTACTATAGTGACAATATAATGGTACAATTTTAGTTAGCTGAATTGTATTTTATGTGACGACCAGTTCACCACCCTGTAATGATGGCAGAATGCAAAATGAACAAGTTCCTTTGTATTTCAGGCTGATCTCGGCAGTGGCAGAACACAAGAGAGCTATGAAACCAACGCGCAAAGTGCAGTCTTCTCGCAATCCACTCAAAATGCTGGCGGCAAGAGATGACATCCGACACGAATATACAGAACAGAGGCTGAACGTTGCATTTATGGAGTCAAAAAGGATGAGAATGGAGAAAAGTAGGTTTAACATGGAAGCCATGAGCAATGTTGCATTACTGAGCTCATAGGTCAAAGCATTAGTGTCGAACACTGACTGTAGTCAACGTTGACTGTTTCTGTGAAGTAACCTGTGTCTTTGGATATCAAAGGTGTACACTGTTTACTTCTCTTTCTTGTTACGTTCTTCATCGCTGTTGGTGAAACGTGACAAATTTTTCTTCATAATGTGAATACCTGGTATCTTTCTTTGTCCAGTGATGTTTTATTTCTGTGTTTCGAGAAAAGAGAAATGTGGCTCAAAATACGTTGTGCCATTTGTTAGGTGTTAGAATCATAGAAATGTACAGCAAAGATGGCCATTTAGTCCATTGTGCCTGTGCACCACCGTGTAACGGAATATCAGCCTCACATTGTTAATTGGTTAGTCCCAGCTGTCATAGTGCAAACTTTGTTTCATCAGCTAATTGTTTTTTGGTTCTTTCATGTGACTAATTTATGGGGGTAATAATAATAATCCTTTCAAGAAAAAAAATTTGGTCACTCAATCCATGACTGTTTGTGGGACACTGCTGTGTGCAATTGACTGCCACGTTTCACCCACAAAATCTGGTCAATTCACTTTACAGTATATTCTGTGAAGCGCTTTGAGACGTCTCGAAGTTGTAATAAGGTGTTATATCAAATGCAAGGATTATTATTATTATCACCCCATCCTCGACAGGCTCCACTGTCTCCTGGCAGATTGATTTTAAGGTCTTTGCCCTCACCTATGAATTCTTTCACACTCCATCAGTGCCCTATCTCTCTGATCTTCTGCTACCCCACTCCCCTGCTCATTCCCTCCACTCAGCTCCCTCAGGCTGGCTGCACATCCCCCGCCTCCTCTGCACCATCTCTGGAATTCTCTCTCTCACTTTTTCTCTGGCTGTCCTTAAGTCCCACCTTGAAACCTATCTCTCAACCTTCCCACTCTGCCCTGCTCAGCGTCCAACCCTGTCTTTGTAAAGTGCTCAGACCTTAACATACATGAAGGACTCTAAATAAAATGTAAGTTATTGTTGACTGTGAGAGAGCTATCCATTTAGTCCCATTTCTGCTCCGCCCCGGCTTGTTTCCATGCTGTACAAACTAGAGTGGGACTAAGTTAAAGACTAAAGACTCCCTGACACTTGGAAACCCCACCTCCCTTAATCCTTGAGCTGTTGAAGCACATTATCCTAAATAACCATTGTCTATGTTCAGCTAGGCTGAGCTGCTTGGGCATTGACTAAGTACACAATGGATTATCGCACAATCCTTTGACCTCTAACGCCTGGACTTGATTTCAGGCCAAACCGATGAGATTACACACTGGCTGTAACTCCGGTGTGAAAAGTGTTTGGGAAGCTACAGGTGGGTGTGGGTCCACGGCACAAATCTGAGCCCGTGAGAATATAGTGTGCAGGAAATCAAAGACGTCAGCACAGACTATGAGGCTCCAACTGGCCTTTTTTTGTGATTAAATGTTTTATGGTTCAGGACAGACTGAAGTAGCCCCGTCACCCATTAACGGTAGATGTGGTTTTACTCTATCTGCAGGTGCTGCTCTTATCTGCGAATAGGGTCTCTCGCAAGGCCTAACCCCACCCAACCCGTGGGACCTCTGTACTATATATCACCCTCCCAACACTTTTACAAATGTAAATTTGTTGCTGAGTGCACGATGCTGATGTGAAGTGTTATTTTCCTGTCCCATGAATGTCCCACTTCTGCTGGCGATCCCACACGCTTTCTTTGCAGATGCCATGATCCAGCCAAAGCCCTTGACTGACTTTTCTCCTCACAGTGTCTAAAAACTCCAACTTGGCGGAAGTGGCACTAGCTGGTCTGGCGAGCAAGGAGGACTTCAGCAGTGTGAACCTCCGCAGCGTGAACTTACTGGAGCAAGTTTCAAACAACAGTGCAGTGCCATACAAGAAGCTGATGCTGCTGCAGATTAAAGGTCAGAAATCCATGAATCTGTCGGAATAACATGGCCACTGCAGGAATCTTACGGTGGTTTTGATACTTTCCATTTCAAATATTGGACATTTTCGATGCCAAACTAGGCAGTTTCAGATGGTTCAGCTCCAGCAGTACCTCAACACACATGCTGGGGTCCCCACGTCTTAGCTCTTGCCAACCTGCCTAATACTCCGGAATTAGATAAACAGTATGTGTGCCTCCAGGGAGAGAGCTTGCATTCTATTCCAAACTCAGGGGAAATTTCCATGCGTAGATGGCATCCATATGTGTAACTCTGTCAGGTTTTAGATACCTTTAAGCATGATGAAGGGTTTCTGCTTGTGTCAGACACCCGGCTGATCAAAAAAACTTGGATGTATGTGCCACACCATCAATGGGGTACAAGGGGATGGGGGGGAGGGTGGTGGGGAAGCTATCCTTGTGTAGAGTAGGTTTCAAGCAACATGTCCCATTTCTGTTGTATTTTGAGCTTTGGTTTGCATAACAGATTTGAAAATGCAAAACCAAGTTGCAGTGTCTCTCCTTGGGAAAAATAGTGCTTGGCTTTGAGAAAGTGAATCAACATTTCGGGTCCACGGGTTCTGACCGAAGGGTCGTGGACCCGAAATGTTGACTCACTTTCCTTTCTGCACAGATGCTGCCTGACTGGCTGAGTGTTCGCAGCGACTTCTGTTTTTGTTACTATACCATCACCTTTTGACAGGAGACTTGTTTGCATTAAAAATGTAACTTATCTTTGTTTTTTTTAAAAAAAGCTAGCACTATTTCTTTCAATGGATTTCAGAATAATCTGAAATTGTCGAACCATCAACAAAGCAGAAATTGTTTGTGTGGATGTTTCTTTTAGGGCGAAGACATATTCAGACCAGACTAGTGGAACCGAGAGCATCATCTCTGAACAGCGGAGATTGCTTCTTACTTCTAGCTCCTCAGAACTGTTTCCTGTGGACAGGGGAATTTGCTAATGTCATAGAGAAATCCAAGGTCAGTCTACTACCATCCATACTTCCCTCTCGACTCTCTACCCCCTCCTCGCTCCCTCCCTTCCCTCCCCTCACCCTGACCATTTCCCCCCTGCTCGGGTCCTGACCCAACTGTACAGCGCCTTGGGACGTCCTCCCGACGTGATGTACGTGATGTAAGGCGCTCTATAAATGGAATCTTGTTGTTGTTGTTGTTGTAAGAGGCTGCACAGAGAAACTGAACCTCCTTCATCGCAAAAGTGACACAAATTAAGAGTATGGTGATTTGTGCCAATGTCTGATGTGTAAACCATATGTTCCTTTATTGCATTTGTGGGTTAATTTCATTCACTTCCCTGGATATTTTTGCTTTCCTTTTTTTTTCCTGGTGACGGGAATGGTTGAAAAGATAACCACTTCAGCCAATGTTCTTAATGGATGTAAAGCCTTCCTCAGGATACAGGAGTTTTGGGTTGTCAGTGACCAAGTTCAGTCGCATTGCAAAAGTTGGGGAAATGCTGCTGCTGTTGGTGCCACACTTTGCTAGAGTAGTATAACTAACCTTTCTGTACAAGATAAGAGTCACTACACGTTAAATAAATCCTGTGAAGTGATTGAGACATCCTCTGGAAGTGAAAGGCATTATAACAAAAGCAAAGATTATAAAATTATTGTAAAATAGTTATTTGCATTTCATACATCACTTAAATACAGTTTAACCTGTTGTCAACAGCCTCTCAAGGGACTGGGCCAAAGTGGCTTTTATATAAGGGTGGTCTCCGAGTAAGGTGTGTGAACGCACACTGAAGGGGCTGTTCAAGCAACCACCTCTATTCAGCAACCATCTTCTGCAGTTGTTAACAGGGAGTGGTTGCTGAATGGAGGTGGTTGCTTGAACAGTTTGACAGTATATCAAAAGCTTTTGAAGTGTATGTAAGGAACTGTTGTGTAGACAATAGCAAGGGAGAGAGAGAACTAACCTGCTCCAGGAGCATGCCACAAACAGCAATCTTTTTTAAAAGTGAATTTGGGTGAAGGAGTAATATATAAGGATTGTATCTATTATTAATCAGTAGAACACCCTACTCCTCTTTGAGGTTTTTAACATCTGCCTGAACGGGGATTTGGGATTTTCAACCCTTAAAAGCCTCTTCCTCCCAACATGCCCCAGTTCTGACGAAGGGTCGTGGACCCGAAACGTTGACTCACTTTCTTTCTCCGTAGATGCTGCCTGACCTGCTGAGTGTTCCCAGCGACTTCTGTTTTTGTTAGGGATTTAAATATCACTCAGGGGAGTGCACCTCCCATAATGTTGCATTCATTCACACTGCATTGGGTGTCAGCTTACATCATGAACTCAAGTCCTGGTCTGGGAGATGAATCTATAAATTTCTTATCCTGAGGCATGAGTGCTACCACTTTCACTGGGATTCATAACTGATAAAGATACTGCAAAAAATCTTTTAATGGATGTGCGTGTGCTAATGAGTGTGATTTCTTTTACTCAGGCTGCTGAACTGGCTGCTTTTATTCAAACTAAACGGGACCTTGGCTGTAGAGCACCCTATGTGACCACAATAGAAGAAGGAATTAACACCCAGAGCAAAACTGCCAAAGAATTCTGGAGGCTCCTGGGTGGGCAGTCCAGCTATCAAGGTAATAATAATAATAATCCTTCCATTTGGTATTGCCCTTATCACATCTTGTAGATGTCTCAAAGCGCTTCACAGAATATACTATGAAGGGAATTGATTGTATATTTGTGGGCGAAACGTGGCAACTGCAGGCAAAACCGCCAACTGGAGCATTTATTGAATTCATGCCATTCCTAGCTCAAGTGTATTATTGAACAGACAGTAAGTCAGGGCCTGCACAGGAAAGCAAATGTTCACTGAAGACCTTTCATACTTCAGATCTTTAGAGGATGTATTTGAGATGTGTCATAGTGGTTTATATCATACAGTTACAATGAGAGATTACAGCTAGTCATGACATGTGTGTATTTTTATTACCGCCCGTTCAAGGAGAGAAACCACATTAAACATCTACAGAATTCACACTTCAGTAATTGCGTGTAGAGTTTTTTTAAACTCAAAACAAACGTAATTATAAAAAAAACTTTCTCCACTTGCTCTCACGCATTTCATGCTGGAGCTGTGTTGCCCACCAGGAATCTCTCAGATGGCAGATGCCACCTAATGAGGGGCTGAAACCCACACTTGTTAGATGTCAAATGACTATCCAGTGACTATCCTCCTGGGAGGGGAGGGTAGGCGGAGTTTCTTTGGAGCTGACTGGCTCCAAGGTGACATAATTGGCAACAGAATGTCGGAATTGAGCCCATCCTCTGCTGCAGTCCTGGTAGTCTAGTTCTTGAACCAGATGGGTCTGCAGTACTCCATGGCACTGTTGATGACAGCTAGCTCAATGGAAGGTGGTCTGGAAAGGGCAGTCCAGTCACTGGAGCAAGGACTCTTCCAAAGCCGTAATGGATCAGGTGGTCCTAGCTGGACAAGCAGCAGATTTTAGCTGATTAGAATTCAACAGTACCCCAACGAACATCTGTGGTTCCCAAGGCTTGGCTCTTGTCAACCTGCAACTCATACCTTCCAGAATTTAGTGTTGGGTATTTGTCATTTTACGACTATTATCCTGTAGAAAGTAGGAACGTTCCAAGTGAACATGACATTTCAGTTCCAGTCGCTGCCATTTGCCATTATATTACAATAATAGTAATAAGACAATAATAATAATAATGTAATACCAGCAACAAATTATATTTGTATATTGCCTTTCACATCAGGGGAATCTCCCAAGGCGCTGGACAGTCAGGGATCTGCACCTGAGCTGGTGGTTGAGATCAGGAGGGACGGCGGGGAGTATAGGGGTAGGAGGATAACCGAAGGCACAGTCGAAGAAGAGGATCTTGAGACGGGTCTTGAAGGAGGAAAGGGAGGGGCGGAGCAGAGGGACAGTGGGATGGAGTTCCAGAGGGTGGGGACAGAGAGGCTGAAAGCCACTCTCCAAAGGTGGGGTGGGCAAGGCGTGGGAAGCAGGCCAGAGCAGAGGAAGCTGACAGATTGGTGGGGTTACGAGGTCACAGAGGTAGGGAGGAGCAAGGCCTTGGAGGGCTTTGAAGGTGAAGAGCAGGATCTTGAACTGTAACTTCTGAGTGATGAGTATCCAGTGGAGCCGGGCAATGATGGAGGTGATAGGGTCATGGAGCCTGGTGCGGGAGAGGTCACGGGCTGCAGAATTCTGGATGATCTGCAGCCTGTGGAGGGAGGAGCTGGGGAAGCCGACAAGCAGGGAGTTTGTGTAGTTGAGCCTAGATGGGATGAATGCGTGGATGAGGGTCTCGGTGGCCTGCGGTGAGAGACATGGCGGAGCCAGGCGATGTTGCAAAGGTGGGGAAAGACAGAGAGGTCATTGCATGGATGTGGGGGATGAAGGACAGTTGAGGGTCGAATAGGACACCAAGGTTCCTTATTGGCTCCGTGAGGTATAGAGTGCATCTATGGAGGATGATGCTGTAAGCGCCTGAGGTGTGGAAGTGCTGACGGTTGCCAATCACGAGGGCATCGATCTTGTTGACGTTCAACTGGAGAAAGTTAATTGTCATCCAGGACTTGATGTCCTGGATGACAATTAACTTTGTCTGTCAGGGCAGCAGCCAGTAAAGTCCTACAGGTTGATTTGAACGACCAATTTATCTGAAGGATTATTGGCCAGGTCACCAAGAAAAAACTCACATCTCTTTTCGAATAATGTCATGGAATCTCTTATATCCACCAAAAAACAAGCAGACAGGACTTTGGCTAATGGCTCATCTGAAAGATAATGCAGTGGCGCTATACAAATGTAATTTGTTGTTGTAGTTGTTGCTTCCCTAGTAATACACTGGTAATGGCAGACTAAACTCTGAGCTCAAACCCTGATAAGGGCTTTAACCGCATAACTTTCTGCTCTAGAGAGGAGAGTGCTTAACCACTAAGCCAAAATGATGCCTTATACATGTCGTGTTTGTGGGAAATCTGTAATAAATCTGCTTTGCGTTTTCTCTTTGAAGACGCTGGGAATCCAGATGAAGATGAACTGTATGAAAGTGCAATAGTAGAAACCAACTGTACTTACTGCCTCGTAGATGATAAATTAGTTCCGGATGACGAGTACTGGGGAAAGATACCACGCTGTTCTTTGCTTAATTCAAAAGATGTAAGTATTTGCTATTGCAAGAAAGAGAAGAGCTTATAATAATAGTAATAATAATAATTGCATTTGATATAGTGCTTTATCATGCCATCAAGACGTCTCAAAGCGCTTCACAGGATACACTGAGAAGTGGATTGACTGTGTATTTTGTGGGCTTATGATAATTTTACAGTTTTATGAATTTATGGTGATAAATCAGTGGGTAAATGCACTATATGTATGATTTGATGCTGTGCAATATGTACCACAGCCATCATACACTGTATATATGAAAAATCAGATATTCATTTCCTGGCTCTTTCTGAGTTAGCTGATTTCATCATCAGGGATGGTATTGTTGACCTCAAAGTGGTTGAATAATCTGAAAATTTGCCACTGCTCCAATTTTTGATTGTTGTGCTGTAACCCCCACCCCCTCATGGTCTTGCAGGCTAAGGCTAAGTGGAATCTCAGAATTTCAGCCTTCCAGAGTAGAAAACCTTGGCTGATTTTCTATTGTCTCTCTCCCTTCCCAAGCTCAGGGATACTGATGCCAATTGTAGCACCAAGCCTGCGGTGAGGGCAGCTAAAGACATAGATTGATTCAAACATGTAATGGAGAGTCAACTTGCTTTTGGTATCTTACCCGAGCTTAGACAGCAACTGGCCATGACTGGGGGAGAAAGAGCTGACAGCTGAGCCTCATCATACACTTGTGGTTTAGAACCACAGATACTTACAGTACCAGAAGAAGTTTGACCCATCGTGTCTAGGGTGGCTCTTTTAAAGTGCAGTCCTTCTAGTCCCATTTACTTGCCTTTCCCCTATACCCAAGTCACTTACTCCTTTATAGATATCTATCTAGCTTGTGTTGCCTGAACTCCTCAATCGGGTTGTCTCCATCCAGCCAAGTCCCTGTAAATGTTGGCCTTGTGTTTTTCTGATTCCTGTGGGTCTGCTCTTTCCCAGGTTCTGGTCTTCGATTTTGGCAGTGAGGTGTACGTGTGGCACGGAAAAGAGGTCACCCTCGCCCAACGAAAGGTGGCCTTCCAGCTGGCCAAGCACTTGTGGAACGGTACCTTTGACTACACCAACTGCGATATCAATCCTTTAGATCCAGGCGAATGCAACCCATTGATACCAAGGTGACGCTCTGTTTCAGATGGCCTCTTCTGTAAAGAGTGTAATGGCTTTAATAAGTGCACCTATTATATTTTCTCTAGTAACTATAGTTTTATTGTTGCTATGATGGAGGTGGGGGAGGGGGAAAGAGCTGAATGTTGCTCTGTCACTGTGAAGGATTTACTGTATCGTACCCGCATTCAGAACAGCAGGAACCCACATTGCTCTCCCTCCGCATGTTGTCCTCCCAGGAATGGAATCTGTAACTAAGCCAAATAAAGTGGTCATACCCCTCTGCTTCCACCCTCCCCTCAGCTACCTTGGGCCTCCTGTGCATTCCCCCTCACCTCCAACTTCTAGAATTCCCTCCCTCAAGCCCTCCATCTCTGCGCTCTCTATCCATCTTTAAATATTTTAAAGTTTAAAATCTACTTTAATACCTCTCCAAATGGATCTATGATTCGCATACCCTCTTCATTCTCCCTTGCTCGGCATCTCACCCCATTAATAATAATTATTAATGACGATAATAATAGTGTTTCAATACGTAATCCTGCATGAGGGTTGCTACATGAATGCAAGTTATTGCTGAATGTCTGTGGCTAAGTGTAGTTCCCTCTTTCCCACTGGGGGGGTGTACTGCACAAAATGAACTGAAATGCAGACAGGCTGCTTTCTCTCCAATGTAGTATTTGTTCCAATTTAAATAGAAGTGGAAGCAACACCGGAAATTACCAAAGAGAAGGAACATTGTGGGATTTTCACTGGCTTTGGTTTTGTACGATGCGTGGCTGTGTTTCAGGTTTCATTCTGAAATTCACCCCTCAATTTATGCAGAAGTGTCTCTCAGCAAGTCGTTATCATCCATCTATTTAAATAGTCCTTGTATTTGATGCATGAGTATGTTGATTCTAAATGAATGTGCTTTTTATTAAGCCTGCATTTACAAGCCAGCACCTGATAAATCACAGGTTACATATGGGAGCTTGAAGATGTTGTGGCTAAACACACTCCAATAAACACGCTTTGGATTCTGCTGATGTCGAGGGTTATCTTACATATTCCACTAATCCCCAAAATCTTCGTTATGTTAATATAAAACTAATAGCAACTTTTTATAGTCATCTTAAAATGCCATTAGTAACTAGCTTGAATTGTATTAAGATGCCTCGTTTCTGTTTATACTGATTCCTGTGGCTGGCTTATGTCAGCCCCTGTAGTTCATTAAATATTTAAAAAGTGCTGCTCTGTGTTCAATCTGTTTTAAGCTTGCGAGACGATTTCCAAGTATAGTTACACTTGCAAGTGTGCTGCACAGTAGCTTGGGGGGAAATACTCTTTAAGTGCTTGAGAATCTTATGAGCGATGGTTAGCTTTACTGAGCAAATTGGATTGAGATTTTTTTTAAATGTTGTGGTGACAAAGTCTGAACCATGGGTAAAGTAAGAATGCACAAGTGTCATGAGTTTAACAATCTGAGCATCAGCATGTAGTGATACGGAATAGAGGGATGTAGGTTCAATCTGCCCACTCTGGCTTGCACAGCACCTTAAATTCTATGATACAGGGTTGGGGTGGCATTACCCATCAACAGTGTCCCTTTTACCTGAAAGAAACTAGGATCAAATCCTCTCTCCAAATCGCCCATCAGCAGAGAGCGTATGTCAGCAAGGCCACAGCTTCTTCCCTGCAGATTCTAAGAAAGTGAATTCTAATAATAATAATCCTTTCATTTTATATTTTATATCACGTAATTGAGACGTCTCAAAACGCTTCACAGAATATTTTGTAAAGTAGATTTACTGTGTATTTTGGGGGTTAAATTCTAAGAAGAAATAGTTTCCCATGCTATGGTGAATGTATGTTGTATATATGGAGGGAGGGGGATGGGAGGTTGACCCCTGTCCCACTAGGAGAGAAGAAAAGTCTACAAAATGGTAATGGAAAGTTTCCTTTAAAGCAAAACAGCTCTTGATGCGCCGCTATATCACAGTATTTGCAATGTTTATGTAGATACTGTTTAAGTGGATGTTAAAGAACCCACGGCATGATTCAAAAAGAGAAGGGAGTGTCCTGGCCAACAATCCCCCAGATAAAATTGGTCATTCTCTCCATGTCTGTTTGTGAGACAAGGCTGCATGCAAATTGGCTGCTGCATTCATCTATAAAATACACAATCACTACAGTTTACAGTAATTCCTGTAGTAAGGACTTTGAGCTGTCTTAACGACGTAATGTTCCATATAAAACGCAAGGATTATTATTATGAAGTAAAGGCACAAATTGACCACACAGCACCGTGTGCTACTTATTCTTAGATGCATTTGTTATTTGATGTACTGGATATCAAGTTACCAAAGGATGCAGGCACAATTTGCCTATTATTGTTAATGGGAGCTAAACACTGCAGACTTGGGATTTTTGCTTTGGCCCATTTGTCGAGGGCAGCTTCAGAGATTTGCGAAGTAGAAAACTTGTGCGGAATATGACTTCGTGCGCTTGAATTACTCTTGGTTCATATATCAAGAAGATTTCATGAAGTAATCTGGATCGTAATGCCAAATTGCATTGGTGTAATGTTCAGGTTACAGAATGTCCATTTGTAGTCTAAATTTAATACCTTCATGTGGTTCTTTTGGCAGAGATTGAACTTGGAAGAGTAAGTCATGTGTTAAGATACTGGGTGCCAGGTGTTAATTTGTAATAGGAATAAACCCTAACCACTTACATATTTTTTTCCACATGTAGGAAAGGTCAAGGTCGCCCTGATTGGGCAATCTTTGGCAGGCTGACAGAACACAATGAAACAATTTTGTTTAAGGAAAAGTTTTTGGATTGGACAGAAGCAAAAAAGCCCTTGCAAAAGAATCCAGTAGAAGAGGAACCGAAAATGCAGGTACTTGGGTTTCCTTACCTCTTCTGAAATACTACTTTTTTAAAAAAATCTTATTTTGCTTTTTTCTCCTTTTGCCTAACACTATTGCAGGTAAATGCAGGGCACTATCACTGATGACATTAGCAATTACTAGGCAAACTAAATAGATTTTTGAAGGCGCGTTTCACTATGCATTTATATAGCGCCTTTCACATCAGGAGAACGTTCCTCCACTCTGAACGTAAAAGGCGTTATTTAAATGCAATTTGTTGTTGCTTGTTGATTTGGCAGCTGAACAGAATTTGGTTTCTGCAACTTGTTCCTCTACTGTGTATGGTGCTTTACCATTAGAAAGTTTCAGAAGTTTATGCTCCTGTGGAGTTTTTTTCCCAAAATGTTAATTTAAGTATCTGCAGTGACTGCCCAAATTTTAGTATTTAACTAGCTCGCTGAAGCAACAAATTGTAGCTAAACCAAAGGGTGAAAGTGCATCCAAGTTCCTTTTATAAAGGAATAATGTTAATGTTGTAGTTGGCATCATTGGCAGGAGAAAGTATTCTAATTTTACCTCCATCTGTTAATACAATCTTCATTTTTTGTAAAAATGAAAAGAAATTGTGCAGAGTGGCACTCGTGTTATCCTAGCAGAGATGGGATTTTGTCAGGCAAAACATACTAGTATCTTATTGCCCATCAGCTGCAGTCTGTGAATACAGAGACACCTTATTACATCACCTTACCCACTGTGAATTGTTCTGTTTCCCACTCAAGCCAATCTAATGACCTCCCACCGAGATTCTTATTCAGTGTTGAAATAATGGCTAGTTTTCTCTTTGTAGCACAGAAGCTAGCTGGTGTAAGCCAGTGAAGCAAACAGACCAGCTGCTCATTGAATGGGATCCACAGCAGAACCATGTTTCCAACCAAATTCACTCTGTAAATAAGCACATTATAACTGGGCAGTACTGGAGCATCATTCTCCAGTGATACAAATTACAAAATTAAATATCTGTCAATTATTTGATTCCAAAGATCAGCAAATAACCGGAAGCCACCAGAGACACTAAAATTATAGTAATCTGTGTTCATTTGTACATTGGCAAAGGGAATTGGAATGACCAACTAATGTTAAAGCTATGTTCTTCGATTATACTTTGTTCTGTGCCCATTGTTGGTAGCATGTTTCTGTCTGTGGCTTTTATCTAACATGCCTCTATTTAATGCATGATCCTCTTATGCATTCCTGTTAGACTTTGTCAATTGATCAGTTTTAGTTGCATTTATTTCAATTATTGATTCCTCTTTGTCGCTGTGTGTAGCTGAGTTTAATGACTAAAATGTTGCTGTGCCATATGCTGAATGGACCCTGAAGCGTAATCCAAATGAACTGAAGCTTTCCTTCTACCATTTCCAGGCACTATATGTCAGTGCATCTGGCTGATGAAATGAGCCCTACTGTCATGTGTGTTCCATTTTTATTTTTATTTTATTGTTTGCAGAGGATCTGGACATCTGGATTGTCTTATATGTCTCTATACCAATCTGTCAAATGGTATTAATTGATTATTTTAAATTTGTAATAAGATTCTGTATGTTACCCAGCTAATTTTGTACCACTTTTACCTCTGGGATCACACGATTGTGGGTTCAAGCTCATTGCAACTGTGAGCTCACCATCTAGGCTGCCACTTCAAGGCACTGTCAGAGGTACCATCCTTCAGATGAGATGTTGAAGCATCATCCCAGCTGCCTATTCAGGTGGGGGTTAAATATCCCATGACACTATTTGAAAATAGATGGGAGTTTTTCCTGATGTCTTGTAGTTGTATCTACAATCAGCCCACAGCACAGATCAAGAAGGTCCAAGCCTTATCAAACAGTATTTTTTTTTCATTACACATTCCCTACGTTTCTGGATGCAAAGGCTCATAAAGTTTCCAGGTATGGTCTCCCTCAAACGCATTAGAGCAACACTCATTTCCAGCTTCAATGGAGTCTAGATTGTGGCCAAAGGAGATGCCTGATCAGGAGATTATCCAACATTGGCTTCCAAGCATTATTCATTTGAAGAAGAAAAAATAAAATCTGAGCAGGACTTATATTTTTATTTTTTTCCTTCTAGCAAGAACATAGCATTGATCTCAAACCGTACAATGTTTCGTTAATGATCCCTCTGTCGCCGGCCTTGGTTGGGGCAGTCCTGGATGGCTTGAATGTTGGACGTGGCTACGGAATAGTGGAAGGAGATGATGGAAGGCAGTTTGAGATCAGTATCCTCTCTGTTGACGTGTGGCACATACTTGAATTTGACTACAGTAGGTTACCCAAACAGAGCATTGGGCAGTTTCATGAAGGAGATACATATGTTGTGAAGTGGAAGTACCTGGTGAGCACTGCAGGTTAGTGATTAATGTTCAAAATATTCACAAATCCTTTACTCATACACCCAGTTAGGAATTGGTGACCAATATTATGCATAAGAAGTATGTAGGAGTCAGCGTGGCTTGGTTAGTAGCTCCCTCGCCTTTGACTGAGAAGGTTATGGATTCAAGCCCCATGTCAGGAGTGTATACTCAATCTAACCTGATATTCCAGTGCAGTGCTGGGGATGTGCTGTGCTGTTCGAGGTGCCATTCATTGAATAAGACATTAAACCAAGGTCCCGTTTTGCCTGTTCAGGTGGATGTTAAAAATCCAATGGTAATATTTGTAAAGAAAAGGGAGTTTCTCCTGGCGCATGGCCTGCAAACCCCCAGATAAAATTGGTCATGCACTTCATGGCTGTTTTTGGGCTGCCATGTTTGCTTACAAATCCATAATCACTACACTTTAGTAATTCATGTGAAGTGCTTTGAGGTGTCCTCCCGACGTGGAAGGCACTAGGGTTGTAAATTGTATAATAAATGTAAATTGTATACATTGTTTCATTGCATTCCATAAGTGATGGCATTGTTCATGTGTTAGCAGTGGTGGCCAATCTTTTTGGTTGACCAATAAAGTGAATTTTCTTGATTCCATATTTCTTGATTTATGCCATAAATCTCTGAGAAACCACTAAGTGTAAACACACTTAGACGAACACAGATTTACGTAGACTAGTGCGAATGTTCGGGTGGTGGGGGGGTGAGACGTTTCTTGACAGCCCTGCGAGCTGCTTCTAGCCAGTGAGCAATGGTTTGGCCCCCACTGCCATATAGGTAATAATAATAAATAATAATAATCCTTGCATTTGATATTGTCTCAAAGCGCTTCACAGAATATACTATAAAGTGAATTGACTATATTTGTGGGCAAAACGCAGCAGCCAATTGCGCACAGCAGTGTCCCACAAACAGTCATGGATTGAAAATGACCAATTTATTATTGTTGTTTTGGAGGGATTATTATTAGGCGTGTGGAGTAAGGAAACTTGTCCAAGGTTTTGCCCTGCCTGGAATTGAACTCAGTTGTCTCGCTTGCAAGGCAAGTGCTCTAACCACTGAGCTACAGGACTCCACAGGTATCAAGGTATGAGAGACACAGTGACTCTCCCAGACGTTGACTCTCACTGGCAGTTTCCTAAATAACAAATATGAAACGGGATTTTCAAAAGTAATAGTCAAACCACTTTACGGTGCACCCTGTGAAGTGCTTTGAGACGTCTCGACAACGTGATAAGGCGCTGTATCAAATGCAGGGATTAATCTGGTTAAACGTTCTGGCTGCAGGAAAAGGTCAGTTGAGTTCCCCATGTGCGGCTTGCTCAGTTCAGCCAAAGTCTGTGATTTACATCAACATCTGTCGTCACAACGTACGCCATGCAATAAATACTTAATGTATCTGATCTCTTTTCCCCCCTCACAGTTGGTAAAAGACAGAAGTTTGAGCTATCGCGCTCCACGGTGGCCGGGAAGGAGAAATGTGCGTACTACTTCTGGCAGGGACGACACTCCACAGTCAGTGAGAAAGGGACTTCGGCTCTTATGACTGTGGAGCTTGATGAGGAGCGTGGAGCCCATGTGAGTCTCCAGTGACTGTCCAACTGTGCCACCCGGAAACCATGTGAAGTGTGTGTGTGAGCGTTCGCCTGTGTGTGGTGGGGGTTATAGTTTACTGATGTAGCACAGAACATAAGAGTTGCACCCCCGAGAGTTCTTTTTAAGCAAAATATATATTTAACAAGTGCACAAAAATTTCCCATCACAGGAAAAAAAACGCAATATGTCCGTAAAATATTACAAGCCCGCCCCCTTGTGGCAGGAGGACGCCTCTGCCACACTCCACTCAGGTAGAAAGTACCAGGCCTCCCCACCTTGGGGTTTTGCTGCCCTTTATCCGCAAGGCACAGTGCCATGTGTTATCTATAGGCCGGTGACCCACTATTCCCCTTCTGTTCCCTCCATCCAAGAAATAAAAAAGAATAATAATAATGTGGTCACTCAATCCACGACTGTCTGTGGGACGCTACTGTGTGTAATTGGCTGCCGCGTTTATCCCACAAAATATACAGTCAATTCGCTTTACAGTATATCCTGTGAAGCGCTTTGAGATGTCTCGAAGACATGATAAGGCGCTATATCAAATGCAAGGATTATTATAATTATTATTATTATAGGGAGCCCCAGATGTGCATTGTCAGACGCTCTTTGGTTATGTGGTGAGCACCCCTGTGTACACTATATAACATATACACACAAACATTGTTTGGGGACGCATAAAAGTTGCCCTCCTACACGTTTGGCTTCAGTGAGTGTTTTGTGAATTCCCAACTAAACCTTGCTAATATTCCTCCAGGTGGAGGTGGTGTCATTGAGAACCACAGACCAAGATCTTTTGTTTTACAGAAGCGATTCTTCCAAATCTGGGACCAAGCTTTTTGTTAACCTATTTTGACTCGGTTTGTAGCCTATTTCGAAACCCTAAAAAAGGAAAAAGTTGCGGTCGTGTCGTTGAGTTTGAATTGCTGTCAGATCGGTACCGGAGAGACATTAACAATAGTGCAGGCAGGCTTTAACTGCCGATAGGGGATCCCTCGTTTTTATTTCATTGTACTTGTCATTTTCACTGCCCTGTCGTCCAGGTGTGCAGACATACTTGGCATTTAAACTGACAGCTTATTCACTTGATGGATTGGAAAAATGAAACTTATTTAAAAAAGTGAGCTGTGGAAATTTGGCAGCCATTTTGCTTATGGCAGCAGCTGTTTTCAGACGTGTGCAATAGCTGTGTAATGCACCTCGTAACACTTTCCAGATTGGCTGGAGCTCTTGTGAGATATCAGATGTGCCACACTGGGAGATGTCCGTGGGGTTGTGATTTACGAGGGTCGGGTGCAATTGGTTCATCCTACAATGGGCTTTTTTATATTAAAAAATGGCAACCAGGTGTTCGCGTTTTTTAGATAAATCGAGGATTATGTTTAAGGATTACAGCGATGGATTATGCTGTGCAATAAAAATGTAAAGTATTGTAATCATAATAGTCAAATATTCCTTGCATTTGATATACAACCTTTCAGGTCAAGATGACATCTCAAAGCGCTTCACAGGATTTTGCTGTAAAGTGCTGTGGCTGTGTGTTCTCGCAGACAAACACAACAGCCAATTTGCACACAGTAACGTCGCACAAGCAGCCATGAAGTTAATGAGCAATTTTATCTGAGGGAGGATTGTTGGCGAGAACACTGGGGAAAGCTCCTTCTCCTTTCCAGCAGTAAAGTTTCAGACACACCAAGCAGGTCAGGAAGGCACAGGTTTAAGATGATGAAAGGAAGGTTTCAGACAGACACCGGGAGCTATTTCTTTACACTAAGGGTAACTGACAACTGGAATGGGGTTACCATGGAAGATGGTAGAGGCCAGAACATTGGATATGTTTAATAAACCACGTGATCCTATAATGGGAATTCATTAGGTATGAGAAGGCACTGGGTAGGGTAGGTATGAGAAGGCACTGGGTAGGGTAGGTATGAGAAGGCACTGGGTAGGGTAGGTATGAGAAGGCACTGGGTAGGGTAGGTATGAGAAGGCACTGGGTAGGGTAGGTATGAGAAGGCACTGGGTAGGGTAGGTATGAGAAGGCACTGGGTATGGTAGCTATGAGAGGGCACTGGGTAGGGTAGGTATGAGAGGGCACTGGGTAGGGTAGCTATGAGAAGGCACTGGGTAGGGTAGGTATGAGAAGGCACTGGGTAGGGTAGGTATGAGAGGGCACTGGGTAGGGTAGGTATGAGAAGGCACTGGGTAGGGTAGGTATGAGAGGGCACTGGGTAGGGTAGGTATGAGAGGGCACTGGGTAGGGTAGCTATGAGAAGGCACTGGGTAGGGTAGGTATGAGAAGGCACTGGGTAGGGTAGGTATGAGAGGGCACTGGGTAGGGTAGGTATGAGAGGGCACTGGGTAGGGTAGGTATGAGAGGGCACCGGGTAGGGTAGGTATGAGAAGGCACTGGGTAGGGTAGGTATGAGAAGGCACTGAGTAGGGTAGGTATGAGAAGGCACTGGGTAGGGTAGGTATGAGAGGGCACTGGGTAGGGTAGGTATGAGAAGGCACTGGGTAGGGTAGGTATGAGAAGGCACTGGGTAGGGTAGGTATGAGAAGGCACTGAGTAGGGTAGGTATGAGAGGGCACTGGGTAGGGTAGGTATGAGAGGGCACTGGGTAGGGTAGGTATGAGAAGGCGGGCTGGAGAGAGAATGTGTGTGTGTGTGTGTTGGGGGGAGGGGAGTGGTCTCACTGCCATGTAAATGATGTATGGGTGGGGAATGGATGGAAGAGGATCTCATTGTTGTGTGAATTGAGTGTGAGTATGGGGGGGACTTTACTGACGAGTGAATGGAGTGTGTGAGTGTGGGGGAGGTATCACTGCCATGTGAATGGGGCGGGGAGGGGTGAGGATTGTTACCACTTGCTCTCTTTTGAAAGATCTGATGGCCATTGAGGCGACCCTGGAAATATCAAGTCCTTTCATCATTGGTGGGCGAGCCCCCCCGTACCCCCACCCCCCACGAGCGCACTCCTAAAACCCCTCTACCTCGCCCCTTTCCTCTCTGCTTTCAAATCCCGCTTGATGCCCGACATTCAGCTGCCTGTTTTCTCCCCAAACACCTCAGGCTCCCGTTCAGCCTCTGTTAAGTATTTTAAAGTTCCCTCAAGCTCCACCACTGCTTAGCACTCTGAGATGCTATCCATGTGAAGGGCGCTTCTAAATGCAAGTTGTTATTGCTTTCTCAAACACGAAAAGCACTATGTAAGTGCCAATTATTCTTATTGTTGTTTACTTCCAGTTTCAGTGCGCTAGAGAATAAGTGTTAGTTTATTAATGACCCCACTAGAATAAATTATTCTTTCTGCCCCACATGACTACTACTGCAATATCGCTTTACTCCCAGCAGTATAAAAGCAGCATAAACCAATCTAATAAAATAGCCAGGCATGTTTGGCGGGCTGAATGGTTGCTCCCTTCCCGCTACTAAAAAAGTAGTATAAAAAATATTAATTAAAAAAAAGAGTTCAGTTAATGGTTTTAGCTTCTTCAATGAAGTCTGCAGTCAGGTTGGTTTAGTATATGAGCAGCTGCATTTATATTCTCCTTGAACTATAATCCCTTTCTGATTGTTGCAAAGTGATAGAAGTGTAGCTGTTGGTAAAGTGAAGGGAAGTGTTGATCGCTGATCCCGCGAGCGGGCCTGATTGTGGGACCAAACACGATATCCTCAGTTTGGTCTTTTGTTATTTGATGTTATTTGTCTTTCCAGGTCCAGGTGCTGCAGGGCAAAGAGCTACCGTGCTTTCTGCAGCTGTTCCAGGGAGGGATGATCGTACACGCCGGGAAAAGGGAGGAGGAAGAGGAAAGCTCACAAAGTAAAATCTTCTCTCCCGCTTCTTTAGAGATGTTGAATGTTCGTGCAGAGACTGTCCCTCTGTGTGGGTTGACCAACGCCTTGGCGACGGCCCTGAGGTCCCAATCTTAGTACCAAACGCGTCCAAAACAAAATCTAGCATTTAGCTTGATTTTATTCAAAGCATTTTCTCGCCCACTAATGCTCCTCTTTCAACACAGGACCTTTTGTCTGAATTTCATTTCATTGCGAGTCTATTTAGCAATGGCAATTTGGATTCTATTTGCCTCCTGAGAGTTGAAGGTTGCTGAGAAGAGACTCGCTAGCTCCCCATGTAAATGTAAATTGAACAACTCACAGGATCTTAAGATTGGTTTGGATGAAGAAGACTCTTAGGTAGGGTGCCCATATGCCAGGAAAAGGGAGGAAGAAGAGGGCCCATGGAGTCCTGTAGCTCAGCAATTAGAGCACTCATCTCGCAAGCGAGAGACCTGGGTTTGATTCCCGGGTAAGGGCGAAACGTTGGGCAGGTTTCCTTACTCCACACGCCTCTGTTTACCTAGCAGTCAGTAGGAACCCGATTGTTAGTCGATTGGTAGGATCGCTTTTCCTGGGGTAATCGTTCCTTCAAAATGAAGGTCACTTCATGACTTTGTGGGACACTGTTCTCTGGGGAGGACAAGTTTGCAGTGCTATGGGGAGAGCGCGAGGGAGTGGGATTGATTTGGAAGCTCTTTTCAAAGAGCCGGCACAGACACGATGAGCCGAATGGCCTCCTTCTGTGCTGTATAATTCTATGACTGCTGTGTGCAATTGGCTACTGCAATTCGCCCACAAAATATACAGTCAATTCACTTGAATGCAATCTGATAGCAGGTAACAAAAGGCAGAGACAGCAGAACGAAGGAGTGGCAAAATGTGAAGCATGCAGGTGAAACATGTTTGTGCAGCTGGAAGCAAAACTAGGCTCAAAGCTGGAAAAGAACTCAAGTGCAGCAAAACAGATCATTTATCATGAAGCTACTTGTTGAGATTAGGGACAACATCATCATTCAACTTTACGAAGGGGAACTTTACTCTCTTCATAAAATCTAGTCATTCAGGCCCATTAAATACAGTCAATTCACTTTACAGTATTCTTTGAAGTGCTTTGAGATGTCTCGAAGATGTGATAAGGTGCTATATCAAATGCAAGGATTATTATTATGTTAAGTGTTCCATATGACACCTTCTTCTCCCAATAGTCCCCGGATGAGGTATTGTGTCTCGAGTCAGCACAAATTGAGCATAACCGTCATCTAGGCTTGTTTTGTGGCCTTCCAGAAATTTATCAAAACTTACAAAATTGACTTACAGTTGAAATCAAGAAAACGAATTCTGAATGGGGTGCCGAATAGTGAAGTTAGTGCAAAAAATATTGGCAGCGATTTGTGGTAAAATGTAGAGAAACGAAGAGCTCAAGTTATCGTCTGAATGCAAACATCAATGGCTATTTTACTAAATTGCCCATTGGTGTCAGTCTCCTTTAGCCACCAAATCCTGTTGGGTGCGATGCTGATTTTCCCCCCTTTAAATGCTGTCAAAAAGCAGGCGTGCCTAAGGACAGGTATTGCAAGGAATGGCAAGCACAGCATACAATCTCCTGCTCCCCATATATTGTATTCATTTCATGTACTTCAGAAGGATGAACGGTTATGTGAAACCTGCCAAGATTCGTGCTGAGCTCCCTCTCCACTAGAGTATGTTTGTTTTAGTCAGCCAAATGTCTGACAAGTATGGAAACTCGTATTAATTCTTCAGAGTATCCAAACTAGACAGAGACATATGCATGCCGTTTATGCATGAAAATTTCCATGTATCGGGAATAGGATGTGTGCTGTCTCCCAGGAGGGACGCACCCTGCTTACCTAATTCTGGAAAGTATTAGGTGTAGGTTGGCAAGGCCGAGGCTAGGCTCCCCAGTGTGTGTATTGGAGTAAAGCTGGAATTTAACCAGCCCAAATCACATGCCTTGTTGTTGAGAGCATTGTCTGGAAAGTTTCCTGCTGTATGTCCACCTAGGACTAAACTACCCATTAGTGCTTTGTCTTGCAGGGTTAATGAGAACCGGGATGAAACTGTTCCCCCATTGACCAGTTTGCCCCTCCAAATCCTACTTACAAGCCAAGCTGACTTGTCTTGATATCAGTAGTAACCTGGAGTACTGTGGTAAGCAGGGTGGATCCCTCCAGGGAGAGAGTGCACATTCCATTCCATCTACCTCGGTTTGATGTTGGTTCAGAAACCAACTACTGAGACTTCCACAAAGGGTCAACTCAATTCTGATGCTCAGCTGCCAAGCCTATCAGCTTGGAGCCAGCTCAGCTCCAAAGAGACCTTGTTTACCATCCCTCCCACCTGGAGGAGAATTGCTAGTTGGTCATTTGACATCCAACAGGTGCAGCTCGAGACAAAACTCAATGGATGGCTTCTTGGGGAACGGCACATGAAATGTGCAAATTGGCATTATCCTCCTACCTACAGCGCTAACACGTTCCAATGAGTAATGTTTCTACCAGTTAGAAGTGCAGAGCTTCAGCATCAGCTGCTTATCTCTGTACATACCATAATGAGTATGGTCTTGGATGCTGGTGAAGTCTAGTTACAATCACTGCCAATGGGTTATTTCTTAGGAACAATAGTGCAGTAAACTAAGGAAATTAGTTAGAATGAGTTACCCTTTTTCAAAGAAATATGGGAAAAAAAACACTTAAAAATAAAATGGAGCCACAGCCTAAAATAACAACTAGGTATTGAAAATGATGTACAGTAAGTCAGGACATAAGCCGGTGTTCCTAGTTGACACTCCAGTATAGTACTGCAGGAGCATTGCATTGTTGGAGATGATCTCTTTCAAATGAAACATCAAACCGAGGGACAGTCTGCCTGTTAAGGTAGATGTTAAACATCCCGTGGCCCCAATCAAAAAGAGAAGGGAGGTTCTCCTGGTGTCCTAGTCAACAATTCCTCAGATAAATCAATCGTTCACCTCGTGAGTGTTTGTGGGTCAGCATATAGACCGTTTTGTGCTCAGGAACAAGAGCATAGAAACCAACAGTTCAGTTTTAATGAAGTGTAATGCCGCAAAGTATTTACAAATTTTTTTTTGATTTTCGACTCTCAGCTGCAAATGAAACACGCACTGCTTACAATGTACTTTCTGCTACTGCCCTCTGTAGGTGACTGGAGGCTGTACTGCGTAAGAGGAGAGCTTCCTCTGGAAGGAAACCTGCTTGAAGTGGCTTGCCATTGCAGCAGCCTCAGATCCAGAACGTCTATGATTCTACTCAATGTAAACAAGGCTCTTATCTACCTCTGGCACGGCTGCAAAGCACAGACCCACACTAAGGACGTGGGAAGGAATGCGGCAAATAAAATTAAAGAACTGTAAGTAACGTGCAACTGGATAGGAGGAGGTACAGTGACGGCCAGTGCTGTGTGTTCCCTCGAGTTTATTTTTCTCTCTGTTTTAAGTGTTTAAGATTGGATTGAAATTAGTGTTTGAGACCACTGCATATGTAATGCAGCCTTTACTACCTGGTAAATAATTGTACTTAACGGTGTGGGTTTGTGTGACCTTTTCGGAATACACCCAGAAACATTATACAGGTTGATGACACCACAGGAAGTACATATTTCAGTCTTGCTCTCCTCGATAGGTGACCTTTTAGGATAACTTGCAATTGGTAAATTTGGTCTTAGTTTCTCAGGAAACTGACTTTTACGCTTCTATTCAGCTGCAGTTTCCCTTCACCCACTCACATTCAGCAAAATGACCAGAGTGTTAACTCTTTAACACTTTCCGTTTTGCGAAGAGGTGAAAAGTCATTGTGTGCAAACTCATTCTCTGCTGATGTTGCATTTGAATCACTGTATCTGGCAACTGCACAGAAAATGGTGAGGTTTTTACCAATGGGAGAAAGTCAATGTTGCGTGCTCCGTTAAACTTTCCATTCGAGATGAGAATGCCCGTGGGTTGACTGACCATCATTTGGAAAGTGTGCTTTCAATCAGATTTATTTTTAAACGCTATATTTTTCGTATCTTACTCTTGCTGTACTAAAAACAACTCAGTTCTCGGGTACTGTTCCATAGGTACTTGTTCTTAACCTTGAGATTATTGCCTTAAAATTGCCTCTTGTTATCAATAATCGCTTCAAGTGCATATGCATTGCCTGTCAGAGAAATGTGCAAGACCGGAAAAGACGTTTGACGCCTTTCTGGCTGGCTACAAATTTAAAAAAAGAATAGCTCTACTTAAGAATTTTAAGAAAAATTAAACTTAATGTGCGAACGTAATCGATAAAGTGTAACTTTTACACAATTTTTGTGATGCGCGAGCGTGCGTGCAAATTCTTGCCGGATTTCAGAACATTTTAAAATTCGGTCTTGATTTGAAAACCCTGTTTCCACAGGTCTTTTTAGAGTCTCTGACAAATCTGCCTTGTAAATTAGGACTGAATTTTAAGATTTTCCAACATTCTGAACCACCTTGAATTCAAGGAAGGCTAAGACTAGGCAGAATTTTAGGCTGTCTAGTATCTTGCCTTGCGCAAACAGGCTGCCGGGCTTCGCCCGCAAAATACGGTCAATCCAATTTACAGTATATCCTGTGAAATGCTCTGAGATATTTCGATAGGGCGATGAAATGCTATATCAAATGCAAAGATTATTATTGTCCAGTGGCCGTTCTTGGACACGTACAGACAGTATGTTTTGGTAGGTTCCTGTACTCCAGGCATTACAGCAGCACAGGGTCAGATGAGTCCTCAATTGACTTCTTCACACACACGCTTTCCATCAGCTCAGGTGGTGACCACGAGTGGGAACCCTGACTGACAGTTCTCTTCTCTTTGCCCCCCTCCCCCCAACCCAGCAAACCAGTTGTAGTACCATAAATACCATAAATGTGGTTCATACAGTATCAGCTAACTCACTGCAGACTTGGGTTCAAATCTGGTTCAGTTATGTTCCAGGCACCAACTGACCTGTGCAATGAGCATGTCTTTGCAGGAGCTCACCCTAAGCTCTCAGACCATCACACTGCCTCTGCTTTGATTTAAACTATATGAAAACGGATTTGCACACTGGAAAAGTAATTTGCACAGCACTCAAATATCATTGGCAACAGACTACTGCGAGTCTCTTGCCTCATATTCTTTCCATAAGTAAAACCAGTGATGAAAAAGCACGGGTTGAGAGAATTAGTTCACGTTGTCAAAATATCTCAAAGCACTGCACAGCATTTACTGTCAAGTGTAATGATTTGTCTGTTTGTCGGTGAACGCTGCAGCCAATTTGAGTACGGCGGTGTCATCCCAGTTTTATTTGGAGGTGGGTGGGAGGAGGGGATTGTTTAACGTCTCATCTGAGAGACTTCACCTTCAACAATACAGCGCTGTACCCAACACTGTATTAGAGTGTCTGCCTAGGCAACTTTCAACACTGCCCCCGCCACCCCCCCCCCACCCCTCACCAGCAGAGCTAATCAGTCACCATCTTGGAAATCCCTTAAGTGGAGATTGATAGTTGGAAGAACCGCTGGAAATAGCGAACACTGATAAGTGCTTCAAAATTTACAGGTTAATGAAAAATGAGCCCTTGGTCCTGCAAAGCAAATGATGCAAGAAGTGCCAGCATTTATAGCATCTGTTTTTTGCAGGGGAATACATGACTTGGATTTCAGATATTGTATGTGTATTGGAGCAAAATAAATTCCGAAGTCCCGTGGCCAAATCTAAACCATCTGTGGCTCAAATAGCTCTATTAATTTCCCCAGATCCCCATTTGGGGGATTTTAAGATGACAAACTGGTCTGAAGAAGTAAAATTTATCCCTTGCGTGACCAGGGAGATATTCCCTGCCATGCTGTAATTCTCCCTAAAGTTGCATGAAAATATTTTTTCAAACCAAACAAAGGAAACTCCTGCAATATTGTAAAGGCTCATTGGGTAACTAGAATAGCAAGACTAATCTTGCATTTTGTGTTGCAATTTGGGACATCAATCACAAGAATGAATTTCTGTATAAGAATCGTAATTCATCAGAAACCCATAAGAACATCAGAATTTGCTCAGCAAAAGACCAAGGTCCATCTACTTTGCCTTCCACCATCCTAGCAGTCGCTTGACATGCATCCCAAACAATATACTGTATCCTGAGATATTATTTTGTAGCAGAAATCTCTCTTAATTTGTCCTTGAAAAAAATGATTGTTTCATAAGTTTACTACTCCCTCACTGAACTAGAGTTTCCCCAGATTTGCTCTGAATTTATTCCCCTTCAGTCGCAGGCCGTGTCCTCTGGTTCTACTGTTCAGTACAATATAAAACAGCTTGTCATGGTCTATATTATCTATTCCCTCAGAATCTTAAAGCCTGCGATCATATCGCCCTTCGACCTTCTCTTCTCCAGTGTGAACATTCCCAGTTTATCTAATCGCTCCTCGTAGTCCAGTCCCTCCATCCCCTCAAATCATTTTGGTTGCCCTCCTCTGTATCCTCTCAATCACTGCAAAGTCCTTTTTATGTTGCGGTGACCAGAACTACACACAGTATTCCAAGTGCGGTCGCACCAGTGATTTATAAAGTGGCAGATTACCCCACTATTTCTGATCTCCAATAATGCGGTGAAGGCGGGGGGTTGGGTGGGAAGAGAGAGAATGCAATCATAAGGTTAGCAAAAGAGTCTATGTTATGTCCTTAATGATGATTTTGAGGATGAATTCTCTTTCCCTCCTCTATCCTTCTCTTCCCCCACACTCAAAATTTGGAGAATATGTTTCTACTTCCAGACCATTTAGAATAATAACAATATGAAGTATTTTTGTTGAAGCTATTGGAAGGTCACGTCACAGATGATAATCAATGTGTATGTTACTGCAGTCAACGTTTAAACACCTGCCTGTTACAGATGCCCACTAGAAGCTGGACTGCACAGTAGCAGCAAGGTGACTATACATGAATGTGATGAGGGCTCAGAACCAGTTGGATTCTTTGAAGCGTTGGGAAGAAGAGACCGAAAGGCTTATGACTGCATGTTACAAGGTAACTATCGTTATACAAAATAGCCCCAGACAACGATTTTAGTGGATCAGTAAAGAGTTCTTCCCTGCATTGTGTTCAGTGGTAGTAACATGTTTCATGTTTGGATCATGTGCAGGCACTTCAGAATGATGAGGGAATGATATTGTTTGGATATTATAACTTGGATTTCTGAAAGTTTAAAGACATTGTGTTATTTTAAAATGCACAAGATGGTACACTTACCTACTTCAGATAACATGATTAAATGCCATTTGAGATCATAACCTTTAGTTTGTTGTCATAAGGCGGCAAGTAGGAAAATATAGGTGGTCATCAGATTACCGACCAGACTTAATTGAGGGATGAGACATTCCTTGGTTCAATACCAACCCAATTACTGATCAATTGGCCAATTTTGATTATCTTTCCCCTGCCCACCCTCTGCGGCTCCCACTTCCAGCTTGGGTGCCTCACCAGGAGTGTTGAGCCCTTTGAGGTGCCTCTCGTTGTGAAATACACTATGGAAATATTATTTATAATGTAATTAGACTATGCTAACCTCCTACAATCTCCATTACCTTCTTTGCAATCATGAATGCTGATCTGACCATTTTGGCCATTGTGCAATGGTGTGTGTATTAAACATTATCTTGATCTACACTGGTTATAGGTAAAGTGACAAACTGGGACTGTTTTCCATTAAACAACAGGTCAGGCTCAATGCTCAACCTGATGTAGTTGTTTTCCTTTCTCTTAAATGTAATGTAAGTATGATCACTGATGTAAGTCTAAGTCAAATGCCCTGGGACGCTATCCTGCGTGAGGGGGCTATAAAATGTGCAAGTTGTTGTTATTGTTGTAAGTACAGTTTGCAATTTACCAGTATCATATATATTATAGAGTCAAAATATGTTAGTCAAAATTCTACCTGGTCTCGGTCCTGTTTGTCAGATTGCTGGATTCTTCCAAAATCTCAGCAGCAGGAGGTAGACCTGTATATTTTGCTGGTGAGAACAAATACTGAACATGAAGTTTTTTTTATTGCAGATCCTGGGAAATTTAACTTCACTCCTCGACTCTTTATTCTGAGTAGTTCATCCGGAGAGTTTGTTGCCACCGAGTACCTGTATCCTTCCCGAGATTCGGCCAAGGTCAACTCAATGCCGTTTTTGCAAGAGGATCTATACACGGCCCAACAGCCAGGTCAGTTTTCTTTTTCTTTTTCTTTTCAACACTTACATAGTGAGTAAATCACAGAGTGAGTTATGTAGACTATTAGCAAACACAGTGCAAGTTGTGCTGATTTTATTTGGCTGTTTTTCAAAAGTCGTGTGGCTGGTTGGGAACTCTTTTGGCGGTTTCTGAGGATAAGTATAGACTGAGATTAACCGTGGTACGCAATGTTCCTGAGTTCCTGGGACAGGAAGGGAGGGAGGAATGTCTGTGGAGGGCAGGTATCCAGCGTGGAATAGTGGAGATGTTTGCTTGATTACCTTTGACGATCAGGAGTTAGTTGCATGTCCAGAATATTCCCTCAGGAGATCAAATTAATAAATAGTCCTTGCATTTGATATAGCGCCTTTAACGTCTCAAAGCACTTCATAAGGTTCACTGTAAATCGGAGAGACTGTGCGTTTTTGTAGTTGAACATGGCAGACAATTTCTGCACAACAATGTCCCATAAACAGCCGTGAAGTGAATGACCAATATTATGTTTAGGCATTATTGGTCAGGATACCAGAAAAATTCCCTTCGCTTTTCAAATCGTGCCATGGGTTCTTTGATGCTCAAGTGAACAGACAGACAGGACCTCGGTTTAATGTCTCATTCAAAGGCAGATGAAATTGGTGACGTGGAGCCCGTGACTGTATATGCTATATGGAAGGAACAAGATGGGCCTTTGCTGTGCCTCTGCTTGTTCCATACTTTCTTTAATTCTTAATTTGGAGTCCCATAGTGTAGTGGTTGGAGCACTCACTTTGCAAGCAAGAGGACCGGGCTTTGTTTCCTGAGCAGGGCAAAACCTTGGGCAAGTTGCCTTACTCCAAAAGCCTCTGTTTACCTCACAGTAAGCAGGAACCCGGTTGTTAGTTGATTGGTGGATCACTTTCTGGAGGTAATAATCCCTCCAAGAAAAAAAATGTGGTCAGTCAATCCACGTTTGTTTGTGGGAACACTGCTGTGCGCAATTGGCTGCCGTTTTATACAGTCATTCGACTTAACAATATATTCTGTGAAGCACAAAGACGTGATAAGGCTCTGTATCAAATGCAAGAACTATTAGTATTAATGTGAGGACATCCAGGTAGCTCAGTGAGTTGTTAAGCAGATAAGCACAAGCCCCTGAACTTAAGACCAGTAAAATGACAACCACATCTAAAATTATTAGGTTGGGGGAGGGGGAGAGAAGATGAGCAGATCCCCTGGCAGACGTGAAGGTGTAGACCTCCCCGATGGTACATTGACCTTAGCTGTACAAGTACAGTGCTGCACACTCACCCCACTCCCCCCACCCCATTAATTGATATACGGTTTTCTATAAAATACAGTCATTACACTTACAGTAAACCCTGTAAAGTGGCCTTGAGATGTACTCCTGACGTGAGTGGCCCTATATCAAAATGCAAGGATTATTATTATAAAACAGCTCGTATTGAGTGCTCCTGATTGTCATAATGTTAGCTAATTACATTTAATGATTTTGCGCTACTCTCAGTAATTCTGTAGGTTGGATCAAATTTTGGCCCAAAAGGACTAGCTAAAAGATATTGAACACTGGCTGCATCAGTATTGCAGCACTGTTAGCAGCTTTAATCAATGGAGTACTGTAAATAATTAGTTTAGTTTGATTTTATAATCTTTTCTCACAATTGTACTTGTTAACTGAATTGCAATGGATGTTAAAATTGAGCATTAATTTTAAAGGTTGTGTGAACATGAGCTCGGAAGTTAACCACAGTAAATTCGGTGAAACTTGCAACCAGTTTAAATCGAACCCCATCTAGTTTCAAGTGAACTAAAGTAAAATTGGTCAGATTTCACAATTTTGTAATTCTCTTCTATAAGATCTAAAGGTGATTATGGTAAGTAGAACTATAAAAACTGTTAACTCATTGCTTGAAGCACTTTTAAGATGCCTCGAATCAGCGTGATAAGCCTTCACATCAAATGTAGACAGTATTACAATACTGAAGTTATCATTGTAGTGGATGGAATTGCCACCCAGTCTGGAGGTATACAAATATTTTCTAAAGAAATGTGGTCCTCTGTTATTTCATTGATTCCCAACCTAGAGATTCAGCAGGTTTGTATTCCTTTTGGAGATTATGAATTCATAACTCGTATGTGAGTTGAAACTTGCCACTAATTGTTTAAGAGCAACTTTAAACTTTGGCTTAAAGAGTTCAGCAGTACTTACAGTGTGTGCATTGTCTGTCTTGTTAACATACAGCTTTGTTCTTGGTGGACAATCACCACGAGGTGTACCTTTGGCAGGGCTGGTGGCCCACAGAAAATGAAATTGCAGGGTCCGCTCGCATACGCTGGGACATTGACCGCAAATGTGCAATGGAGACAGTACTACAGTACTGCAGAGGTACCACAATATGTGTTTCTATTACTTTGGAATGTGTTTTTCAATTAAAATCCAACTACAGAATTTGAGCAAATGTCTTGTGATCTGATATTGTGGTGATGTGCAGTGGAATCCCTCTGATATATGGGCTGTCCCGCTTAATTGAGTGGAGCAAGCAGTGGTGTTGGAGAGCAGGCCTGGCTGTTATGGTGAGAGATGAGATTTATTTATTTCTGGGATCTCTGATGAGAATAACAGCTGTACAAATGGCAGACTGCTCACATGCCTGTCCCTGTACGTTTGGAAGTGCTTACTTGTGTTCCGCCCCATTTCTATTCACTGGTTGTTGAGAGCAATCTTTGCAGACATATAAGCAGTTGCGTACTGCTTGTCTGACATATTAGCAAAAGTACCGAATACGCAACAGTACTGAGTGAAAAGGTCATTATTCAGGGTTGGGGAGAGTTTGGGATTAAAGGGACGGCCTTGGGATTGAGGACTGATGACTGATTTGAGTTACATCTATATTTATATATATCTGTTGAACCTTTACTGTTAAGCGAAAGATTGTTTATACTACTAATAAAAACAATAATAATACTGTTTCTGGTTGTACAATTATATAATTGACTTTTAATTAGATTTTTCAGAAAGTGAACGGTTAACATCAACAAGAAAGATAATCCCTGACCCGCCCTCTTGTTTTCCTGACCCAACTCCTTGCTGTTGCTTTTGTACAGCTCCCTATACCTTCACATGACCATCTTGTACTCCACATCAATGTCAGTTCAATTGCCCTCATCTGTGTCCATGCTGTCAACGTTAAGCCTCCTACAGAAGTAGGAGGAGACGACTTTCAGTCCCTGTGTCACACATTATAAATATAGAGACTGCAGGTGACTTTCAGGCTGTGCCTCAACCTCCATTTTCTGCCGACATTTGTAGATTGGGCTTTTGTTTAATGTCTTTTATGTCGACTGCTCAGCTGACTTGCAATCTTGAAATTCTTGCCATCTGTCTCACATCCTGTATTTATAGTGTTGCAGCAGGCTGTTAAAATAACAAATGTTCTGGAGCGCGTTCCCAAGTGACGTATAAGTGCAATGAAATGTGTGCCACTGGACAAAAACCTTGGTTTTAATGGGGTTATCATTCTTTTTTTGCAAACTTTTTCCCCTTGTCCTTGTTTTCTGTTGTAATCTGACTCTGTGGGATTCAGATCCATTCTGGGGGAAGAAGAGGCCAATTATTGTGTCACCAGGCTAATGAACCGGTGGGGGGAGGGGGGGTTCACAGAAACTTTCCAGTAGATAGTGAGGGCCCTGACTAATTTATTCTGTTTCCTTTGAGCCAAACCCCTGAGGTCATTGTTGCGACCTCAAGACTGTCTCATTTGAGATCTGGTAACTCAGCTGAGAGCAAGAAACAGACTTGGGACCTTATGCATAGCTTAGCTCTACTTGAGGAGGTGCTCTTGTGTGTCGGTCTGATTCATTTGGTAGCTGATTCTTTAAGTCAGAAACTTGTGGGTCGGGACTTGAAATTCATATAGTCTAAGATGACATTCCAATGCAGTGCTGCATAGTCGGAGGTGACGTCCTTGGGATAAGACGTTAGACCATCTGCCTGGTCAGATGAACATTAAAGATCCCATGGCACCGTTCGAAAAAGTGAAGGGAGTTTCACCTGGTGTCCTGGCCAACATTCCCCTAAATAAAATTGGTCACTCACTCCATGGCTGTTTGTGAGACACTGCCGTGCACAACTGGCTGCCACGTTTGCCCGCAGAATATACAGTCAAAACTTTATAGTATATCCTGTGAAGAACTTTGAGATGCCTTGATAAGGCGCTGTATCAGATGGGAGAATTATTATATTATTATTATGACTGTTTGTAGGATGTTGCTGAGCGCAAATTGGCTGCCACGTTCGCCCACAAAACACACACTGCGCTTCACGGAATATCCTGCAAAGCACTTAGATGTCCTCCTGACATGACAGGTGCTACACCAAATTGAAGGATCATTTTTATTATTATTATTTACTCACTAGTCTACCCAAGAATCACATATTGAACTTGAGTAAAATAGTTTAAAATCTTGTATTAGCAGGTATTCACTTGGGTAGAAATGGTCTATTGATAGTTTTGAAAGGATTTTGACTGTGTAAACCCTGTAAAGCTCTGCTAAAAGCTGCGAAGCTGGTCCTCAACACTTATTAATGCATCTTCATTTCTTACTGTTTTGTCCCTCAGAAAAGAACAAGAAGCCACCAAAGTCCTATCTGATCCATGCTGGTCTTGAACCGCTGACATTTACCAATATGTTTCCCAGTTGGGAGCACAGGGAAGATGTTGCAGAGATCACAGAAAAGGTGTGAGCTCTACTAATATAATGGCATTCTCTCTCTTTAAAATGCATATTGCTTTACTCGTTTTCCACCATTCCTCCGTTCAGCTAACTCGTTCCTGCTGCGCAACCCCCATCCTCTCCACACCACAATCGGTGGTTATACCTTCAGCTTGTACATCACTGGAACTTTCTCCATCTACCACTCTGTCACCCCCTCTCTTTGTGTCCAAGTCCTGTCTCAAATCCTATCTCTTTGAATGCGCTTATAGCCACCCACCCCCTCTCTCATGCTCAGCGTCCAAACCCATACCTGTAAAGCACTCCGAGATGTTACCCTCCTTAACTCGCTCTATATAATTACAAGATGTTGTTGTAATTCTCAGTGTGTTACCTGGGTTGCTTCAATCTATTTCCCCCCCACCCCTCTCTGTCTCCAGGAAGCTGAAGTTTGTAATAAAATAATCCTGGTGGAGGATGTGTTGGACAAGCTGTGTAAAACTCAGTATCCCCTGGAGGAGCTGCAAGCACGACCCCTGCCCGAGGGAGTTGATCCACTAAAGCTTGAAATTTATCTGACTGATGAAGACTTTGAGGTACATCAGAATTGTTGCTGAAAGTGTATTTTGCGCTTGTCTTCCTGAGGCACGATCAGGGCTCATAAACCCTGTTTATTTTAAAAATTGGATTATGATAGTAAACCATTTCTCCCATTTTATAAGAAGCCTCACTTTCCACCTCCCACTCACTGCCGCCCACCCCCCCAACAAATCCCAGGACACTAGGAGAAACTCAAGTATTACAACAACAGCAACTTGCATTTATATAGCGCCCTTCACACATGGGAGAGCCGAGCTGGGGGAGTGGGGCTGACCTTAGGCATGGTTGAAGAGGAAGGACTTTGGACACAACCTGAAGATCTAGAAGGAAAGGGCAAGGCGGAGAGATAGAGGAAGAGTGTTTCAGAGTTACAGGCGTGGTGGCCACCGATGGTGGAACTGAGGGCACGAGGGACATGAAGGAGGCCAGAGCCACAGAGCGGAGGCAGCGGGTAGTGTTAGTATTAAAGTATTGATGTGATTTTTAAATCTCTGTTTCGAGTCCCAGATGAAGGAAGGCACCTCCAACAATGCATCTCATCCCCAGCACTACATTAGTGTCAAGCTGCGCGACGTGAGGTCAAAGTCCTGATGGGCTTCAACCCACAACCTTCTGACTCAGAGGCGAGAGCGCTATCTGCTATCAACCAAACCAGGCTGACAACAAATAATGCTGGCATTTAATATGGATTCAACCTATTGCAGCTAATGCATTTTAAAAAGACAACCATACATTGGAAACTGGTCTGCTTGTAGAGCGTGAGAATTGTATTGCGGAACACGTTCTCCAGATGACTATACCTGATAGAGATCAAACTCTGCAGATATTGTGCTGCTTGAATGTTCCTTGTGTTTGTTTACTATATTAAATGCCGTCTGTGAGCCATGGGACTTGAACCATTTCCTGTGAAATGTGCGTGAGGTAAAAGGATTAGATTTACAGATGTTTGCAGGAGTTTTAACAGAAGATGCACTTTTCTCATAAAAATCTCTACCTGTATATCCTTGTGAAGCCCATAATGTTTTCCCAATAACTCTCAAGATAGTTTGGCAGTACAAATTAATGCACATTATATTCCTGTCGCTCTTACAGTTCCAGATTGTAGCCTTCAACTTCTTGACACAGACATTTGAACGAAGCCAAAAAAATACAATTCCCATAAACCAGCAGTCAACACAATGAGATGAAGGTTTGGTACCGTACGCTTGGTTTTGCAGGCATCGCCTTTAAAAACAGCACCAGGGGCTCTTTAAGAACTTTTACGTGCTCTAAGATGCGAGTGTATCTGTAGCCCACAACATAAATGCTAAGTTGCTGTTGTTTCAGCTCTTTGGAACATCCTCCTGAAAGGCGCTATCCCTGAAATTATTTTAACCAGGATTTCGCAAAATCCCTGAAATGTTCAGTAAAATTATGACGCCATGAAATCACTGAAATTTGGAGTCAGGATTTTTGGGAAAGAGTGATCCCAGCAGTGGACAGGGATAGAAGGGGTCCCAGGAACATCCTTGGTGTTATCATTAATAGAGATTTAGACACTCAACAGTCAGTACAGTACAGCAGTGAAGGCCGGCATCCTCAGGGGTCATGATTGCAAGAACCGATTTGACCTCTGCCCACAGTGATTGTTAACAGAGAGCTGTGGCAACCAGGTCACTGCACAGTCTGTTTGTGGTGGACAAGGCTTTACGAAGTGTAACTGCAGTCAGAGGAAATGTAAGGCCAACCGTTGTAAATGCTTCAAAGCAAAGCTAAAATGTGACTTTAAGTGTCATGGAAGCCTCACTTGTGTTAATAAATGAACATCAGTGAATGAAATGTCACATGAAGTTGACAGTGAATAAAATATTAATTTTCGCAATGAGTGATTTATTTGTTGCTGATGCTAACAAGTGTCAAGGCGAGATTATCAATAAGATGAAATGATCACTTTTTCACAAAATCCCCAACTCCTAATTTCATGGTTTCACAATTTTGCTGATAATTTCAGGGATTTCATGGGATTTCACACACATCCATACACGCTGTTGTTGAGGTGTGCTGTCTTTGTCTTGCCATCTCTCCTTGACCTCATGGTTATGGTCTGAAGAGTTGTGGTCTGAAATGGGTCTCTTACCATTATAGCACAGAGGATTATAGTGTCCCACCTGAAGACTGTTATTCTGTACTTTGATAAATGCTTTACCTGCTCCTAGTTTTCAATGCGTTGCTAGTTCCCTCGCTGGATAGCATTAAAGTATTTGACCTTGATCTGGAGCTCCATTGGCCTAGTGAATTCAAGAAGATACAGTTTGAGACTTGTGAAGGCAAGTTACGACCGAGGCAAGAGCATATTTCTTTACTCAGGATAATTACCGAGGCCAGGATACTTAAGAAATGCTTAATGCTGTAATGGGAGGATGATAGGGTGGGTATTCTGGAAGGATGAGACCAAATAAACTGAAGGGCCTTCTTCATTTCAACCAATCTTGTGGTAACAATAATAATACTTATGTTTTGTGTAGGGTCTTCCATGCTGGCTGGGAGGACATCTCATATCGCTTCACAGGATACACTGTAAAGTGTAGTGACTGTGTAAATTTAATCATGACATTTTTTGAATTTGTGTTTTGCCTTTCTAGAAAGCGCTAGAAATGATGAGAGAAGAGTTTAACGTCCTTCCTTCCTGGAAACAAGCCAAGCTGAAGAAAGCAAAGGGACTGTTCTGAGTAGTTTGTAGACGGATGTTTGTTTTTTNCAAAACATGTGCTTAGTGTCGGAGCTTTCACCGAAGATCATTTTGACGTCCTTGGATCAGTCATGGATTGCATGGTTTGGTCAACAGACGGAACAAAATGTAGAAGCAAATTGCACATTTTACGTTCGAGGCAGAGATGCCTTTTTTGGGGGGACGGGGGATCTTGTCTATTGTGCATGTTAAAGATAACTCTGTACTGATTTTCAACAGTCTTGACATTCAGATTTACTGAGACGCTGCCATTGTATGCGTTTGACCCGAGTATGCACTTATGGGCAGCCGTTGTTACTCTGCCATATCCTGCCTATGTATCTGGAAGGCGATAGTTTTGTAAAGTGTTATTTTGTGTGTAGCAGATAGTAAAATCATGAAGAATTTATATTTATATTATACAATATGAAAAATGACTACAGTTTAACTACTAAATATTTAAATTGTTCATGCAATGTATTCACTTTAGGAGGTATTTTGTGTTAATCAGAGAATACAATAGCTAGGTGAATGGAAATTGTACCAAGACATGCCACAAATACCTTTCTTTTTTTTTCTTTGCATTCGTAAAATCAGGCTGTCAAGTCTCGAGCATGGTCTCCGTACTATTCGATACCGCCATTCAACTGTATTTATGGCATGGATTAATTGAGGAAAGAAAAACTGCGCAAATCAAGTTAACTTTTTACGTGAATCTATAAAATGTATAGTGCCTTGCTTTTGTGTACAGTTTATACTACAGAGCAGATGTCTGAATTTTGAAAGAAACAGGTGTTTTAATAAAAAGCCTCGTTCAATTAACTTGTTATAATGTAGAAGTTTGAACACCTCTGTTTCTAATGCTAGTAAAATGCCTAACAAACTTCCTTTTTTTTGTGATACAATTTAGGAAAATAAACATTGGAGAATAGATTCATATTTCTGTTTGTTTCTCTTACCAACTGCAAAAATTTACATTTATACAGAGCCTTTCATGTCACGCCGGGGGATATCTCAGAGCACTTCACAGGAACTGAGGAAGGTGTGGGTGGGGAAAGGTTTCCAAAAGCACAATCAAAAAGAAAGGTGTTAAGTCGGCCTCGTAAAAGTGGAGAGGGAGGGGGCGAGGCGGGTGCAGTTCTGCAGCTCAGGGGCAGACAGTTCACCCACTGATGAGGGTGGGGGGGGTGCAGATTGGGCCGGGCATGAAGAAGGCCTTATATTACACAGCCTAGTTTTAGATTACCTTTGCAACCCTATCACCTCAACCACTCATTGAGCTGAGGTGATAGGGGTTGCAAAGGTAATGTAAGGCTAGGCTGTGTAGGAATTTAAACATGAGGATGAGGATCTTGAATTTGATCTGCTGGTGGATGGGAAGCCAGTGGAGCCGAGTGAGGATGGGTTTGGTATAGCGATTGGTGCAGGAGGGGACGCAGGCTACAGAGTTCTGTATGGCTGGCAGCTGGTGATAAGGGAGCTGGGAGTCAGGCAAGCAAGGTGTTTCAATACAATACAAATTACATTTGTAAAGTGCCTTTCACATCAGGAGGACATCCCAAGACGCTGGACAGTCAAAGATTAGAACACAGGGTTGGGGGAGGAGTAGCGGTTGGGATCAGGGAGGTGGGTGGTGGAAAGCACAGTCGAGGAGGAGAGTCTTGAGGCGTGCATTGAAGGGGATAAGGGAGGGAGCGAGGCAAAGGGAATGTAGGATGGGAGTCCCAGAGTGTGGGGGAGTCCCAGATGGTGGGACAGGCCGGACGGGGGACATGGAGCAGGCCGGAGCCTGCTGAGCGGAGGAAGTGGACAGGTTAATAAGGGGTCAGAGGTTGGAGAGGTAGGAGGGAGCAAGGCCGTGGAGGGCCTTGAAGGTGAGGACTAGAATTTTGAACTCGATCCTCTGAGGGATGGGGAGCCAGGCGGGGCGGTGTGATGATAGGAATAGTTATGAGCCTGAAGGTTATGAATAAATGATGAAGCTCTTGGGTGCCAAGGAGGAAGAGATGGTGGTAGGTCAGGTGATGTTGCGGCGGTGAGGGGAAACAGAGAGCCCAGATGCAGTACTTAAAGGACAGTTGAAGGTTGACTAGGACATCAACAACCACAAAAAAAGTATAGCACCTTTCATATCGGAAGGATGTCCCAAGGCATTGGAAGATTGCACACTGACTGCGTGAGATCAGTGTGATAGGCGAGAAGTCGCTGACAGGAGCCAAGCAGGAGAGTTTGCAATCTTGCTGACTTTTATCTGAAGGAAGTTAGAACTCATCTAGGACTTGATGTCAGACAGGCTTTTCAGTCAAGGATTTTTGAAGGAGTCTTTAAATTTGTTAAAAACCTGATGCAATGAGTGAAAAGTGATTTGATACCTATAAATGCTTGATCACCGAAGAAGATCAGTATGTTCTGATCAAAATGTTCCCACAAGCAGTAAATTTGACTAGAGCACTTTTCATCTACTATCTGTGATCTAGTGGGGAAAGCATTTAGTGGTCCAGACATTGCACCTCAGAAACATACTTTGAATAATTTAGTTTTGTTGGGCAATGAAGTGCTTGAGCCTAACCGCAACCTGGTGGACAACCAAGTGTGTGGAGGATTATATTTTATTCAAAGAAATTAAGATATTACTGGTCGGTAATCTTCCTTTTTGGAAGTCTATTCGAGCCAGGTTTAAAACCTTTCCTTAGGCAAGTTTCCTTACTCCACGCACCTCTGTTTACCTAGCAGTACAACAACAAAATTCATTTATAGAAGGCCTTTCACGTCGGGAGGACGTCCCAAGGCGCTGAACAGTCAGGTGTCAGGGTCCAAGTATGGGGGAGGGGTGGTGTAGGGGTGAGGGAAGGCAGAGAGGTAGGAGGGGGCATGTCCACAAATGGCCTTGAAAGTGAGGACAAGGATCTTGAATTTGATCCTCTGAGGGATGGGGAGCCAGTGGAGTCAGGCGAGGGTAGGAGGGATAGGGTCACGGAGCCTGGTGCGCGAGAGTACACAAGCTGCAGAGTTTTGGATGATCTGCAGCTTGTGAAGGGAAGAGTTGGGAAGGCCGATGAGGAGGGAGTTCCCGTAATCGAGCCTTGATGTGATGAGTGCGTGGGTGAGGGTTTTGGCAGCCTGAGGGGTGAGGCAGTGGCGGAGTCTGGCAATGTTGCAGAGCTGGTGGTAGGCAGTGCCGGTCATGGCGCGGATGTGGAGGAGAAAGGACAGTGCAGGGTCAAACAAGACACCCAGGTTCCTGACTGGCTTAGTGAGGTTGAGTCTACAGCCGTGGAGGCTGATGCTGCCAGCGCCCGAGGTGCGGAGGCGCTGGTGTGTGGCAATCAGGAGGGCCTCAGACTTGCTGACATTGAGTTGGAGAAAGTTGTCCCTCGTCCAGGACTTGATGTCGGACAGGCAGTCAGTCAGGACGCCAGTAGTGCTGGAATTGAGGATGGAGGCAGAGAGATAGAGTTGGAAATTTACCCCATGTCTGCGGACGATGTCACCAAGTGGGAGCATGTAGAGGGTGAAGAGGAGGGGACCAAGGACAGAGCCCTGAGGAACACCACACGAGATTGGAGGAGAAGCCGTTTGCTGTGACGAAGTGGAGGCGTTGTGAAAGGCAGGACCTGAACCAGTCAAGGACAGAACCACAGTGGGAGGAGAGGCAGTGGAGGAGGATTGAGTAGTCTACGGTGTCAAAGGCGGCGGAAAGGTCGAGGAGGACGAGGCGGCAGAGGGAACCCTGGTTGCAACATGGTCAGGATGTCGTTTGTGACCTTGACCAGAGCAGTTTCTGTGCTGTGGGCAGCTGCGAGGAGGTGGTGGGCTTCATGGAAGTTATGGTGGTAGAAGATGGTGGTAGGTTTGGAGACAGTGGGGAGAGGGATATACGAGTTGAGGGAGATGAAATGGTGGTCAGAGATGGCCTTGTCAGTGATGGTGACATCCGAGATGCTGAGGCCCCGGGTGATCACCAGGTCGAGAGGGTGACCGTGGGTTTGGGTAGCAGGTGGATGTGGAGGGAGAGGTTGAGAGAGGAGGAGAGAGGAGAAGTCTGAGGAGGTGGAGCAGGAGGGGGTGAAGTAAATAGGAACCCGGTTGTTTGTCGATTGGAGGATCGCTTTCCGGGTGTAAAACTCCCTCCCCAAAAAATGGTCTCTCAATCCATGACCATTTGTGGGACGCTGCTGTACCCAAATGGCGGCAGCGTTTTGCTCACAAAATACACAGTCACTACACTTTACAGTGTAACCAATGAAGCGTTTTGAGACATCTCAATGATGTGATAAGGCGCTATTATCAAATGCAAGGATTATTATTATTATTATTATTATTTCCTTTACCTGAAATCCATATTCTTCTCAGTTTGAACCCTGTTGCTCCTTTCTCTCCCAACTTCCCATTTTGTCTCTGATTGTCCAGAAGGGAGTTAATATTGGCTGTTCCCCTCTCTGTTTACAAACCAGTCAAAATACTTTACCTCTAATGTTGTAAGACGATGCCAAAGTTTCCTGAGTGGTGACAAGTGTGAGAAAGATAAATGCGATTGAAAAAGATGGGCTGTTGGGAGTGTGAGACGATAGATGGATTTTAATGTAGGAAATGCAATGTATTGGAACAAGAGACGTACACTATGGAGGGGAGTCAATTAGTGAAAGTGCAAAAAGAGGAATTGGATATAGTTATGTTAATTCATTAAAGGTGTCCTGGCAATGTGAAGTTTTTATCAATAATTCTAATCAAATGCCAGGATTACTCTCTTGGGAATTTTACCGTCAAGTTGAAACATAAATTTAATCTTGCTCTGATATGGCAATGCTGCCTTTGAGACATTACATTGCAGTTTTGGCATTGATGTGTTAAATGCATAGAAGACCGAAAAGGGACTGGAGACTTCACGGTGTGAAAAAACTTGTAGAACTGAATGTAATTTGTAAGGATGTATAGAAAGCTATTAGATTTTAGATGGAGTACAGAACTAACAAACGCAGCTTTAATATTGCCCAGATTCAGATGAGATTAGAAGAATGTTACTCCTCAGAATCGTGGATATCTGCAACAGCTCCCAAAACGCAGATTTGACCTTTTTTTCCATCTGTCTTGAGATAAAGTATCAGTGAAAAACAGGTGCCAATGTTTGAAACTCGTGGAGAGCTTCCATTCTTGACTGTCTGCCCAATCCGATGTCATGGGGAAGGGGTCACGGGCAGGACATGCATCACAAACTCCTCAGAGACTTTGGGGGAGAATTTGTGAAACGTGATCTACTGCTTCTAATTTCATTCTAACTGTTCCTTTTAGAGTTTGTTTCGATGAGATTTGATAGCATCCTGCCTAGTGGTCTCGAGTGTTTCCACACTGCAGATGTTCAGCTAACTGCTCCTAATTCCCAGCCTCATGCCTCGCTCCTATTTTCCAACAACAGGATAACATTCGCTAACCCTGGGTACAGCTCCAATACTTACAGAGCTCCTTAAAATAAATGTACCAAAGACATAGGAGCATAGGAACAGGAGTGAGCCATTCAGCCCCTCGAGCCTGTTCCGCCATTCAATTAGATCATGGCTCAACTCGTTGCCTCATGTCCCTTGATACCTTGACCTAACAAAAATCTATCAAACTCAGTCTTGAAAATTTGAATGAATCCAGCATCCACAGCCTTTTGGGAGAATAGAGTTCCAGATTTCCACTAGCCTTTGGGTGAAAGAGTGCTTCCTGATTTCACTCCTAAATGGCCTAGCTCTAATTCTAAGATTATGCCCCCTTGTTCTGAATTCCCCCATTAGAGGAAGTAGAATCCGGTAGCCATCCCTGTCGATTCCCTTTACTATTTTAAACCCCTAAATTAGATCACCCGTCAACCTTCTAAACTGAAGGAAATACAAGCCAACTTTATGCAACCTGCCCTCAAAATGTAACCGTTTAAGTCCTGTTATCATTCTGGTGAATCTCTGCTGTATCCTCTCCAAGGCCAATATATATTTCCTGAAGTGCAGCGCTCAAAACTGAACGCAATACTCCAGAAGGGGTCTGACCAAGGCTCTTTACAGCTGAAGACTCATTGATTTTAATTTCCCTGAGTATCCAAGGGCTTCCCACCTGCTGTTTCTGCCTTCGAAATAAATCACTATGATTTGCCGTAAATGAAATTACTACCAGTCCTAAGCAGAGGCTCATAGAGTACACTGGTGTTGATCTGCTACCATTCATTTCAAAAGGCAAGGGGTGAAGATTGCAGTGTGTGATGTGGTAATGAACACAGATGACAGAAATTAACACATTGTTGAAAATATGACCATTCGATGTTAACGATAGACTGGTCTATATGTACGTTTGCAGAACATCCAGTGCTGTTGGTATCACTGATGGTAGTGTGCCTTTGTGATGGAGGCAACTCCAGTAAGAGTGCCTTTTTGTTATATTATTATAATCCTTGCATTTGATATAGCGCTTTTCACATCTTCTAGATGTCTCTAAGACTTCAGAATATACTGTAAAGTTAATTGACTGTATATTTGTGGGCGAAACGCAAATCTCCCAGCAGATGTCCTGGAGATATCCGGGGTGTCCTTCAGCCTGAGTCTGAGGGGCACTTGCTATGAGTCAATAGAGTAGTCCAAACGGCCTGGATCCCAATTTCCCAACCCGTTTCACAGTTCAAAATAAAGACTAAAGGAATCTTACAGTGGATGGAGTAAATAAAATAAAATTGTAGATGGTTAATCTTTAAGTGGGGTGGACTCTCACTCAGGGCCATGATTCTGCCTGTGCAGAACCTCAGGTGTCTTTTTCGACTCTCACACGTTCTTTAAATCTCACATCTCTGATCTGACCCCCATCTCCAAAGCATTGCCCATCCCACCACCACCTCTCTCCTCAGGCCACTGCAACCCCAATCCACCCATTTAGCATGCCCAGGCTAGATTACAGCAACTCTCTGCTTGCCTAACTCCTTCACGAGCTGCAGACTATCCAGAACTCTGTAGGTTGTGTCCTTTGCCACTTTAGGCTACGCAAGTCTATCCTCGCCCGGCTCCACTGGCTCCCCAGCCCCCAGAGGATTGAGTTCAAAATCCTCGTCCTAACCGTTAAACCCCTCCATGATCTTTCCCCCTACCGCTGTGACCTCCTCAAGCTCTTAACAACTCAGACATTGGTGGTCAGGCTTTCAAGCTTTACAACTTCATCCTGGAATCCCTTCACCTCTTCCCTTCCCTCACCTTCTTCAAGGTCCATTTCAAGACCTTCCTCTTTGACTGCCCTTTAGGCCATCTTACCCCACCTCATCCCCAGCTCGGATGTCTTGGACTGTCCGGTGCCTTGGGACATCCTCCTGAGGCGCTGTATAAATGTAAACTTGCATTGTATTTGCAGGCAAACCTAGCAACCAATTTGTGCCATGTCCCACAAACAGCTGTAAAGTAAATTACTACATTTTAATTGGGGGACTGTTGGCCAGAAGATCAGGAGAAACTCCCTTCTCTTTTCGAATGGTGCCATGGGATCTTTAATGTCTACATGAACAGGCAGATGGGATCTTAGTTTAATATCTCTTCTGAAGGATGGCACCTATGACAATGCAGCACACCCTAAGGGCTGTGCGTAAAAAGGTCTACAATCTTCAGACTCAGGCAAGATTTTATTCACACACAGCAGGGGAGGAGATCTTCAACCCACGAGTCTTGCTCAGATGTAGTTCCCCAAAGTGAGACAGAAGCATGTATAACCCACACACGCCTCCCAATCTTCCTAAAGTTGCAGGAGCTTGCAACATGTGAGTGGCCTGAAGAAGTGTGGGAAATATTGGGTTATGAAATGAACACACACTGTGGGTTTATGGTAGATTCAGGTGGGTGTTTGTGGAAACTTTCTGCTGATATGTAACTTTGTGAGCCAAGTGAAAGGCCAAAGATACAGAATAGAGGAGAGTTTGTTAAACACAAAATGTCAAACCTTTTATTTACTGCTGTCAGTTTTCAACAGAGGGGGTGTAGAGAGAGGACTTGTTTATAATGCCAAGCCCTTGCGAAGTGGTCTAAAACATGTAACTAAAATTCAGTCTTATGTTGCAGCGATTCTCTGAAGCACAAGGAAATCCCTTGTGTTGACTGGAGGTCGTTCAGTTGCGGCTACATTGAAGTTAGTGAACTCACAGAAGCAAAGTTTTGTTTGTTCTGGAGTGCGCACCCAGGTCCCATGCAGTACTGCTGAAATCGAACCAGGATGAGGCACTGCTAAGCTTCGCATTGCTTCAACGCTAAACTATGCAGTTTTAGCTGGTTGGACTCCAGCAGTTCCTCAATACACTGTGGGATTCCCAAGCCTTGGCTCTTGCCAACCTGCGTCTAATACTCTCCGGAACTAGGTAAGCAGGATGTGTCACTCCAGGGACAGAGTGCGCATTCCATTCTGATAAACATCTCTGGGATTTCCATGTGTAGGTGGGTTGCATGGAATTCTCAGTTTGGTTTGGACGCTCTTAAGCATGGGATGGGTTTCTGCTTGTGTCAGACATCAGGCTGACCAAACAAATTGCTTACCATTATGACAGGGTTACCAGGAGCTGAGGAGGAGGAATCCTAGCCCCATGTGGCACGTGTTAACCCTCCAAGTCCCACTCATGATCAATCTGCTTAGACTTGGTTCGTATTTCAGGAAATTCAACAAAAGGCAATTTGATTCGCAACACAAGAGGACAGCAGAGGATGATTTGAAATATTATCGATAACTGTTGTAAAACTCAACGCTCAACGATTTAATCCAGTACCTGCTTCAAAAGTCAGTGGTCGGGAAAGGTTGTTCAACTCGCCCGTCACAGTGAGAGTCAAATAAAACGGACGTTTGGCTGGTCCAGGTGTTCCTTGTAAATGCTTACAAGTCGTAAGAGAGGACTGCTTCTCGTTTGATCTTCAAAGTCCGCAATTCAGCAGGTTCTTAACACAACTAATGCAAGATCCTTGTGGCCTGGTTCCCTCTCTGCTTGTTGTAGCAGCTTTCTCTGGGAGCTGCTCGAGAGCTGGGTAGCTTTGAGGCTCTGACCAGAAGGTGGCGCTTTTACACTGGCCAATGCGTCAGGAAGTTTGCTGCATCCACCCAAACTCACAACGACCATCTCGACTCCTCAGAGAAAGATTTTAGGTGTAACCTGCAAAAAGACAAGAAGTATCCTTCGCTGTCAAAAGCATTCACAGCAACATGGATGCAGAGTTCAAAGGCTGATACTCAGTGACCCTTCTCAATTACTTTTTATGATAATCCTTGCAAGTAATAATCCGTCTCAAAGCACGTCACAGGATTTACTGTAAAGTGTAGCAACTGTGTGTTGGAGGTGAACTTAACAATCATTTCACGCACACAGCAAATGGCCAAGTGTATGATCAATTTTATCCGAGGGATTGTAGGCGAGGAAACAGGCTATTGATCAGGTTAATGCTTATTCCCCACTCCCTTCACTTCACCATCAGTGGCCAAGCTTTCAGTCACTCATCCTGTAAGACATTTCCAAAATCACTTTACCTGATAAACTCTCTCCCTGCCTTCAAAACCCATCCTGATCAGACAACCATGTCTGTATCTTACATCAGTGCCTACCAATACATGTGTCATGTGCTGTGAGACATTATTTTATGTGAAAGCAGATATATAAATACAAGCTGCTGAACTATTCAATCTCGCTATTAGAGAGATTAAAGCTTTCTTATGCCAAAGTAAAAAATAAAATTGATTATTCATTTCATGGCTGTTTGTGGGACTTTGCTATGCCACGTTTGCCTACAAATACACAAGTCACTCCACTTCCCAGTAAATCTGAGACTGTGAAGCGCTTTGGGACATCCTTCCGATGTGAAAGGCCCTATACCAAATGCAATACAATATAATAATATTGTATATTATTACCTTATTATTACCTTAGAACCAGAAAAATTAACACACAGAAGACCATTTAGCCCATCTTTTAAAGAGCAATCTATTCAGTCCCATTTACCTGCCTTTCCCCCTTACCCCTGTAGTTAACTCTTAATTTAGATTTAGATTGAGATGTGGTAGTTTCAGCTAACTACTGTATCACACCAACATGAAACGGTCGATTGCTTGTAATCCAAGCTCGGGTACAACCACATCTGCTCAGACACCACTGACAGGAATAACCAGTTCAAACACTTGAGAACGGTTTTCACAAATTGTGGTTGTGCACCTAGACTTGTGGATAAACAAACTCAACGGACTGCTCCTCCACCCAGAGCAACCTGTGGGAATGCAAACTGAGACCAGCTCTCATCGCATCACCCCGGAGATTGTTTTCACATGAAGCTGTTCAGCAACAGGAGTTTAGGAACAACAGCTGTTCTGGACAGAATTCAGAAGTGCCCATTGCATGATGAGAGAAATCAAAGGAGGTTGAAGATGGACAAGCAGCCCTTTGCTAACCAGTAAGGTAAACCTACAAAGGTCTGCTCGCAAAAGAGTGGAGCATTCACAAAGAAGAGGGGGTATTTAAGCACTTTCAGTGCTCAAGACGCTACCCTGCGTGAGGGGACACTATATAAATGCAAGTTGCTGTTGGTGGGGTGGTATTCAAAATATAGAGGGTGGTATTCATAACGGGGCATTTTCACGACGGGGAGGGTATGGGTATTCATGACAAAGGATGGTTTTCAGGTACGAGCTATGATGGGAACTTTTTCAACACTGATGATACAGAGAGGATTACATCACTGCTGATTATCTACCAGTGATGACCTTCACTGAGAGCTGATCTCAGCTGATGTCAATCATGATAGCCACTACTGGCAAAACACAGTCAAAATGGAACTGAGAGATGCCATCAGTTCCACTGTTCAGATAATAACTGCATGGGAACGATTTCTGGACAGTAATCGCAGGTTCATTCATTTAATGGTCACAAACTCATCTCACTTTGTTTTCATGGGCTATAACATGATATGAACCCTCCAGTGAGATTATTGGCTTGCAACACTCCCAAGTATCTTATTATTCTGTTTAATATGAAATATTGTGAAGGGTATCTCACTGCTTCTGGAGCTGTGAGAAATGTTTCTCAGCTCTCTACAGAGATGAGTGGTTGCAATGTGGAAAATCCCTTAAATGGAGATTACGTACAAACCTTACAGATAAGGCTGAGCCCAGGTATGACTTTGTTCTGTGACTCACGATTGAAGCAATCTGATTTTATTTTAAGCTTCATGATTCAGTATGAAATGAAGAAATTGGTTTGAAAATTGTCAGTAGCAGATGTATTAATATATGGTTACGGCTTTCATTCTAACAAGCAGGTCGTAAGTACGACATTACTGCTGTGAAATTGCCAAGATTCGATAGTTGTTCTGTTGTGCTTAATTACTGAGCCTGTTGAAGAGGCAACAATGTATAATAATATTAATTATAATTATATTAACGCATTTGGTATAGCGGCTTTCAAGTCAGAAGGATATCTCAAAGTGCTCCACGGCATATAATAACATAACAATACTAATTCTTGCATTTGATGTAAAGCCTTATCATGATATTGGGACGTTTCAAGGCTCTTAACAGAATACAACAACAACAACAAAATTACATTTGTAAAGCACCTTTTACGTCGGGAGGATGTCCCAAGAAGCTGGACAGACAGAGTTTCGGACCCGAGCTGGGGGTCGGGGTCAGGGAGGGTGGGGGGCAGGAGTGGAAGCAGGGAGATCGAAAGCACAGTTGAAGAGGAGGGTCTTGAGATGGGTCTTGAAGGTGGCAAGGGAGGGGGTGAGGTGGAGGGATTGCAGGATGGAGTCCTAGAGGTGGGGGCAGAGTGGCGGAAGGCCAATAGTGGGGCAAGCGAGGCGGGGGACATGAAGCAGGCTGGAGTCCGCTGAGCGGAGGGAGCGAGCAGGATGGTAGGGGGTTAGGAGGTCGCCGAGGTAGGGGGAGCAAGACCATGGAGGGCTTTGAAGGTGAGGACCAGGATCTTGAACCTTATCATCTGTGAAGCCAGTGGAGTCGGGCGAGGATAATAGTAATAATAATAATAATAATAATCCTTGCATTTGATATAGCTCTTTTCACGTCTTCTAGATGTCTCAAAGTGCTTCACAGAATATACTGTAAAGTGAATTGACTGTGTGGGCAAAATGCGGCAGCCAATTGCGCACAGCAGTGTCCCACAAACAGGATGGTGATAGGGCCATGGAGCCTGGTGTGGGAGAGGACACGGGCTGCAGAGTTCTGGATGATCTGCAGCCTATTGAGGGAGGAGTCAGGGAGGCCGACAAGCAATGAGTTTGCATAGTCAAGCTTCGATATACTGTAAAATGTATTCTGCGGTGATCAGTTGTGCACAGCATGAACTACAAACAGTCGTGGATTGAGTGACCACATTTTTTGGGGGGAGGGATCATTACCCCCGGAAAAAGGATCTGCCAATCGCCTAACAACCGGGTTCCTACTTACTGCTAAGTAAACAGACTTGTGGAGTAAGGAAACTTGCTTAAGGTTTTGCCCCGCCTGGGAATCAAATCTGGGTCCTCTTGCTTGCGAGACGAGCGAACTAACCTCTATACTACAGGACTCCGGATAAACTGTAAAGTGTAGTGATTGTGTATTTTGTTGGCGAACGCCTAGGCTTTCGGCTAGGAAAAACATTGCAAAGCTCTTTACAGAATCAATGGGGGCTCTTTGAGAAGAGTGTTTAAAGGTGCTTACTGAAACGTGGGGTTTTGTACCTCTCTGACCTCGCTGTACCTTTTGTACCTCATCTTTCCCCTCCCCAACTCCCTCGGCTCCCACCCCCTGCCTGGGTGGCCAGCGTGGACCACTTTGAAACATTCTCCTGACATGAAAAGTATCTTAGAGGGCAGTGAAGGAAGGCAGAAAAGGAGCAAAATGAAAGGATTTTGAGAGTTGAAGAAACACACAAAAAAGATCTGTGCTGCAGTACGTTTGCGGTGTTTTAATTTGCAGTTCCAGAGCTAAGAATTATTTATGTGCTTCAGGAGTCATTGTTGAATCAAATTGCATTTGGGTCTCTGTTGGTTATCCTACTATTAGAGATTCTAGAAGTTTCCTTTAAAAAGAGATTGAGTGAGGAAGCCTTCAGGAGAGATGAAATGAGGCTGAGAAACGAGAACAAAAATAGTTGCAGTTTCCTACTGCTGAACAATATCAAGATGTGTGGAGCGAGAGAAATATTGTCACACGTCTTAGACCAGACATGGAGTATAAAACAGACCACTTGCTATCTCTCTACTATACCTCATACCAACAAGCAATACAACATTGTTGGCATATTTATACGCTATTCCAGCTATGGCCCGGAAACACGACTGAAAACAGTGACAAGTTGCTTATGTGGGAGACCTAAACAAAATTGAAAAGTCAATTCAATGCACATTTACTTATCCAGGTAGAAACACAGGACATGCCCATGGTTAGGAATGTCTCTCAGGGTGGGAATTTGATATCATATCTCACCTCACAGTCCTAAAGATAACCCATGAGGGGCATACTCAGGAAATTTACTTTAAGAGCCTTTATGATACTGTGTCAGCCTGGCTCAGTTGGTAGTACTCTCACCTCTGAGACAGAAGGCTGTGGGTTCAAACCCTGCACAGGTATTGGAACTTATACAGTCCAAGAAGACATTCCAATGCACTCCAACTGAGGGCGTGCTGCATTGTCAGAGGTATCATCCTTTGGATGAGACGTTAAACCGATGCCTGTTCCAGGTGGATGTTAAAGATCCCATGGCACTATTTGCAAAGAGAAGTGAGTTTCGCCCGGTATTTGGGCCAAAAATCTCCAAATAATACTGGCCATTCACTTTGTGGCTGTTTGAGGGACATTGTTGTGTGGAAAATTGACTGCTGCGTTAGTTCAAATAACAGTCACTCCATTTTACAGTATATCTTAAGAAGTGCTTTGGAACGTCCTCCTGACATAAAAGGTGCTATATCAAATGTAAGCATTATTCTTACTAATTATTATTATAAGTGATTTCCCCAACTGTAATTTGACACAGGATTCTTCTTTGTAGGAGTTGTAACTTTCACTGAGCTATTCCTCAGACTAACATGAATGTAACTCTTAATTACTGTAGCAGACTCAGTAAGCTCAAGCAAGGAGGTTTTGAAGGTGGGGAGGGTGAAAGGCAGAGGG